ATTTATTTATTTGGCTGTTCTGGGGCTTGAACCCAGGGCTTGCTAGGCAGGGCTCTACCACTTGAGCCACACACCCAGCCATTTGGTTTCTATTTTGTTTTTGAGATAGGATCTGGCTACCTTTGCCTAGGTTGGCTTTGAACTCAAGATCTGTTTACGTCCACCTTCTCAGTAGCTGGGATTACAAGCGGGAACCACCATGCCCTGTTTACCCAGAGCACTTTCTGAGGACTCAACTACTGGGCCTTGTAGGGGAAGCACATGAAATGAAAGTCCCAGCAGGTAGATGGCCATAGTCTGGACAGCTTGGCAGGCTTTGGGGAGGTGAGGGACTTCGCCTCTTCTGTTTCCTCCATAAAGCACTCTAGTTCCCCCAGGGCAGGGGCCAGGTTTTTCTGGATGCCTTTGATGGTGATGACAGACACACCCCATGCCCGGATGCCTTCTTGGCTTAAACACTTACTGAAGGCCTTACAGTGTCACTTGGCCAGAAGCCCCAAGCTAGGGCAGACCCTGGCACCATGAGCCTATAGTAAGGTGGACCTTCCCACCTGCAGGTATTTCACTGCAATAGCCACAGGCCCTCCCATGGGTCCTACAGAAGGGCAGCTATGACTCATTCCCCAGCCCACCCCAGAAATCCCTTTGTAAACTGGGCATGGTTGTGCACAGCAGTAATCCCAGGATTTGGGAGGCAGAGGTAGGAGGATTGAGGCTCAAAGGCAGCCCAGCAAAAATGTTAGTGAGCTCTCATATCAACTAACAAGTTGAGTGTGATGGCATATACCAGTCATCCCAGCTATGCAGGAGACATAGATAGGAGGATCGTGGTCGAGGTCTGCCCTGAAAAATAGGGCTTTTGGTGTGGCTCAAATGGTACAGAGTTTGCCTACCAAGTGCAAGGCCTTGAGTCCAAACCCCAGTGCCACCAGAGAAAAAGAAAGAAAAGCAAAGAAATCCCTTTAAACCTCTTTGATATGTTTGTGTGCTCTGGTGTTGGTGTGCTCATTGTCTGTTGCTGGCTGGCTTTGAGTGCTGGACAGTCATCATTGCCGTTAGCCCAGTCTGTCACAGCTGCCTTCAGTCCCTTCCTCCCACTCCCTTCCTCCACAGCCCTATCGCACTGTCCCCATCACCTGGGCTGGAGGTTGTAGAGGCTCTGCCTTCTGTTTTGGAGACCTCCGGCTTGTGTTTGCTGGCTCTTTTTCAGACTGTAGTATATTGATTGGCGGAAGACAGAATCGGATTGATGAGGACACTTTCAAGACTGTTTAAACAAAGAGGGGAAAGGGAGGATAAAGGAGAATGGTGTGAAGGGGATGAATTCAAGTATGATATATTTGATATTTTGTAAGAACCTTTGTAAATACCACAATGTACCCCCACCCAGCACAACAATAAAAAAAAAATAAAAACAACTAAAAATATAGAGACTATTCAAAGAAAAAATATGCACACACACATATGTGTATAGACGGATAACCCCCTGTATTCTTGGGTTCCACATCTGTGGATTCAACCAGCTGCAGACCAAAAATATTTGAAAAAAATTGTGTCTCTACAAACATCTAGAGTTTTTTTTCTTGTCGCTGTTTCCTTAAGAATACAGCGTAGCCAGGGAAGTTGGCTCATGCCTGTAATTCTAGCTACTTGGGAGGCTGCAGGGGGTGGGGAAAGATCTCAGTTTGAGGCCAGCCAGGGCAAATAGTTCTTGAGATCCCATCTCCAAAATGGACCAGAGGTGTGGCTCAAGAGATAAAGCGCCTGCTTTGCAACTGCAAAGCCCTGAGTTCAAATCTCAGTCCCACCCAAAAAAAGAAAAAAAGACTAGAGTGTCAACTGTTTTCACAGCACTTACATTGCATTAGGTATTAGAAGTCACTTAGAGATGAATGGGGAGGACAAGAGCAGGGTATGTGCAGGGTACGTCATCTAAGGAACTTGCGAGTCCATGGATTTTGGTACCCATGGGTTGTGGGTCCTTAAACATCCCCTGTGGATACTGGGGATTATAAAAGAATTTCCTCAGACTCTATGTATTTTAAGTTTAAGGGTTTTCTTTCTTTCTTTTTTTCTTTTTTTTTTGGTACTGGGGTTTGAACTTAGGGCCTACACCTTGAGCCACTCCACCAGCCCTTTTTTGTGATGTTTTTTTTCAAGATAGGGTCCTCAAACTATTTGCCTGGGCTGGACTTCAACCCTGAGCCTTCCAGTTTCAGCCTCCCAACTAACTAGGATTATAGGCATGAGCCACAGCACCAGGCTCTCTTGAAGCTTTTAATAGAGGTTTCAAGAAAGGTCAGGGAGGCCTTTAGCCTGGGAGATTTCCAATAGTTAAATGGCCGTCTTCTGTGCACTTCATATAGCAGAGTGATGTTCAGCCGTGTACTGATGGTATTGTTGGCTGTCTGGTCCCTACAGAACACTCAGCCAAACCATCAAAAGAGCTTGTGTGGTCTCTCTAGGGCAGAAATAGAATGGAACATGCCCAGTAGTCACCAGGTGCCTGCCCCAGAGACGCTTGTCTGTGCCTCAGGCTGGCCTCAAGGGCAGTGCCTGCCTCAGCCCCACCTCTGGCTGACCAGGTGCCACTGAGTCCTCCTCATGTCTCAAGGTGCTCCTCAACTGTCCCCTCCATTGGCTGTGTCCACCACAACCCAGGAGAGTGCAGGTCGCCTCTGGCCTTGCAGAGGCCACACCTTGTTTAAGTGTGGCCATTGGGACTGCTGCAGGTCTCCCTCTAGAGCAGGAGTCTTGGGGGGCAGCTCAGAAGCATTGGCTCGCCTGGATCAGGGACTCCCAGGTTGCTTTGCTTGGCCTGGCCCAGGAGACCTCAGGAGACTTGTAATTAATAAATTAGAAGGGTCAGACAGCCTCCGGGGCACTAGCCCCATGAGGCTCATGCTCCAGTAATGGCTTCATGGGCTGAGCCCCAGGGACCTGGGACTCCCCCCTGCCTGGGCCTTACGCCTGCTAAGCAGGTGCTCTACCACTTGAGCCATTCTGCAGCCCTTTTTTGTGTTGGGTATTTTCGAAATAGGGTCCCTCTTATTTATCTGGGCTGGCTTGAACCTCAGTGCCTCTGCGCTCTGCCTCTGGAGCAGCTAGGTTTAAAAGTGTGAGCCACTGGTGCCCGGCTTCCCATATCTTAACCACACTGCACCTGTAGCGCTTCTCAGCTTGGAGCAGCCAGGTTTCAGGTACTCAGGAGTCACCTGACTGTTGGCTGTTGCATTGGACAATGCAGTTTCAGGGTCCTCGTGAGTACTGCTCAGAGTGCTACTCAAGAGGGCTTCCTGAGTTGGGCGCCAGTGGCTCACGCTTGTAATCCTCACTACTCAGGAGGCAGAGATCAGGAGGATCACGGTTCAAAGCCAGCCCCGGGGAAATAGTTGAAGAGATGCTATCTCCAAAAACCCTTCACAAAAATAGGGCTGGTGGAATGGCTCAAGGTGAAGGCCCTGAGTTGAAGCTCCAGTACCAGGAAAAAAAAAAAAAAAAAAAAAGGACTTTATGTAAGAGGTGGTGTCTGAAGTGGGGCTGTTAGGAGCTTTCCAGGGGGTTGAGAGTTGGGGGTGCAAGGCAGGATTACATGTGCTTCATTGCTTGTTCATCTATCCATCATCCATCCATCCATCTGCCCACCTATCCACTCATTCATCTACCCACCCACCTGTCCGTCTGTCCATCCACCCATCCAGCCACCATTCAATGAATGCCCCTGAGCGTCCAGGGGCAGGTCATGTGTTGAGGGATGTGGCTGGCACAGACGTGAGTCCGAGAAGGCCCCCATCCTTTAGCATACCAGACATTTATAAAGCACCTGCTGTATGCCAGGTGCTGTTCTGGGAGCCCCTTCTGGATTCTCAGAGTGATGTAGGGCAGTTTTTAACTGTGCAGATAAATCAGGCAGTTTTGTGGTGTGGAGTGGACTAGAGAGGACTGGGCTTCTAAATGCTGGAAGCAGAATGATAAGGAGTTCATTGCGCAGAAGCCGATGGGAAAGGCCTGGCCAGTGATGTGACAGGATCCGAGACCCTGATGATGGGAAGGTTGCAGGAGATGACTCCGGGAAGAAGGCACAGTTGGTGTCCGAAAGTCCAGTGTCTGGGGACATTGGGGAGGCGAGGAGGCTGAGGGAGGGCTGGGCCTAGACCTCTGGATGTTGGGGAAGAGGAGGGCCGCGGTCTGTGTGATTGAACATGGGGTCTGGACAAGATAGCAGGAGTGGAGTGGCTTGAGGACAAGCTCAGAAGATGGAGCCAGGAGGCAGCCAGTGGCTTGAGTGAGGGTAAGGCTCAGGTTTCATCTGCAGGAGGTGACTAGATAGTGGACCCTGTGAAGTCTGGTGCAGGAGGGCTGAGGAAGGGACTGGCAGCATGAAACAGGGTAGGAAGTGTGTGTGGCCGGGGACCTGGCACTATCCCGTCAGAGAGTGCTCAGAGGGGTGCTGTGGCACTGGGAAGCACAAGCCTGACCCAGGGTCCACAGAGGCAGCATTCTGGGGCATTCCACAGAGGGTCCTGGCCGAGCTGGAGGGATGGACCAGTACATGTTAGGGCAGGTTTGGTGGCCAGGAGTCAGGGAGGGAGAGGGAGCAGGCAGGGGACTTCACCTGGGGTTGGGAACTGGAAGAACATGGAGCTAAGTGGGAGGGTGGGTGCCAAGGCCCCAAGCACTTAAGCCACACATATGGTCATGTGTCAGCTGTGGGCCACTCTGACAGAGACCATTGCTGTCATGGGGGTTGAAAGCTCCCATAGAGGGCATCCAGAGCCCCAAGAGGCCACCCAGGGTGCCTAACACTTCAGGGACCACAGCAGGAGGAGGAAGGAGGGTGGGATAGTGCTAGCTGAGAAGCGTGTGCCAGATTTCTCTGCAGCGATCAGCATCCCAGGGCGGAGAATCTGCCCTCCAGGCTGGGCTGCCATGCATGGACGGTGAGGGCAGGTGGCTCAGCTCTCGCCCTTACCACCTGTCCTTCCCTGTCCTCTCCTCAGGTAAGAGCAAGGAGGCAGAGATCAAGAGGATAAACAAGGAACTTGCCAATATTCGCTCCAAGTTCAAAGGTAGGTTGGGTACCCAGATCCCTGGGTGTGAAGGAAGAGGGAGATGGGGGCACATGAGGTCCTTCCTCACTGCTGGCCCCCTTTCCTCCTTCCTCTGCTCCAGGGGATAAGGCCTTGGATGGCTATAGCAAGAAAAAGTATGTGTGCAAACTGCTCTTCATCTTCCTGCTGGGCCACGACATTGACTTTGGCCACATGGAGGCTGTGAACCTGCTTAGCTCCAATAAGTACACGGAGAAGCAGATAGTGAGTCTGGAGAGGAGGGGGTCTGGGCCTGGGAGTTTGGGAGGAGGACTGGGTCCTGGACCCCTGGGTCTGAGGGAGGAGGACTGGGTCTGGACCCCTGGGTCTGAGGGAGGAGGACTGGGGCCTGGACCCCTGGGTTTGAGGGAGGAGGGCTGGGCCTGGACCCTTGGGTCTGAGGGAGGAGGGCTGGGCCTGGACCCCTGGCTCTGAGGGAGGAGGGCTGGGCCTGGACCCCTGGGTCTGAGGGAGGAGGATTTGGGGCCTGGACTCTTAGGGGAGGAGGGCTGGAGCGAGTTTTTCTGGGTTGAAGTTTGAGTCTGAGGCCATTTGGCCAGCAGGCTCCCAGTCACTATCTTCCTCCTCGCCTAGGGTTACCTGTTCATCTCTGTGCTGGTGAACTCGAACTCGGAGTTGATCCGGCTCATCAATAACGCCATCAAGAATGACCTGGCCAGCCGCAACCCACCTTCATGTGCCTGGCCCTGCACTGCATTGCCAACGTGGGCAGCCGTGAGATGGGCGAGGCTTTTGCTGCTGACATCCCCCGCATCCTAGTGGCTGGGTGAGTCACTGGGGAGAGAGTGCAGAGATGAGGGCCAGCCAAGTTTGAGGCCCAGAGAGGTTGTGGCACCTGCCCAAGGTCACCCAGCCAGGCTGTAGAGCCAACACCAGTCTCAACACCCCAGTGGTTCTGGTGGCCAGAACCCCTTGTGGTCATTGTCTCTTCTCATCAAGTCAATTGGGTGGTGTGAGGTGGCTTCCACCCAAAGCCAGTGGTGTGTGTGTTGATACACAGAGCTCTAGCATGAAAGAGGTAGTAACCTTACTCCTGCATCCTCATTCATTCACATTGTTTTTGTATATGGTGGATCTCGTACTTGCTAGGCAGGTACAATAGCACTTAAGCCATGCTGCCTTTACTCTGGTTATTTTGAAGATAGAGTCTTGATTTTTGCCCAGGTGGGCCTGGACTGAGATCCTCCTATTTTAGGCTTCCCATCATTGCTGGGATGATAGGCACACATCACAACATCCAGCTTTTTTTCCATTGAGGTGGGATTTTGGAAACCTGTTTTGCACTGACTGACCTGGAACTGTGATACTCCCAATTTCAGTCTTTTGCGTAGCTTGGAATGACAGACAAACGCCACCATGATTAGCTGTTGGTTGAAACAGGGTCTCATGAATTACTTGTCCTGGTTAACCTCAAACCATGATCCTACCAATGTCAGCCTCCCAAGTAGGTAGGATTTTAGGATTCAAGAATTCAGCTGGATGCTGGTAGCTCACACCTACAATCCTAGCTACTGAAGAGGTTGAGATCTGGAGGATCTTGGTTTGAGGCCATCCTGGGCAAGTAGTTCATGAGACCCCCATCTCCAAAATAACCAGAGCAAAATAGAGTAGAGATGTGGTTCAAGAGGTAGAGCGCCTGCTTTGCAAGAACAAAGCCCTGAGTTCAAATCCCAGCCCCACCCCCCCAAAAAAAAAGAATTGAGCACTTACTATATGCCTGGCTTTCTGCTGATGAGTGGTGATGTTTCCATGCGCAGAGGTGGGTGTGGCCATGGCCCTCCCAGCATTCATAGGCCTTTGATGGAATACTTGGAAATGTGGAGTTCATCTCTCAGAACTCTGCTCTGAACTGGGCTTGGTGGCATACACTGTAAGCCCAGCATGGAGGAAGGGAGATCTAGAGTTCAAGATCAGCCTGGGTTATATAGTGAGACGCTGTCTCAAAAAAACAACAAAAAAAGATGCATCCAGTCGGTGACAAATGCTCTGAAGAAAGTACACAAGGTATTGGGGCAGCAGGCTAGAAGGTTTAAACTAGAATAGTCGGGGAGGGTCCCGCCAAGGAGGTGATGTGTGATGTAAGGCAGGAATAATGCAGAAGGGGTAGAACTGGAGGACGCTGGAGAAGCAGTGTCTAGAGCAAAAGGAGCAACAAGTGCAAAGACCCTGCTGTGGACATGAGTCTCTACATGTGTTTGTCTGACTGAAGTACAGTAGACATGAGAGACTTATGGGAGTTTGGATCTGGTTCTCACCGAAACGGGAGGTGATTGGTGTGTTTCAGGCAGATGAATGGTGAGATTGACTTTGTCTTCTACAAAGTTCATTCTGCCTGATGTCAGCAGAGGTAGGACTTATTTCTGGCAATATGGTAGACAGGTACCTGATGTTATCACTGAAACCTAACTATCAATGTTAGATAAAAGAGGAAAGAAAATATTCTTAATATTTTTTTTGGCAGTACTGGGGCTTGAACTCAGCTCTAGCACTTGAGCCCACCCCAATCCCTATGACACAAATTTTTTTTTTTTTTTGATGATACTAGGCCTTGAACTCAGTGCCTACACCTTGAGCCACTCCACTAGCCCTTTTTTTGTGATGTGTTTTTTCGAGATAGGGTCCTGTGAACTGTTTGCCTGGGCTGGCTTCGAACCACAATTCTCCTGATCTCTGCCTCCTGAGTAGCTAGGATTACAGATGTGAGCTACCAGTGTCCAGCTCAGAAAATATTCTTTAATGTGTCCATGAACTTGCCAGAAAATAAGGAACACACAGGCCACACTGGAAGCCCAGCAACTAGGTTGATGACCAGGGTACCAGGGTCACATTTTGCTTACAAGGCATTTGCTGGACTGGAAGAAACTAGTTACTGGTTTTTGGGCCCTGCAGCCTCAGGGAGCAGAGAAAAGCTTGTCCAAGGAGAGCCTCTAAAACACCACACTTCAAAGTAAAGGTGACCTAGATAGAATCCCCTTTGGGGACAGTACCCAAAATTACCTGTCTCAAACCTTGGCACAGAGCTGCCCTCAGACCGGCTTTGCACCCAATTTTGTCTTACCTGGGTAGTCCACCAGTTCCTGACTTAACCTCTAAAGTGATGCAAGCCAGGCGTGCATCCCAGCACTTGGGAGGCTGGGCAGGGGGTTCACGTAGCGCAGGCATTCTGAGATCTCACAGTCAAAGTCACTAGAGGTAGGATGAAGGACACCTTGAGGAATAACTGGCAGAAATATCTAAAAATAACACTGGAATTAAAACTATCCTACAGAACGGAAAATAAGTATATTTAAACTTTGTAAGCATAAAGCCTTGAGTTCAAATCCCAGCCCCCCTCCAAAAAAAAAAAAAGATGAGGATAGGCAGTTGATACTATCCTGCGGGAGGCGGGTTGTCAGCCATTGTGAAGAGGGAGGGAATGGGGACCTAGGGCTGAGGAGGTCTGTGTGGGGAATAAGTCTGGGCAGAGGTGGCCTCTTTCACACGAGGGATGGATGCTGAGGCACTGGAATCCTGGCCTTGCTTTGACTGGGGGATGGAGAGACTTTCTGTAGGTGACACATTTTTTTCCCATTGCTGGTAATCAAACCCAAGTTAGGCAAGTGCTCTTCACTTGAGCTATGCCCCCAGCCTTTTTGTTTGTTTCGGTGGGACTGGGGCTTGCAAAGCAGGCACTCTACTGTTTGAGTCACTCTTCTAGTCCATTTTGCCCTGGTTATTTTGGAGATGAAGTTCTTGAACTATTTGAGGTTGGCCTCAAACCATGATCCTCCTGATCTCAGCGTCCCAAGTAGCTAGGATTAGCTGCTTGAGCCACCAGCAACCAGCTGTATTTTTTTTTTTTTTTTTAAGGCTGAGTCTTCCATAGTCCAGTCTGGCTTTGAACTTGAGATCTTCCTGCCCCTGCCCCCCAAATAGTTAGGATTAAAGGGGCATACTACCATGCCAATTCAGTTGTCTCTATGCTCCTCGTTGTCCTCTTCTACCTTGTATGGTTTAATCCTGACCTGAGCGGTACCTCAGACTCAGCCCACTTACCAGCATCAGTGAGTAGTCCTTCTGCATGGTTCGTGACCTGCAGCGGACAGGGTGAGGGAGTCCACCTTGGCGCACTGGCAGCATCCAGGAGTTAATATACAGAACCACTCAGAAGGAAGCAAGGCTGTGATGGTGATAACGAAAGTACTGCACTAGCCAGGCCTCTGCTGGGTTCCAGTTTTAACCCAGTGATCGTGGGGTAGTTGAATGCTCCTCCATCATGGACATCAGATGAGCTGTGGTCCCACCTGTCCCTCACTCTCCAGCAACCTGCCCAGAGGAGGTCCAGCTCCTCTGCTATGGGCTTGCATGGTGGTCACCCAGACACAGACACGAGGGTCCAGTCTCCCCAACCCCGATCATGGGGTGTCTGCCTGGCCACTGGCAGGAAACAGCCACTGCGTTGCTCGCCACATTTGTCTGGTCCATGCAGGGACACATCTTTCACCTGGCCTTTTTGCACTGCAGGTTGCCTTCCTACGGCTCTGCCTTAGGTCCCTTGCCACCTGTTGGGTTAGTCCTTTCTGAGAAATTGGACCAAAGGCCCTGGCCTGGCTAACCCTGAAAGCTGGGCACCTCTTCTTTTTTGGGGGGGCGATGGGTTGAACTCAAGGTGTCTTGGGCTTCACCAGCCCTTTTTTCTTTTGGTGGTATTGGGGCTTGAACTCAGGGCCTTCACCTAGTGTCACTCCACCAGCCCTTTTTTTTTGTGAAGGGTTTTTCAAGATAGGGTCTCGCAAACTATTTGCCTGGGGTGGCTTTAAAACTCATCCTTCTGATCTCTGCCTCCTGAGTAGCTAGGATTACAGGTGTGAGGCACTGGCGCCAGGCTTCACCAGCACTTTTTTGTGTAGGGTTTTTTTAAGATAGAGTCTTGTGAGTTATTGCCCAGACTGACCTCAAACTTTGATCCTCCTGATGTCTGCCTCTGAGCAGCCTGGATTATAGTTGTGACCACAGGCACCAGTCTTTGGCACCTCTTCTTGAAGTGGCACCAGCTTCTTATGCAGTCTCATCCTTCACCCTGACACCCTACAGGGTCCTCCCTTTTCCTGAGGAGGAAACATGTTCCTGGCAGAGGTCCATGGTTTACCCCAGAACCACTCCCCAGTCACAACTCCTGGCAGGCACACTGGTCCTGAGCCATGGGTGCACCTTCTGAAATACCATGCTTTTCCTCATACTGGGAACTGGGTGACGGATTAGCACAGTGAGCCCTCTGAGTTGGGACACCCATTGTCTGCCAGGTTCCATGCTAAACAAACAAGTTCCTTTATAAGTTGCCAGTGGCCATCATGACAACTTACCCAGGACATTGTGGCTTAAGACACACATTGCTTCTTTCACTTATAGCCCTGGAGGTCACAAGTCCAAAGTCAGTCTCAGACTGAAATCCAGGGGTGGGCCGGATGGGTCCGTGTGGAGGCTCCAGGAAGCATCTGTTGCCTGTCTTTCCAGTTTCTAGTTTCTAGAGACCATCACAGCCCTGGGCTCATGGCCCCTCCTCTATCTTCAAAGCCACAGTGGTATCTTCTCTCCTTTGCCCATCATTTCTCTGGTCCTCTCCCCACTCCATTGCTCACTCAGTGTAGGCTCCCCTACTCCACCATTCCCTGCACACAGGCCCTGCCTGCCACAAGACATGGCACAGGCTGGAGGCCTTCTGTGGCACAGGTTTTTCAGTCTTTCCCAAGTGACAGTTTCCTATGCACTTGTTGCCTTAGCAGAGAAGCCTTCCTCCCTGCACCCTTCGCTCTGTGTTTGTGCGACAAGTGCATGTGTGTGTGTGTGTGTGTGTGTCTGCTGTGTGTGTGTGTGTGTGCGTGTCTGCTGTGTCTGCTGTGTGTGTGCGTGTGCGTGTGTGTGTGTGTGCGTGTGTGTGTGCGTGTGTGTGTGTCTGCTGTGTGTGTGTGTGCGTGTGTGTGTGCTGTGTGTGTGTGTCTGCTGTGTGTGTGTGTGCGTGTGTGTGTGCGTGTCTGCTGTGTGTGTGCGTGTGTGTGTGTCTGCTGTGTGTGTGTGCGTGTCTGCTGTGTGTGTGTGTGTATGTGTGTGCGTGTCTGCTGTGTGTTTGTGTGAGTGTGTGTGTGTGTGTGTGTGCATGTCTGCTGTGTGTGTGTGTGTGTGGTAAGTGACTGCCCCGGCTAGCGGGCAAGTCTGAGGACAGATGTTTCACCCATGTGTCTGCCGCTGTGTCCACAGTGCCCACAGCAGTGTCGGGCACCCTGCAGGCGCTCAGGAAGTGCTTGGTGAATGAAGCTGGGTAGAAATTGTGCTTTGCCCTGCCAGGGGCATGGGAGGTTTCTAAGATGTAGCCAAGTTGCAAATGAGGAAACCAAGTCCCAGTGGGCAGTGAGGGCAGTGCCCTGTTGGATCCAGGTCCACCAGCTGCCTGCACCTTTGGCTGGCCACTTAGCTGCCTTCCTGGGATGAATAAGAGAAGGGAGAGGGGTGCAGTCCCAGGTCGCTCTGACTGCCCCCACCACCGGCTATGTCCCCACAGGGATAGCATGGACAGTGTGAAACAGAGTGCAGCCCTGTGCCTGCTGCGGCTCTACAAGGCTTCGCCTGACCTGGTGCCCATGGGCGAGTGGACGGCGCGTGTGGTGCACCTGCTCAATGACCAGCACATGGTGAGGCCTAAACCCCTGGCCACTGTCCCCAGTACCTGTCCCCACCCAGCTACCCCAAAGGCCCTCTGTCCCAAACTCTTCTGGATGCCTGGGCCTTCACTTCTATCCTGACCTTCCCTGAATGTCCAAGACCCCCACCTCTGTCCTGATCCCCACAGGTGCTCAAGGCCCCCTCCTCTTCCTGGTCCCCAGATGCCTAGGTCCCCACCTCTCTCCTGACCTCCCATATGCTCAGGTCCTACCTCTGTCCTGACCCCCTGGATGCCCAGGGTCCCTTACCTCTGCCCTGACATCACCAGGTACCCAGAGGCCTTGACCCTGTATCCCCAGTTCTTGTGATCTACCCAACTGTCCAGAAACCTGCCTGCATCCTCGATGCCTACCTTGCTACTGAGATCCTAACAGTGGCCCCAGCCCCCATCCCTGGCCCAGTCCCTCAGCCCCAAAGAAGATTGTCTGCCTGTTTCTGATGCCAGCAGCTCCCATTACTTGCCTGGACAGCAGAGACCTTGAGCTCTGGCCCACCCTATCCACAGTTCCCATGGCTTCTTTCCCAGGTGCCAGGAGCATCCCGGACACCCAGGCCTGCTAGCACAGTTCCCAAGGCCATGTAGCCTCCTCATCTCACTCCTAAGCCCTACAGTGACACCTGTGCATACCCCAGCCTGTCCCTGCCCCTCTCCTGAGCCTCTGCCCTCCCTCCATGTCCAAGCCTGGGTTCTGGCCCAGTCTGACCATCCCCAGGACTCTGATGTGCCCTCCACCTGCCACTGCAGGGAGTGGTCACAGCTGCTGTCAGCCTCATCACCTGTCTGTGCAAAAAGAATCCTGATGACTTCAAGACCTGCATCTCTCTGGCCGTGTCTCGCCTGAGCCGGGTGAGTGTGGTCTTGGGGTTGACTGTAGGAAGGGTCCTGGATCCTTGTGCCCTGTAACACCTGTCTGATTCCCCCCTCTGCCTGAAAGGCAGCCCAGCCAGTGTGTTTGAACCCCAGGGTCTGAGCTGGGTCCATCTGGGCTCTGCATTTCCTGGCTGTATGGCCCTGGGCAAGTGGCTTCACCTCTCTGGGCTTCAGTTGCCTGTCTATTCAATGGAAATGATGCCAGTGTTGCCTTATAGCACAGATGCTGTGGATAAAGTGCTTGGAATGGGGCCTGGAGCTGACCAGTGTCCTGAAGCAAGAGCTGCCCTCAGGTGCCCCGCCCCGTTTCTTCCTCCCTCTCCTTTTTCTTTCTTTTTTTTTCATGGAGCTGGAGTTTGGACTCAGGTCCTCGCACTTACCAACCAGGAGCTCTATCACTTGAGCCACTCCCCCAGCTCCTTTTTATGTTGGTTATTTTGAAATAAGGTTTTATGAACTATTTGCCTAGGCTGGCCTTGAACCGTAATCCTCCTGATCTCTGCCTCCTGAGTAGCTAGGATTACAGGAGTCAGCCACTGGCACTTGACTGTCTCTTCCTTTTTCTTCCTTGCCTCCTATAACTCTTTCTTGTATGTCTCCCTTTCAACTCCTCCTTTCTGTGCCTCTTACCTCCTTTGCTCCTGTCTTCAGAGCTCCCTGAGGTCTCCTGCATGTCAGGCTCCATGTAGGGTGACACCAGGGACATATGAGTCAGACCTCAAGGAGACCTCTGTCCTGCAGGGAGGGGGGCAAGTGGCAGGAGAAATGACTCAGGCACAGATTGCCACAGAGAGTGGTTTGGGCATTGTAGGTTCCCAGAAGAGGCCTTACCCCAGGCTGCAAGCCAGGAGGGCTTCCTGAGGGAAGGCAGTCCCTAGTCAAGACTGAAAACTCATCAAAGTGCTTCCTGGGTGGTAGGAAGAAGCCACAATTTTGAGGCAGAAGGGACCTATTCAGTTCACTCATTCTGTCCTTGTGTCCTTCATTGACCACACGTCTGAGTGCTCCTGGGTGTACTATGGGAGTGATCCCTGGAGAAGGGGATTCAAGGTTGAATGGGAGTTTGCTGTGAGGAAAAGTCACATGAATTTTGATCTTTCACTAATTGTCCACCTCTTCCCAGAAATTTCCTCCTTTCTTTTTGAACTCAGGGCCTTCACCTTGAGCCACTCCATCAGCCATTTTTTTTGAGATAGGGTCTCTCAAACTATTTGCTCAGGCTAGCTTTGAACCTCGATCCTCCTAATCTGCCTTCTGAGTAGCTAGGATCGCAAGGGTTTTTTCGAGATAGGGGCTCTCAAACTATTTGCTCGGTCTGGCTTCGAACCTCGATCCTCTTGATCTCTGCCTTTTAGACAGTAGCTAAGATTGCAGGCATGAGCCACCAGTGCCAAGTCCTCCTTGCTGACCTTGTGTCAGACCCAGGGCTTGGAAAAGGGTCATCCCTGTTACTGCCCTTCCAGTGGTAGAGGAAAGCAATCCCCATTGAGCCAGTGTGACATAGCTATGATGGAGGAGGCAGAGTCACCAAGGCACTGGCCTGGCTTGGGAACTGCCACACATATGGAACCAGTAATGACTTTGCCTGCCACAATGGTTCCAGCATTACTGAAGAAAGTCAGCCAGCCCTCGGCATAGTCTCCATCCCATCCTCTCAGGCTCTGCCAAGGCTCACCCCACCCCCAGTCTCAGTTTTCCCTCTTTAAGTTCTTGCCAAGGCAAAGGCTGGTGTAGTACCTGCCTAGCAAGCACAAGACCCTGAGTTCACACCCTAGTATCACCAAAAAAAGAAAAAAAAAGAAGAAAACCAACCTAGAGGCAGCATATGCTGTAGCCAGGGGCAGGCTACATCCTTGTCCTCTTCTCCCTAGATCGTCTCCTCAGCCTCCACTGACCTTCAGGACTACACTTACTACTTTGTGCCCGCGCCCTGGCTCTCTGTGAAGCTCCTGCGGCTGCTACAGTGCTACCCCCCGCCAGGTAGGGCGACCTAATGCTGGGCTGCTCTTTGCTGGGGTCTGGGTCAGGCCTCTAGCCCCTGCTGTGCGGCTGTGTGGGGAGGGGCAGCTCCAGTGCCAGAGCCCCCTGCCATGTGCTAGGTCTTGACAAAGCTGGCCAGAAGGACTGTCCATGAGATGCAAATGGGGAAACTGAGGCCCGACAGCTTGGAGTCACAGAGCCTGATCCAGAGTCTGGTTCTAAAGCCTCCTTCTCCTGCTGGACCAGTTTCCCCGAGCTTCTGTCATCTCAGACTGACAACAGGTGTCAGGGGACACTGCTCTGAGGTGCGTGTCAGGCAGTTGGTTCCAGTGAGCCCATTCCTTTCAGTGCAACCCATGTGTGTGTGTGTGTGTGTGTGTGTGTGTGTGTGTGTGTGTGTCTGTCTGTCTGCATGCCTATGTGAGTACTTGTGTGTCTGTGTGTATCCCTCTGTGTATGCGTGTGTGTCCCACTGTGAGTGTGTGATGCAGATGACACCTGGGTCTTTCTTGGCTTAGGAAGCCAGTGACGAATCTCATTGTGGCGCGGGGACGTGGTGGGGCTCTTGCCTTCTCTAACCTTCCACGTTGTGGGAATTGTATACATGGCCCTGCTCTGGGCTTGGCCAGAGGAACCCCAGTCCCGTGTCATCCCCTTTCATCACGTGCTGGGGGCCACCTCCCATTTATTTCCAAGTAATGTTTTGTTTAGAATATATTACAAAAAGTTTCTCAACAGACAGACAAGTGGAAAGGTCCCATTATCTAGACTTCTGGTTTTGCTGTACACACATGTTCAGGTTGTATTTTTTTCTGAAATATTTAAAAGTAAATCATAAGTATCATATTTTATCTTAAAACATTTTGTAAAATATTTCTAAAAATTAGGTGCATTTTCATTCATAACAGCAACTCCACTGCCATACTTAAGACTGTTTCTCAAGTTGGATGTGGTAGGGCACAGCTATAATCCCAGCACTCAGGAGCCTGTGGCAGGAGGAGGGGTTGAGAGTTCAAGGCTAGTCTGGGCTATATAGTGAGACAATGTTTCAAACAAAACAAAAGAAGAAACTGATATCCTACTGTTTTCCCTAACATATCTCTTGCAATTGGTTCAGGGTAGGATTTTATTAAGGCATAAGTATCAAATTTGATTATTGTCTCTCACTAATCTCTTTTACTCTGGAAGAACTGCCCCCTTTATTCTCTGACATTCGCTTTCGCCCTCTATTATTCCATTTATTTTTGTCGTTTGTTTTCTTAGACAAGTTCTCACTCTGTAACTCAGGCTGGCCTTGAACTCACCATCCTCCTAGGGCCTGAGCCTCCCGAGGGCTGGGATTATAGGCATGCACTTCCATGCCTGGATAGTTCTTTTACTTTTCTTTTTTTTTTCAGTGGGACTGGGGTTGAGGTTTGAGCTCAGAGCTTCATGCTTCCAAAGCAGGCGCTCTACTGATTGAGCCACACACCTCCAGTCCTATTTCTTTCACTCTTAATGTTCACACACATACAAACCTGTGTTTAGAAAAACTGGGAGACTTTTGTTTGTGTTGCACGTTCTTGATTTGCCTGATCACTGCTTTGGGTGTCCTTTAGTTTGTTCCTCTGTCCCCTGAATTTCCTGATGGATTCAGAACTTTTTCTGCCTAAACACCCAGCAGCTGTTCTGTGTATGTGATCACACATCACATTCCAGGAAACGTCAGTGCTTGGTGTTTGCTGTTTGCATGGGTTTCTGGATGATATTCTCCTCCTTGGAGGTGGGGCCGCTGTGGGTACTGGCGAGCTTTCTCCCTGCTGAGCTCCTAGCAGCTCTGCCCGAGTGAGCGCACAGTGATCTCCTGGGCTGGTGGCTGAAGGCCAGCTCTGTCCTTAGCACTTACAGCTTCTTGGAAAGGCCTGCGTTTGGGGATGTCCTTGGCGAGACAGCTCTGTGATGAACTTAGTGAACATCGGTGCTGCAGAAGGGGAAACTGAGGCTCCCAGGTGGAGCCTCTTGCCCAGAGACTCAGAGCGAGGTCTGGAGATGGGTGCTCTGTCTCCAAGGTATCTTCTCGCCCCTCCCATGCAGGCTAGGGACCTGGGAAGATGGAGGTGGCAGAGATCCCAGCCTAGAGCATCAGGGCTCTAGGAGCTCCGAGGCAGCTGCAAGCTCCTTTCCTGAGAGCAGAGGCATGGTGGGCGCCTCGCTCAGCACATACATGTCCTCATTTCCCCAGAGGATGCGGCCGTGAAGGGGCGGCTGGTGGAGTGTCTGGAGACTGTGCTCAACAAGGCCCAGGAACCACCCAAGTCCAAGAAGGTGCAGCACTCCAATGCGAAGAACGCCATCCTCTTTGAGACCATCAGCCTCATCATCCACTATGACAGGTGCTGCTGGGTGGCAGTGCTCAGGAGAGATGGGCCTGGGCTTATGGGTCTGAGGCCTGGACCCACTGGTTCTGGGGGAGGAGGGTTGGGGGCTGGGCTTATGAGTCTGAGGGAGGAGGGCTGGGCCTGGACCCCTGGGTCTGTGGAGGGAGGGTTGAGAACCTGCACTTCCTGGTAGGAAGAGGATGGTGGCATGAAGTGTTACCCAATGGGCTGGTACTGCAACCCTTCTTGAAAGGCAGAATTGCTGCATGTATTTTTTTGGGGTCATTGGCCCAGCTGTCCCTGTCCCCAGGAGGGCAGGGTGGGCAGAAGTTAAGACTTGGATCAGCTTACCTCCCTGCCCCTCCTTGCTCTGTCCCGGCAGTGAACCTAACCTCCTGGTGCGGGCCTGTAACCAGCTGGGCCAGTTCCTGCAGCACCGGGAGACCAACCTGCGCTACCTGGCGCTGGAGAGCATGTGCACGCTGGCCAGCTCTGAGTTCTCCCACGAGGCTGTCAAGACCCACATCGACACAGTTATCAACGCTCTCAAGGTGCGCTTGGGGAGTCTCCCCTGGCTCTCTGTCCTCCTCACGTAGCCAGGGACTCAGAGGCTACGAATGGCCAGCCTTGTGCCACAAAGGAACCTATTACCCAGCCTGGTCCTGCTTTCCTCCCTCAGACGGAGCGGGATGTCAGCGTGCGGCAGCGTGCAGCTGACCTCCTCTATGCCATGTGTGACCGGAGCAATGCCAAACAGATTGTGTCAGAGATGCTGCGGTACCTGGAAACAGCTGACTATGCCATCCGTGAGGAGATCGTGAGTCTTGGGAGCTAAGGCCTAGACCCCTGGGTCTGAGGGAGCAGGGCTGGGGCCTGGACTCCTGAGTCGGAGGGAGGAGGACTGGGGTCTGGACCCCTGGGTCTGAGGAAGGAGGGCTGGGGTCTGGATTCTCGGCTCTCCAGATGAAGGCCATTGTGAACCAGAACCAGATGACTTGATCCCGATACTGACTGCCTCTCACGTGTGCACAGCACATACTACATACACACCTTTCCACCTTCCTTGCTGCAGGTGCTGAAGGTGGCCATCCTGGCTGAGAAGTATGCTGTGGACTACAGCTGGTACGTGGACACTATCCTCAACCTCATCCGCATCGCGGGTGACTACGTGAGTGAGGAGGTGTGGTACCGTGTGCTACAGATCGTCACCAACCGCGATGATGTCCAGGGCTACGCTGCCAAGACCGTGTTTGAGGTCAGCATCCTTCATCCTGACCCCGTAATAGGACACAGCTGCCGAGAAAGTACATCTGAGCTGTGGGGCCGGCCAACCCCTGGCACTGTCCTGCCTTTTGCTGCAGTGTGACCTCAGCTCTGTGCTTTTCCCTCTCTGGGACACCCAAAAGATGCAGGAGCTGTAGCCCCACAGGCTGAGAAGGGTCCACAGAGCGTGGACATGGGCCTGATGTGCTGTGTGCCATCCTGGGTCTTGGTAGTTTCTCACTTCCTGTGTTCCAGAAGAGGGGCCCAGTTCTGCCCCCATTTTACTGTGTGAATTCGGGCCTGTTACTTAATCCTCTGTGCCTCAGTCTCCCTACCCGTAGCCCCACCTGCATCCAAGATTCATGAGGGTTCCACCTATTAATAGGACCCAGGACCAAGCCCTGTGCCTTACATATTCTAAACAGGGTCCATGACCCTCTTACTCTTGACCTTGCTCTGCCTTCATCTCCTCCCAGGCCCTCCAGGCCCCAGCCTGTCATGAGAACATGGTCAAGGTCGGAGGCTACATCCTTGGGGAGTTTGGCAACTTGATTGCTGGTGACCCCCGCTCCAGGTGAGGAAGCCTTAGGCTTAGGATAAATACCTGCACTTTTGAGGGACTTGGGGGGACCTGCAGAAGGTTTAGGGGTGGGAATGAGGGGGTTCCCAGGAATCTCAGTGTGTCACCAGAACCATCCATCTAGGTAAGAGGGGATTCTGGGCCAGAGCCCTACAGCAACCTCAGCCTCTCAAGCCACCCTGTGTCCTGAAAGGGATTTGGGGAAAGGGTCCCTGCCCAGAGCAGCTCCTTATGGCCATCTGCCCACTCCCACAGCCCGCCGGTGCAGTTCTCTCTGCTACACTCCAAGTTCCACCTGTGCAGCGTGGCCACACGGGCCCTGCTGCTGTCCACCTACATCAAGTTCATCAACCTCTTCCCGGAGACCAAGGCTACCATCCAGGGTGTGCTTCGGGCTGGCTCCCAGCTGCGCAATGCGGATGTGGAGCTGCAACAGCGCGCTGTCGAGTACCTCACCCTCAGCTCCGTGGCCAGCACGGATGTCCTGGTCAGAGCCCTGTGCTCCCAGCCTCTGGACACTCCCTTCCCTCCTGACTGGCAGTGGGTCCTCCTGACCATCCCCGTCCAACCCACAGGCCACTGTGCTGGAGGAAATGCCGCCCTTCCCTGAGCGCGAATCCTCCATTCTAGCCAAGCTGAAACGCAAGAAGGGGCCAGGGGCTGGCAGCGCCCTGGATGATGGCCGGAGGGACCCCAGCAGCAATGACATCAACGGTGGTGTGGAGCCCACCCCCAGCACTGTGGTGAGTCTCCCCAGGTGGGTCTCCAGGGCTGGGGCTCACAGCACGCTGCCCTGCTGCCTCATCTCACCTTCGCCTAAACTTCCTGCAGTCCACGCCTTCGCCCTCTGCCGACCTCCTGGGGCTGCGGGCAGCCCCTCCCCCAGCAGCACCCCCGGCCCCTGCGAGTGCGGGGAACCTCCTGGTGGACGTCTTCTCTGATGGCCCAGCTGCCCAGCCCAGCTTGGGGCCCACCCCCGAGGAGGCCTTCCTCAGGTACCACCCCAGGGCTGCCCTGTCCCCAACCTGTGCCCCCTTTTCCACTCGGCCCCTCCCTACCTCCCAGCTAGCTCCTTGCCAGCCCGGTCTGCTGCCTCCCTCTGGCCACTCTGGATTCTGCCACCCCTGGACACCATTTGTTGTCCTTTCCCATCACTGATTTCTCAGCTTGCTCTTCCTTCTCTCCTTCCCTCCTCCCTCTCTGTCTCTGTTTTCCACCCTCTTGCTGCCTCTCTGGGATTGGCTGCCTGCCACACCTGTCTCCTCTGTCTGCTCTGGGATTGGATGGCCCAGTGAGCTGGAGCCGCCTGCCCCTGAGAGCCCCATGGCTTTGCTGGCTGACCCAGCTCCAGCTGCTGAGTAAGGGGTGGCCTCAGGGTGTGGGGGGGCAGACTCTGGTGTCCCCACAGTGGGTTAGGGGACTAGGAGTTCTAGTTAAACCAGGGGTCAGAGAGTAAAACTCTGGGTCCTCTGATGGGGGGGACATCTGTCAGCATCTCCGTCCCATTAGTGGCAGCTGCTGGTCTGACTTGGTTCTCTGAGGTTCTCTGGGGGGCCGGGGTGTGTGGATTCTGGGGTTCTGCCCTTCCAGGACTTCTTGTCACCCGCCCCCCCACCCAGTCCCTTCTCCCTTTCACCTCCCCCAGCCCAGGTCCTGAGGACATTGGCCCTCCCATCCCGGAAGCCGAAGAACTACTCAATAAGTGAGTTCTGGGAGAGATGGGCCAGGGGAATGGGGATAGGTGAGGGCCCACGGCAGGTTCCAACAGGTCCCCCAACATCCTGACTCCTGACACCCCCACCCAGGTTCGTGTGCAAGAACAATGGGGTCCTGTTTGAGCCAGGGACCCGGTTCCAGACTCCTGTTCAGCCCATCTTCCTATGAACTCATGGGCATGTGGTTACTTTTCTGATTCCTTCTCTGTAAAGTGGGGTGGGGCTTCTTTCCCCCAGGACAGATGACAGTGTTGCTATCACAGGAAGCATTACTTATAGGACCCCAGGTGCCCTGTCAGACACCTTCCCAGCCCTGAATCAGCCTCCACACCATGGTGTCAGGGTCTTCTGCACTCATGAGCTACATGGGCTCTAGATGCTGACCAGGGACTGCTCCTGTGGGTCCTGGACTGTCACTTTGCCTTCCTAACTCTGTAAAGTGTAGACTCTCCCCTTTCTTCTCACAGGGCTGTTTTGAAGGTCAGAACAGCTGGAATACTTTGGAAGACTGTCCCAACCTCTGGGCCCCCAGACCCCTGGGGAGCATTTCATTCTTTGCTTCATTCACTCATCCATTTCAGGAGGCTGTGGTAGAAATCTCTGTGCCAGGCGTGGGGCAGGGGCCAGTGGGAGATACTAGGTCTCAGTCCTTGCCCCTGTGTTGCGTTTTGTTTTTTTGAGGCAAGGTCTCTGTATATAGTGCAGGCTGGCCTTGACTCTCCATTCTCCTGCATCCACCTGGATAGAGCCCACGCCCGAGGCATGAATCCAAATGGTGACAACACTAATCGGTCCCATCTGTATGTACTTACCATGTGCTGAAAAAACAGACAAGTACTTGTGATGGATTATTTCACTCCTGTCCCTTTACAGATGAGGCTAAGAGAGGTTTTGTAGCTTGTCTCATCACCCATGTTGTAAGAAATGGGAGTCAGATTCCAGGGCCGATACTGCAGGGCCGGGACCCAGTGGTAGGCAGGACGCACCTGGGTATGTCAGAGGCTTTGTACAGGAGGGACTTGGGAACTGGCTCTTATGAGCCTGGGATTGATTGCCTGGCAAAGGCCTGGGCTGGGGCTGCCAGGACATCAAGGGTTCATGGCCAAGATGCCCCTGGGCGCCCACCTCTCTCTCTGGCTTCCTTGACAAGGCGGGCACAACTAGCTGTGCAGACCAAGCGTGTGGCCGCGCAGGTGGATGGTGGGGCGCAGGTGCAGCAGGTGCTCAACATTGAGTGCCTGCGGGACTTCCTGATGCCCCCACTGCTGTCCGTGCGTTTCCGGTAAGTTGGAGCAACTGTCAGGTGGGCGTGGCTTCTGGGTGAGGCAAGTAGCCTGACAGAGCTAGCCCTCCCCTACCAGGTACGGTGGTGCCCCACAGTCCCTCACCCTGAAGCTCCCGGTGACCATCAACAAGTTCTTCCAGCCCACGGAGATGGCAGCCCAGGACTTCTTCCAGCGTTGGAAGCAGCTGAGCCTGTGAGTGGTGGAGCAGAGCCCCAGGGGCAAGGGGCAGGACCGGGGCCTTCTGGGCCCTGACTTGAACTCTCCTTGCTCACAGTCCTCTGCAGGAGGCACAGAAAATCTTCAAAGCTAATCACCCCATGGATGCCGAAGTTACTAAAGCAAAGGTGAGAGGGAGGGTTTGGTTTTTTTTGGTGGAACTGGAACTCGGCACTTCAAGCTTGCAAAGCAAGTGCTCTACAGTTTGAGCCTCACCCCCAGTCCATTTTGCTCTGGTTATTTTGAAGATGGGTTTGGGGGAATCTCTCAAACTATTTGCCTGGGCTAGCCTTGAACTAGCCTGATCTTGGCCTCCCATGTAGCTAGGATTATAGAAATGAGCCACCAGTGTCTGGCAAGATGGGACAGTGTTTTGGGGGTACTGGGGTTTGAACTCAGGGCCTGTACTTGCTAAGCAGGAGCTCTACCACTTGAGGTGTGACCGCAAATCCAGGATGGGACATTTTTGTGGGGTGGTGGCCACTTGTCTTTAAGCTTGTTTTGCCATCTATAAACTTGGGCCAGTTCTAATCCTCAAGTGTTTTGGGGAAGTGGGATGCTGCCTTGATGCCACAGCTACAGAGCTCTGGCAGTCTCTGATGGCTCTTCCCTCCCTGCAACAGCTTCTGGGGTTTGGCTCAGCCCTCCTGGACAATGTGGATCCCAACCCTGAGAACTTCGTGGGGGCTGGAATCATCCAGACTAAAGCCCTGCAGGTAGGCTGTCTGCTTCGGCTGGAGCCCAACGCACAGGCACAGGTGAGTGTTGATGTTGGGAGGCTGGAGGGAAGGACTTCCAGACTGCCTGTCACTACAAGGCCCAGAGTCCCTGTCCCCCCATCCTCTGGTCTCCCTTCTCTCTCCTTCCTCCATATCCTTCCCATCTTTCCTCTTCTCCTTTCATCTTTACCTCCTGTCTCTTACATCAACTTTCTGACCTGTGTCCCCTGCCCTGGGCTTTCTTCTCTCATTTGGTTGCTGTCCTTCTGAGCACCCCCCCACACACTTCTGCAATGCCCCCCACCCAGATGTACCGGCTGACCCTGAGAACTAGCAAGGAACCCATCTCCCGCCACCTGTGTGAGCTGCTGGCCCAGCAGTTTGAGCCCTGGACCTGCTCCAGAGATGTGGCCGGCACCAGACAGCCCCAAGGACTGAGGCAACTTTGGGAGACAGGGCAGCGAAGAGACATCCACTGGTGACAGGGAAGACCCCAGGGGTGGGGGGATGCCTGGGACCTTCCTCCGGCCTTTTGTATTTTTATTTTTGTTCATCTGCTGCTGTTTACATTCTGGGGGGTCAGGGGGAGCCCCCTCCCTCCCTTTCCCCCCCAAGCACAGAGGGGAGAGGGGCCAGGGAAGTGGGTGCCCCCTCCTCTCCCACCCCCACCCTGTCGTAGCCCCTCCCACCCTCTCCCCATCCAGGGGTGTGTATTATTGTGAGCGAATAAACAGATGCTACTACCCCAGGGTCACCTGCGTGGGTCACCGACCCCTAGCTGGTCAAAGGAGTGGGGTGAGGGCATGCAGAGTGTGGGTGGCCAGGCTTCGCAGTCCGTGGGTGGGACTTTGAGGAAGCACCAATAGCAGCAGCAGCCGCAGCCCCAGCTGAAGAGCCACCAGTTGCCACCCCATGCCTGGCCCCAGCACCAGGTAGCAGGCTTTCGGTAGCTGGGCCCGGTTAACCATGTCTTCTGCCTTCTCCATTGGCCCTGGCTCTGGAAAAGGACAGAGAGCGCTGAAGTGACCATGAGGAGACAGGGAGGGGTGTGACCCTCCACCAGTGTACATGTTACATTCATGGGGTCTTCACCAGGCTGGGGCGCCATCCTCATCCCTGCCCGTTTCTCTTGAGGGCTTTGCAGGATTTACAACCTTTTCTTCCTAAGCTGGAGTCTGTAGGGTCTTCACCACCTAGACTATGGGCAGTAGTGTGGAGTGGTCGAGGAGTGGATGTGAGCCTGGCTCCAGGCTTGAACTGGGGTTCTGCCACTTACTGGCTGAGCCTTGTCACCTGCTCTGCAGCATGAGAGCAATGACTTAACAGAATGCTCTTCATCTGGGAGGACAAAGTGAGTCCTTGTGTGTAAAAGCACTAGCAAGAAGAGGCCTTAGCTGGGCTTGATGATACACACCTGTAATCCCAGCAACTGGCCAGCTACAGCAGGAGGATCTAGAGTTCTAGGCCAGCCTGGGCTACATAAAGAGAGACCTGCTTCAAAAAACAAAAAAGGGGCTGGTGGAGTGCCTCATGTGGTAGAGCATCTGCCTAACAGGTGTGAGGCCCTGGGTTCAACCCCCAGCACTGTCAAAAAAAATTAAAAAGGCCTCATAATTAGGACTAAGTTTTGAAGCCACGGGGGTTATGTGGGATCCCCTCCCTTCCCACCTGTGTCAGTGCTCAGTGCAAAAGGAAACCAAGCCTTGCAAGGTGTGTTCTGCCTCTCTCCAACCTTTCCTCTTACTTCCACTGTGTGCGACCTGGGACCCCCGTCCCTGCCTGTGAGAGGGGCACTGTGTCTGCCACTGACCTGGTGGGAAGTGTGTGGTGGTGACCAGGGTGTAGAAGTTTCGGAGGAGACGCCGGCGCTGTTCTGGGGAAGGCTCTGGAAGAAAGAGACAGGGTGATGGAGGGCCCTGGCCCCTAGCCCTCTGCACCGGCCGGTGTCCTCAGTCACCTTTATCCCCCAAAGGCTCCACGGTGAACAGGCAACGTTTCAGTTCCAGGTGAAGGAGCAACAGCCTGTAGGGAAAGGGGGTGTAAAGACCAGGAAAAAGGGGGTGAGGACCGCTAACCCGCTCCCTGCAGAGTCCTACCCGAGGATGTCTGTGTGCAGCGGGAAGCCATCGGGCAGCGCTCGCGAGCCCAGTGGCAGGCAGGCCCGCAGTGGGTCCAGCAGGGGTTGCCACCAGCGCTCCAGAAGCTGTAGGAGGCGTGGTCAATGGGGGAGGGGCCAGAGGCACAAATGGAATGGGTGGGGCGGAGCCTGGAAAGACCCAGGCAGAGGGAGAGTGGGTGAACTGGGGTGGTGATTGGAGAGCACGCCAAAGAGGGCGTGGCATGAGGGAAGGGAAGGGGCCAGAGAAAAGTGGCTCACGGCGGCTGGTGACCAAGGGCTGGTGACCCAGGGCGAGGAAGTAGAAGGTGTCATAGGGAAGAGGCCGATTCACCTGTGCGTCCAGCTGGCTCAGGGACGGGCGTGGCCCGCAAAGCAGACACAGCTCCAGGCCCGGCAGCAGCGTCAGGGTCAAGAGCCGGTGAGGGACCTGAGGCAGGGCACAGGGTGGGGCTGACCACCGCCTGGGCCCATCCACCACGGTGCTGTCTCCTGGCGTCTCGGCCCCATCCCTCGAGTACTAGCCCCTTGCCCTCCTGGGCCACTCACTCACCGTGGGACTCCCGTGAGGCAGGTACACCGGATAGTCGCGAGCAGCCTGCGGCGGCAGAGACCCCACTAGCCAGGGGAGCAGCACGGCCTCGGGCATTCCCAGCCTCCACCAGCCCTCTGTCGCTGCTACCACCCGGCCGATACCATCAGACTGACAAAGGCTGTGCCCGTGGCCTCCGCGAACCCGGCAAGGGCTTCCTAAGTGAAGAAGACCGAATGGGAGTCAGGAGACAAGGCAGAGGTGTGAAAGGCATAACTTCCCTGGACAGTCAGGAGCATGCTATGAGCAACTAGGCTCCTGTGTCTTACCCTCTCTGAGCCTGAGCTCCTTCACTGTAACATGTTGTCACAATCCCCAACTCTAATTAAGTTGAATTAAACTGCCCAACCTGACCTGTACATACAGAAGCTATCACCTGAACAGAAACTGCTAGGGTATGATTCTGCCTCGTGCCAACTAGGCATAATCTACAACCTATTGAAACTCAAATGGTGTCACTGGTGGAGTCACATTGCTGGGAGGTGGCCAGCCCAGTTGAGTGAACAGTATCTTAAGAAAGGCAGATGCCCATTCACCAGGCAAAGGAAGAGCATGTTCCAAAGGTGGGGAGTTAGATGGGTGTTGGGTTCTGAGGGGGGCTGGGAAGCAGGTAGGAAGATAGTTTTGCAACAGCTAGGGTAGGCATGTGTTTCACAGGCCCTTAAACATCAGGCTGGGGGTCTGGAAGATTGCCCTGAGGAAATGGTCACCACTGTAGGACTGTGAGCAGAAAAGAAGCAGGCTAGCTCTGGGTGCAGAAAGACTCAGAGGTCAAGTGGGAACCCAGACGAGGAGATTAGGCTAGTGGTCCAGGGGCGGAAGATGACAACTGAGCCAAAGCCATAGGGATAGATCAAAATTTCCATAGCTTCCCCCACAGTACCTGCAGGAGGGACCCCTCTGGAGGAGTCACACAGTCCACACACTGAGTCAGGTCCCCAATGAGCTCTGAGTCCCCCAGGAAGCTGTCGATGAGGTGATAACTGGCCTGGCAGAAAGAGAAAGGAGGAGCCTAAAACCCAGGTGGACCCTGATTTGCTGCCTCCTCCAAAAAAAAAAAAAGCTGTGCCAACTCCAGGGTCAGACAACCAAGTTGCTCTGAAAACCCATGGGGTCATCCTGCCTCAGGGACTGCTGGGAGTTGCAGTTCCCAAATGGTAGCCTACTCATCCTAACTTCCCATCCTCAAGTCCTGCAGCCTTACCCTCAATTCCTTCTTCAGTCTCTCTACATTTCGGATATTGGTCAGTTCTTCAAGTCCCACGAGAAGAACCTAGAAGAAGCACGTAGGAGAATGGGAACCGTTGACAACAGGTTCTAGTAGAGGAGGAGATGGTCTGAGGGAGGATGGGGTGGGGGCTTTGGCAACTGGGACTGAGGGACAAGGATGCTGAGAGTTCAGATCTTTCCATTGGGGAGTCTCACCATGGCCCCGAATATCATCTGGAGCAGTCTCTCCAGCCTCAGCTCCGAGATGCCCTCCTCAGAAGACAGAACAATGAGGGTGATGCTGTGGAAAGGAAAGATGAGACAGACAAATGAGTCCAGGCCTGGGAAACAGGGCGGTGCGTATAGCTGGGTCCACCAGTTGATCCTAGAATGTTTGCTACTTCCTCTCTCAGCCCACCCTGCCTCTTACAGAGAAAATCAGCGACCTGACAGGGTAACTAGCTTGCCAAAGATCCCACAGCCAAGTGAACGGCTGGAGGGACACTGAAGACATTTTCAACAGGGACTGGCCATGCCTCAAACTCTGGCCAAGTGACCTGTCATGGAAGCTTTTCCACACGATGGTCGTGTCCTCCGTCCTCGCAGAGCTCAGTTGCACTTCCAGATTTTGCCCGAACATATGGACTCCATTCAGGGCACCGATGACAGAGAATGGGAGCTGGGAGGAGTTGGAGGTGTTAGACAGGAGCACCCTATGCTCTCCTCCTTGAGAACCAAGTGTAGGAGCTCCCAGTCCCTCCCTTTCCACATCTCTGAGCTGCTCTTCGGGAAACCTGGCTTATCTGGCGCCCCCTCGGACCTCTAAACGCAACATGGAACCCTCCCCAGCCCCAACTCCCTGAAGACCAGGACTCCAGGAACCCTAAATTCCTTCGATTTTGGATCCAGGAGTCCCAAGTCCCACCTGCTGACGAGTGGGGGCGCCCCCGCGGCTGCTCCTGCAGAACAGAGGGACCCCGCTGGACGCCGCGAGGCACAGCAGATGCACGGTGCCACCCGGCCCCTCCTCTCCCATTTGGAAAGCTCCTGTCTCCTGCGCAGTCACCCTCTGGGGACTGTCACTGACAGTCTGGAAGCATGCCGACAGTCACACTAAGTCGGCCCGCTGTCTGAAGCCGCCAGAGGGCGAGGTGGAAGGCTAATTGGAAGAGAACTAAATTCCCGCCTGCATCCAACTTAGCCCCTCAACCTGTTAGGTTCTCTTCCGACCCCAGCCGGAAGTCACAATACCCCTAACAAAGATGGCGGCTAATCATGTTTGTAAAGCTTTGTAGTTTCTTCGACAAGATTTGACTTCATTTATTTAAAATGGAAAATGAAGAGGATGTCTTGAAAATGGTGATAGTACGAAGGCGTTGCCTAGTAACCATCTCGTAAGCTATAATAATATACATCCTAAATCGAAAAACAACCAGCTTGAAAGATGGCGATGGTACCCAGGCGTTACCTAGCAACCACACACTGTCCGGATTTCCATTTTATAGCCGTAAAACACTTTGCCGCACGTAAAGATGGCGACGATGCAAAGGGTTGCCTAGCAACCACCGTTCATTCTATTGTCCATTCAAAAATGTAAATGGCTGTGCCCTGCTCAAAGATGGCTGCCTGTCCAAGACCCAGCACCCTCCCTAGGACGACATCCAGTGAGACACCTAACCCCCCTCTCTTTTAAGAGTAGTTTGGTCCAGCAAGCGTTTCCTAGTAACCACTAAAAGAGATGGTTGTTTTGTTACTAGAAAAAGGAAAAAAGGAATTGCTTTACTTTCCAGTATAATAAAAGCTATATTTTTTGTAAGGAATTTCTATATGATAGTGTATCTGAAAATACTCAATTTTCCCTAAAATGAAAAAGAGAAGCCAGGCGCGGATGGCTCACGCCTGTAATCCCAGCTACTCAGCAGGCAGAAATCAGGAGGATCGCGGTTCAAAGCCAACTGGGGGAAATAGTTCACAAGACCCTATCTCGAAAAACCCATCACAAAAAGGGCTGCTGGAATGGCTCAAGGTGAAGGTTCTAAATTCAAACCCCAGTACCGCAAAAATAAATAAATAAATAAGACAATTTAACACAGAGTATGGAGTATATGTTTTCAAAATATATATAATTTCACTAACGCTTTCTTTTCATATTCCCTCACTTCAATGTATGTCTAGGTGAGCTGGCAGAGTGACTCAAGTGGTAGGGCAACTGCCTACCAAGTGTGAGGCCCTGGATTTAAACCTCAGTTCAGCTAAAACAAAAAAGTATGTTTAGGTCTGGGGATGTAGATTAAGTGGTAGAGGTATGAGTTCTTAGCAACTCAAAAAAGAAAAAAAAATGTCCACATCTTTGTTTTGTCTCTTTATAAACAAGGTGTTGTATGCAGCAAATTGATTGGAACAATCCTGTATTGACATACATTAGGTTTTTTCTTGTGTGTGTGTTCAAAGTGCAACAGTAAATGTTTTTAGTTTGTTTTGTCAGTACTGGGATTTGAACTCAGGGCTTTGCACTTGCAAAGCTAATGTTCTACCACTTGAGCCACTCCTCCAGTCCATTTTGCTGTGGTTATTTTGGAGATGGGGGTCCATCTGAATTTTTGCTGAGGCTGACCTCAAGCCTCGATCCTCCTAATCTCAGCCTCTCAAGTAGCTAGGATTACAGGTTTGCCACTGCAGCCTGGCTATGGCCAACACTTTGATTCAACTTGTCAGAGCAACGGAATCGCAGGAACCAGCTCACGTATGCTTGGATTCCTGACCTACAGAAACCAGGAACAAGGTTAATGATTTAGGCTCTGAGCTTTGGAGAAATTTGTTACACAGCACAAGGTAGTTCACAATGTCTTCTATTTGTCCTAACATTTCGCACTTTATGACAATATATGAACCTGACAATTCTAGCATCTGGAGACCTTAAAGGGGGTGTCTACCTCTACTGAGTGCTGTTTCTGTGGCCTTATTATTTATTGTCTCTATCTCTGTGCTGGTGTCTTTTTAAACATTTGTTTAAAAGCTGAACTTTATTTTTGAATTTTATTTTATTTTTTTGGCAGTCTGGGACTTGAACTCAGGATCTCATGCTTGTTAGTCAGGCACTGTACCCCTTAAGCCACCCAGCCAACTTTTTTTTTTCTTTTGGGATAGAATTCACAGCCTCACACTTGCTAGACAGGTGCTCTTTTTTTTGTTCCATGCTGGAGTTTGAACTCAGGGCCTACACATGGAGCCACTCCATCAGTCCATTTTTGTGAAGGGTTATTTTCGAGATAAGGTCTCTCAAACTATTTGCTTGGGCTGGCTTTGAATCATGATCCTCCTGATTTCTGCCTCCTGAGTAAGTGGTAGAGGTATGGCTATTCTCAGGAACTCAAAAAGAAATTTGAGTTGAGGATTACAGGCGTGAGCCACCAAACCCTGCTTAAATAGTCTTCTTGCTATGGACACTGAAATGAACATGTTTCATGGGGACAATGTAACATTTCAACACATGTATACAATGTATTCAGATTAGGATAACTGGTATATCCTTTTTTTTATAATTTTATTATTCATATGTGCATACAAGGCTTGGGTCATTTCTCCCCCCCTGCCCGGTATATCCTTCATCTAATTTTTTTTTTCTCTTTTGCTATTGGGGATTGAACCCCCTTGAGTAAGCTCCCAGTTCTTTTGTTTGTATTTTGTTTTTTGACATAGGGTCTCATTAACTTTCCCCAGTCTGGCTGGCATTGAACTGTTCATCCTGCTTCTGCTTTCTGAGTATCTAGGATTATAGGCTAAAATATTTTTTAGTGTAGTGGGAAAAGCCTGCTCTACTCAGCTGTCAACTTAAAAAATGTTTATTTTTCTCAAATGTAGAGTATAAAGTGTGCTTGTATAATACATTCTGTACACAAATATTACAAAGGTTTTCCAGTATTGAGTATTTTTCGACTTTTGTTTATACGGGCTTTGATAGGCAAATTGATCAAGATATTATGTTTCTTGGATTTGCTGTAACGCTGAGATTCTATTCCAGTTATCACGACTATACAATGTATTTTTCCTTCAGATACTTTTAGGGTTTCACTTCTTATATTAACATTTTTAATCCACTTGGAATGTATTTATGATCTGGGCCAGTTCCTGGCTTCTTTCCCAGGCAACAACTATCAGGTGTTGCCTAGCAACCTCCACTCGGGCTGGAGCTCGGCTTTTTTTGAGGGAAAACAGCTGCACACGGGTCCAAGTTGATTGCAACCTTAATGCGTTGCCTAGTAACCTCGTTTCAGACCTTGTGATTGGGCCCTTCATGTGTCCCTCCCCCTATTGCCCCTCCCCCCAAAGAACAGAACTAGAAATTTAATCTGTTCGAAAACAAGGGCAGTGTACGCGTTGCCTAGCAATCAGATCTCCGCCCCTCCCTATGAGACTAGAGTGGGAAAACAGGTGCCCGCTTTAAAGATGGCGACAGACTGGGGCGTTTTTTCCCATTTTGCTCTCTATAAACATCACAACCGTCCAGTCATCCACATCAAGCCCTAAAGGGACTTACTATGCCTTGCCTCAGACTTCCACGAAATGTGTGCGAGTCGTAATTGATACAGAAAAATAGAACCCGCGGAGGTTGCCCTGCACAAACATGGCCGCGGCTGCGTCGGCAGCGGCACCCAGCGGCTCTGAGCAGGTGCGCGCGCAGCGCAGGCGCACTTCCGCCCATCCACGGCGGCTGTAGCGGCGGTGGCGGCCGCGGCGCGGGGCATGGTCCCCGGGTCGGAGGGCCCGGCCCGCGCCGGGGGCCTGGTGGCCGACGTGGTGTTTGTGATTGAGGGTACAGCCAACCTCGGGCCGTACTTCGAGGGGCTCTGCAAGCACTACCTGCTCCCGGCTATCGAGTGAGTGCGATTTCCGCGACTGCAGCCCCACCCTCCGACTGTGGTGCTCGCAGCCTCCTGCCGACCCCAACCTTTCCCCTCCCGCCTTCACAGGTACTTTAATGGTGGTCCTCCCGCTGAGACCGACTTCGGGGGAGACGTGAGTCTGGGGACCCCTGGGTCTGAGGGAGGAGGGCTGGGACATGGACCCCTGGGTCTGAGGGACGATGGTTGGGCCTGGCAGGAGGGCTGGGGTCTGGACCTCTGGGTCCAGGGACTAGGGCTGGGACCTGCATCTTGGGATGACAGGGAAGAGGGTTGAGGAGTTGCAGGTTTTAAAGGAACAGGAAGATGGGATCCCTGATTCTTTCCCTGAAGGAAGAAGAGCTGGGGGTCCCAGATTAAAAGTTTTTCTGTTCTCCCCTTCCAGTATGGGGGGACCCAGTATAGCCTCGTGGTGTTCAACACAGTGGACTGTGCTCCGGAGTCTTATGTACAATGTCACGCTCCCACCAGCAGTGCCTATGAGTTTGTCACCTGGCTCGATGGCATCAAGTAAGCTTTCCCCCACTTGGAGCAGGGACTGTCCCCCTCAAGTCCCTGTTGCCAGCACTTTCCTGTCTCATCCTGCCCATTTTCACATGGCTACATTGAAGCCTGAGGGCAGGGCATGGAGTTGGGTCAGGAGACTCGTGTGGTTTGAGTGGAATTTTCCTAGTTGTTGCCAAACTGGAGTTAGGTGGCCTGGGATCAAATCGCAGCCATTCTCCAATAGAACCATCAGACTCAGGTCCTTGGCTTGTGTGCCTCCTGTAGCTCATTTCCGACATGGGGATGGCCATTGTACTTGTATTAGGGCTTTTATTTATTTGTTTATTCTTTGTGGTAGTGGGGTTTGAACTCAGGGCCTACACCTTGAGCCACTCCACCAGCCCTTTTTTGTGATGGGCTTTTTTGAGATAGGGTCTAATGAACTGTTTCCCCAGGCTGGCTCTGAACCGCAGGGAAGAAAAAAAAAAATTCGAGATACTTCTGCCTCTGCCTCCTGAGTGCAGTGTGTGCCATTCTACCTGGCGATTATTATTTTTATTAGTGCATATTAGTTGTTCAAAAGGGCTTCACTGTGATACTTCCATACACTTATGTAATATACTTTGACCATGATCACCCCCTCTAATACTTTCTTTTTTCTTTTTGGTGCTGGGGTTTGAACTCAAGGCCTACACCTTGAGCCACTCCACCAGCCCTTTTTTGTGAAGGGTTTTTTTTTTTGAGATAGAGTCTCTTCAACTCTTTGCCCAGGCTGGCTCTGAACCACAATCTTCCTGATCTCTGCCTCCTGAGCAGCTAAGATTACAGGCATGAGCCACTGGTACCTGGCTCTAATACTCTTTCTTAGCTCATTTTTTTTTGTTTGGGTGGTTTTCTTTTTTTTTGAATAGTTACCGTCAATCGTCTGCAGTGTCTGTGAGTCTGGAATTCATGTTAGGGTTTCTCACAGCATTGCAGTGAGAGTTGGGCTGGACTGGAGGAAGCCCACTCCATGGCTGTTGGCTGAGACCTCAGTTCCTTGCTGGCTATTAGCCCCTAGGCCTTCCACAGGGCTGCTTGACACCTAACCTGGAAGCTGGCTTTCCTTAGAGTGACCGAGCCAACACAGAGAGCAAAGAGGAAGCCACCAGGGTCCTTAGTTAGTAAGTCCCAGAAGTCACACACCATCACTTCTGCCATGTCCTGTTTGGTAGCTGAGTCTGTCTTATTCCATATGAAAGGTGATTGTATAACAGTGTGAAGACCAGGAGGTGGGATTTTGGGGGCCGTATTGTGGGCAGGGTGCTCTGGTGATGAAGTGAGTTGTTGAGTGTATTTCAGATTTGTGGCACACAGCAAGTGCTGTGTGGTTGCTATTATTTTGTGCATTTGCTTCTTGGTGTACAAATGGGTGCAGATCTCAGTGTTGTTGGAAGGATCACCGGAGCTGGTCTTTAGATGGTGTTGAGCTTAGAGCCTGGCCATGGTCAGGGCTCATTAAACAACAACAATCTGTAGCTGTTTTTATCTTCCAGGTTTTCTGTAGCAAGTGCATGTTGAGTATCTGCTGTGTCCCAGGAGTGTGTGTGTGTGCAGGGTGCAGAGCATGCAATGGAAAGTGGCATATAATTTCCCCTTTTGGGCCTGGTGTGCTCATGCACACCTGTAATTCCAGCTCCTGGGGGTGGAAGGAGGACTTCTACACCCTGTCTTAAAAACAATACAAAAGAAAAAGTTTGGGTGTGTGGCTCAAGCAGTAGAACGTTTGCCTTGCCTAGCAAGCATGAGACCCTGAGTTCAGTCTCCAGTACAACAAAAACGAAGCAAAGTGAGAAAGAGCAACTCTCCTTTTAGGGATCGTTAGTATGAATACATTATGTAGAGCGGGCTACCTTTCGCACTGTTGAGGCTTTGGACTCAGTCAGTGATTGTTGTGAGCCAGTCCTGGGTGTTGCAGGGTGTTGGGGTTTTGTTTTCTATTTTTGTAGTGCTGGGGATGGAGTGCAGGCTCTACCACTGACCTACAATCACACCCCTCACAGGATGCTTAAGGGCATCCCTCAGTTCTACACACTAGGTGTTGCTAGTGTAGGAATTATCCCAGTTGAGAAGCGTTGCGCTGGATCGTGGAAGACTTCAGCAGCAAATGGGGGCTTCTTGAGGCTCAAGTGAGTCCAGGTCCTAGCACCCAGCGCAGGCCCCGGTACGAAGGAGGCCTCAGGAGCACTGTGTTGAAGAGTAAATCATCTGTCCTGATTATAGGGCTCCCTCCTCTGCCCCGTGCCTCTCCTGTGGTCTGTCACTGTCCCCACCTGTGGATTGTGAACATCCAGGTCCCTGAGAAACTGACACCCAAAAGGCAGGAAAGATAATTGCTGAAAAGCCACAGCTTTGGTGACTGTTGATTGTTGGGAAAATAAGTCATCCTCCCTTATGAGAAAATTCCAAGGGCACTGAGAAGATAAGCATGAGCTGCAGTCCGAGCCCTCCTCCCTAGACTCAGACTGCACTGTCCCCAGAACCAAATGAAAACACCTTGTGTCCTCCTGTGGAATCCTCACACTCTGCTGATAAGCATTTTCAGTTATTCTTTAAGTTCTCAGCGGTCATTGTTTTGATCAAGTCCTGTGTGACCATTTGAATTCAATGTTTCTGACATTGTGGGGGGGCTGTAAGAGGGATCATAAAATCAGCAAGTTTTTTTTTAGAGAAATCTTATCTTCTGTGGAAATGGCCAGTGCCTTGCCTTGGTAAGATTTCTTTTTGATGTTACGTTTCCTTAATCATCAGGGGGAAACTTTACCCCCTTCAGCTAATGACCTAGAATAAGAAAGAACGGCCCAGAAGGAAAACAGCCCTGTCATCCCTCTTAGTGGAATGACAGTTCATTTGTTAATCATTTCTCTGTTGATTTGTTCGTTTATTCATTCAGCAAAGGTTTCTAGCACAAATGACACAAAAAGGCATGAGTGGGCATGAGGCTGGCAGGGTCCTAGCCCTTGTAGATTTAGCGTGTGTTAGGGGTGACAGGCTAACACGCAGGGAGCCCTTGGTTCAGGCTGGCTGTCACTAACATTGGTTCATGTTGGCCAGTGCCTCTTGGGATATCCTGTGCCCAGGCCTCCGGGGTGGAACAGTGTGGTAGATCAGTGGTAGAATGCTTGCCTACCATGCAGAAAGCCCTGGGTTTGATCCCAGAATTGCAAAAAAGGCGGGGTGGGGGTGGAGTGGGGCTAGGTTAGAGGACACAGAAGTGCTGGGAGTCATTGCTTCTCTGTATGACCCAGGGCACGTTCACTTTGTTTTTTTGCTTGTTTTTTGCAGTGCTGAAGATGGAACCCAGGGCCATTTGTGGAACTCATGTAGACCAGTGATTTACCACTGAGCTACTCTCTCAGCCCCTGTTTTTTATTTTATTTTATTCTTGGGTTTATTTGGGGTTAAGATTTAGCACCAGCTTGATAATATCTAAGCCATATTTTGCAACTGTCCCTGTTTTTGTTTTGCCCATTTTTAAGTTTTTCTCATTGGTGTGGCAGTATTTATTATGTGTCTTTCTTGAAGCTGATGACAGGTGACTTAATATTCAAAATACTCAATGAGAGAAAAGCCAGTTTTAGGGTCTCACAGTGGGCAGTCTTTCGCACTCTCCTTCTTAAGTTTGTTTATATAATTTTTTGAAGCAGGGCCTCGCTATGTAACCCAGGCTAGCCTGGTACTTTTGATCCTCCTGCCTTTGCCTACCAAGTAGCTGGGATTACAGGTGTATATATTCATGCTTTGATTAAGTTTGTTTTTTTTTTTTTTTCAAGGTGGGGATGGGTTTTGAAATCAGGGCATCATGCTTGCAAAGAGCAAGTTGAGCCTCACCTCCAGTTATCTGTTTTTTTTCCCGTCCCCCTGCACTGGGGTTTGAACTCAGGACCTACACCTTGAGCCATCCACCAGCCCTTTTTTGTGATGAGTTTTTTTCAAGATAGGGTCTAGTGAGCTGTTTGCCCGGGCTGGCTTCAAACTGTGATCCTCCTGATCTCTGCCTCTTGTGTGGCTAGGATTACAGGCGTGAGCCACTGACACCCGGTTCCAATTATTTTTTTAATTGAAGTATATTCACAGTGCCTGAAAGTAATCATTTAGAGGACAAGTGAGCAGCACTCAGGATGGTCACAATGTGGAGCAACCACTGGAGTTTGAACTCAGGCCTTGGAGCCTGCTAGAAAGGCACTTTACTGCTCGAGGCACACCTCCAAAACATTTTCATCACCCCAGTGGAGGTACCACATTGAGGAAGTAGGTGCCATCCTTTTCCCGAGCAAAGCCCTGGCTGTGAGTCTCAAAAAGGCCAAGGAAAAAGTGAAAAAGTCTGATTTCTCTTATGCAGAAGCAGGCAGCAGGGTGGATCTAGAACTGGCCCATTCAGTGGGGTCTGCCCCAACCATGTGGGCTTATAATTCACTAGCAGGGCACCAGTAGCTCACACTTGTAATACCAGCTACTTGGGAGACTGAGATCAGGAGTATCACTGTTCAAGGTCAGCCCAAGAAAATAGTTCATTTCCAAAATAGCCAGAGTAAAATGGACTGGAAGAGTAGCTCAAGTGGTTGAGCGCCTGCTTTGCAAGCATGAAGCCCTGAGTTCAAGCCCTAGTTCCACCAAAAAAAAAATTAACATTCTCTTCCTTGTGGAGTAGATTATGGGTAAAGAGTGGCAGCAGGGTCACAGAGAGTGAAGGAGGGCCCCAGGTTCTGTGACACCCATTTCTCTTCGTGTGACTGGAAAGAAAGTAGTGAGGGAAATGGGGGGCAGTAGAGGGTCCAGGCCACTGGTGTGTGCTCCTGTTCCCAGAGCCTTGTGGGACCTGGAGTATATCATAGAGAAAGCTTGGATGACTTGGACCCCTTCACTGAAGTCTGTACAGGCTGGTCATGGGAGGGCTTCTGTGGAGGGAATCCTGACAACTTGTGTCAGGTGACAGGCAGGGTAGGCTTCCTGGAAGAGGGCTCACTGGGCCTGGGTGTATAGAAAAGTTGCATAGAAAGGTTGGGTTTCCATCTAGGCCAGAGAAGAGGTGTGGTCTGGAGGGAGCATGTGCTGATCTCTACCTGGGATATGAGGGTCCTGTAGGCCTAGCAGGCAGAGGGCACCGGAGGTCCACAGATGCCCGCCTGAGGACTGGCTTTGTCCCAGCCTGGGTAGTCATTGTTTATTTAACATAGGTGTTCCCAGGCTTCCCTTGTGCCAGAGTGTGGTGACAGGGCTAGAGACGAGAGGACTTATGTCCTGTTGCAGACATGGACATGGAGACCTCAAATCGGGGACAGAGCTATCCAAATTTCACACAGGTCAGAAGCTGGCAAAGTCAGCTTCTGAGGACTGGTGGTGGCAGTAACTGAGGAGTGGAGGGCTTCGCCACACCACTTCCACTTCTGTCTGGGGACAGACTCTGGGGAGCAGCTGCAGGGAAGCGTGTGTGTTTGTATCAGTGTGTCTGAAGCTGCTGTATCATAGCACTAGAAACTAGGCTGCAAAGCAGAAACGTTGGGGTCAGAGGAGGCTAAAGGAGAAGGGTGGAAGGGTGGTGAATTCAAGTAAGGTACGTTTGATCTATTGTAAGAACTTTAATAAATGCCACAGTGTACCCCCAGCACAACAGTTAAAAAACAAAACAAACAAAAAGAAGCTGTATTGTCCTATAGCCTTTAGGCTGCAAATCCAAGATCCTAGGCTACCTGGATTCCATCCCAAACCTTTGCTTTTTTTTTTTTTTTGTGAAGGGTGTTTTTGAGCTGGGGCCTCGGGAACTGTTTGCCCGGGGCTGGCTTCAAACCATCCTCCTGATCTTTGCCTCCTGAATAGCTCGGATTATAGATGTGAGCTCCAGCACCCAGCTGTGTTGAGTATTTTGAGATAGGGTCTTCCAAACTATTTTCCTGGGTTGGCTTTGAACTGTGATCATCCTGATCTCTGCCTCCCCAGTAGCTAGGATTACAGGCGTGAGCCACTGGCGCCCGGCCTGCCTTGCCTTTTCTAGCGGTTGGTGCCCCAGGTACTCCTTCCCTTATGATAGCATCACCTAGTTTTCCTACGGCCTCCCTGTGTCTGCACATCTTCCCTCTGTGTGTCTGTCTCTGTGTCCAACTTTTTCCTCGTAGAGACAGCGAGCATGTTGAATTAGGACCCCCTAACTCCCCTGCTTGTGTCCACTTTGTGTAAAGATCCTGCTTCCATCAAGGCTCTACTGTCAGGCATAGGTCTGGGACCTCACCCTGTCATTGGGGCATGTGGGGCAGCCCGCGGTTCTATAGTAGACACAGGACACCTGTCTTCCTGACTGGAAAGGGGAGGTGTGGCCAGGACTGCTTTAAAGATGGAGCAGATGATCAAGGGAGGAAAGGACAGCAGGAGGGTAGACAGGGGGTGGTCACACCAGGACTGTGATGACCCGGCAACTTGGTGTCCTGGGTCTTTTCCCATTCCCTGTTAAGACAGGTGTCCCCTGTCCTCTCAGCTGGGTGCTGAGAATAGAGCAGGGAACTCAGCAATATCTCACTGTTCCGAGGTCCACAGTTTGGGGTGGGGTGGGGATAACCTGGGGCTGGGGTAATAGCAACCTTGGTGCGTGGTAGGGGGCAGGGTCTGACTGCTCCTGGCCGCTTGGCCCCCTACAGATTCATGGGTGGGGGCGGCGAGAGCTGCAGTCTCATCGCAGAAGGCCTCAGCACAGCCCTGCAGCTGTTTGACGACTTCAAGAAGATGCGAGAACAGATGTGAGTGCCCTCCAGGGGGGCCCTGTCACTCTTCCCGCTTGCCCCTGTACCTGGAGCCTGTCTGTGATGACTCCTCTTGCTTCACTCGGAGAAACAGGAGACAAGAAGTATATTCCTAGGCAGGTCTAGCCAGGGTCCCCTCATTCAGGAGAGGAGCCAGTTCTGGGTTTCTGACCTGTGTCCTTTGCCTGCTGGTGATCGGCTGTATGTCACTGAGCCCCCCAGATCCTCAGTGTTCTCAGTTGTAGAATAGACATTGCTCCTGGTTTCTTACGGGTGTGGTGTGTAAACCTCATCTGGTGCTGGGTCTGGGGCCTTCTCAGGACCCCTGTGGGTGCCTGCTCCATGTCTTCCTTGTCCCTGTAGTGGTCAGACACACCGAGTCTGTCTCCTTATCTGCAACTCGCCACCATACCTGCTGCCTGCTGTTGAGAGCACCACATACTCAGGGTGCACAACTGAGAGCCTTGTGCAAAAGATTGGGGAGGTAAGGACCCCGTACGGAGGTAGGAGGGCTGCGCTTGAACCCCTGGGTCTGAGGGAAGAGGGCTGGGCCCGGACCCCTGGGTCTGAGGGAGGAAGTGCTGCAGTGTGGACCCCTGAGTTTAAGGGAAGAAGGTGGCTGGGGTCTTCACTTCTGGGTGTAATGGAGAAGGTGCTGTGATCTGGATCCCTCAGTCTCAAAATAGTCATACACTCTGGCCACCTAAACTTCCTTAAGTTTGTTGAAAGAGCTATAACACAGAGTCCTCTGGGGCAGCTAATACTGAATCTCACCAGCCCCTGCCCTATGGCCTGATGGGAGTTGTGGTTTTAAGGCCCTGTCCATCCAGCTACCCTGGTGGTGGTGTTGGGGGTTGGGCCCCACTAACCCTATGGAGGGGGCCCATCCTGACCTCTGTCCCCTGCCCTGCAGCGGGGGATCCACTTCTCCATTGTGTCTCCACGGAAGCTGCCTGCCCTTCGCCTTCTTTTTGAGAAGGCAGCTCCCCCCACCTTGCTGGAGCCGCTACAGCCGCCAGCAGACGTGAGCCAGGACCCAAGGCACATGGTGCTGGTGCGGGGGCTTGTGCTGCCTGGTAAGGCCTGGGTCTGAGGGGTGTGGGGTATGGGTGTGGGGGAGGTCTGGTGTTTCCTCTGCTTCTGTCTTGACTTTTATATTTCCCTTCCCTCTCTCCACCTCCAACCTTCTCCTGGGCCTTGGTCATCTCTCCTGGTCTCACCGCAGTCAGCGGTGGCTCAGCTGCAGGCCCCCTCCAGCCCAAGCAGCCAGTTCCCCTGCCTCCTGCCCAATCCTCGGGTGCTGCCCTTTCCGCAGCCCCCCAGCAGGCTCTGCCCCCTGTCCCACCACAGTACCAGGTATGGATTTCGCCAGGAAGGTATCGGCTCTGGGGCTTGCAAGAGCCATGGCCTTGTGGGAGGACATAAGTGAACACTGGTTGAGGCAGAAAGGGGTCCCTTCAGTAGGTTGGGAAGGTGGGATTGGGCCTGAGCAGTGGCGTTGTGTGATGGGAGGCATGAGCTCCTGAGATAGCAAAGTGGGGTGATGTTTCTTCTGGGCTGTTGTGCACGGGACTGGGGCATGTGGCCATGATCACCAGCCTCCCCTCTCTGCTCTCAGGTTCCTGGGAACCTAAGTGCCGCTCAGGTGGCTGCCCAGAATGCAGTGGAAGCTGCAAAGAACCAGAAGGCCGGGTTGGGCCCACGCTGTGAGTTCCTGGGTGGAGATGTGGAGTGGGTAGGCTGGGCTGCCTCTCCCTGCATCTCCTTCCTATTTGTTCCTTCATCTCTCCCACAGTCTCACCCATCAATCCTCTTCAGCAAGCTGCTTCAGGAGTGGGGCCCCCATTTAGCCAGGCCCCAGCTCCCCCACTGCCCTCAGGTCCTCCTGGAGCCCCCAAGCCACCTCCTGCATCCCAGGCTAGCTTGGTCTCCACTGTGGCCCCTGGCCCAGGCCTGGCTCCCCCTGCACAGCCTGGGGCTCCATCCATGGTAGGTGACTACACATGCCCCCCCCCCGCGCCCCCCTCCCCCCACACAGCAGCTCTGTTCCTGCTTCCAGGTAAAGACAGTGAGAGAAAGCCTGTGCTTTCCAGAAGAGCCCTGGGGGACTTGGGCCTTATGGTTCTGGGACCTTGGGGCTCATGGTGCGGATGCTACACAGCTCTGAGACAAGGGTGTAGGGTCTGAGACAAGGGTGCAGAATCGCAAGACTGTTCCTGGTGGGTCCGAGCTGCTCTCAGGACCGTGGGCACCCTGGGTCTGTAAGTCTGAGGGCCCAGGCCTTAGAGGGCTCAGGAGTACTTATGTCCGGTGTGACCACAGCCTAATGGTCCTGGCACAGAACATTTTCTGCACCTGTCTCAGGACAGCCTTTCCCCAGAGGTAGACTGGTTCTACTCCTCACCCTCCTTCCTCTGCAGGCTGGCACTGTGGCCCCAGGGGGGGTAAGTGGCCCTTCCCCCACCCAGCTTGGGGCTCCAGCGCTTGGTGGGCAGCAGTCAGTCTCCAACAAGCTCTTGGCCTGGAGTGGAGTCCTTGAGTGGCAGGAGGTGAGTGGGTTTAAGGGACTTGGGCCAGGCCAGGGAACCCATACTGTGGTTGAACTTGAGGTCTACAGGTAAGCTCCAGGGACCCATGAGATTTGTGGCTCAGACATCATGACTAGGGGGTTTGTAATAACTGTGTCTCATGAGGGGAAGTACCCAGGAAAACCTGGGATTTAGGGTCCCCATGGGAACCCTAGGAATTCTGGCCTCTGGGGGTTAACAGGCTGTGAAATTTAGGGCCCGAGAAGCCTCCACATTTGTAGACTTAGAACTAGAGGATTATGGGATTGGTAGAAGAGGATCCAGGACTCTTGGGGCTTAACATGGGGGGCTACCATGGTTGGGGAGAAGGGACCAAGGGGACCCTTCTTACTGAGACTTGCCCTTTTCTCCCCTCAGAAACCCAAGCCAGCCTCGGTGGATGCCAACACCAAGTTGACGCGGTCACTGCCCTGCCAGGTCTATGTGAATCAAGGAGAGAACCTGTAGGTGGTGGTGTGTGGGTGGGTGGGCAGTGCTGGGGGAGTTAGGCCACCTTGCTGACACCTCTCTCGGCCCTGCCCCCAGGAAGACAGAGCAGTGGCCACAGAAACTGATCATGCAGCTCATCCCCCAGCAGCTGCTGGTGAGTGGCCGGGAGGGGATGGCCTGCCCTGCTTCCCTGCCTTATCCCTCCTCGCTGCCTACACTACAGCTGCCGTGTCTCTGCAGACCACCCTGGGTCCTCTGTTCCGGAACTCAAGGATGGTCCAGTTCCATTTCACCAACAAGGACCTGGAGTCCCTCAAAGGCCTCTATCGCATCATGGGCAATGGCTTTGTGAGTTGGGGCAGGGTGGCCCCGGGCACTAGCTAGCTCTTCTGTTTTCCTTTCTGCTGATTTTGGACAGAAGTCTCAGGGTGCCTAGGCCCTAAGTCCTGCTGGGGGTGGAATGCAGGGCTTTGCACATGCTAGCAAATGCTGTACAACCAAGCTCCTTCTCAGCCTGGAGCCATTTGGTGGGTTGGTGGTTTTGTGAACTTGGGTCCCTCCGCCGCTTCTGGGAGCCTTAACTGTTACCATGATTGTGTTACGCGCTGGATCAAGGTATGTTTCCCATCAACAGTGTGGCCACAGTGCTGGGCAGTTAGAGACTTGTAGAGTATGACAGGCTTACTGGGTGTGTGAGCGTCTTGTGCTGCTGTGACACGCCCTAAGCCGGCAGGGCTTAGAACAACACAAACTTACTTTCACAGCTGTGGAGGCCAGTGTGGGAGGCAAAGGTGTGAGCAGGATTGTGCTCCCTCTGAAGGCTCAGAGAACTTGCCTTCTTGGGCTTCCAGCAGTTTTCTTCCATCTTCTTTGCTTCCTGTCTCACAGGGATATCTCCCCTGTATCTGCGTCTTTACTCAGCATTCTGTCTGTGTGTCTGTACTGTCTTCTTTTCATGTTTTTGCGGCACTGGGGGGAACCCAGGGCCTTGTGTGTGCAAAGCAGTCTACCACTGAGCCCTCCCACTCCATGTCTCTCTCTGTCAGGACACCAACCATATGGAATTAGTCTAACCTGTCGACTTCATCCTGTTGCATCTGCAGAGACCCTCTTTCCACATCAGGGCTCGTTTACAGGTGCCGGGATTTGGCACTTGTGTTTTTGGAGGACATTGTTCCTTTCCTTACATGGGTCTAAGTAGAACAGATCCAGTTGCTTCCTGTGGCCCAGCCTCTTCCCTGAGAGAGAAATTTAGGTGGCCGGCTTTGCTCAGTCCTCTCAGCAAATTGCAGGAAGCTCCCTGCGTTAGGAAGGCTGTCAGCCACACTTTTCCAAAGAAATCGATTTCCGGGGCAGACTGGTAATCAGCACTTCTCTCCAGTTCTGTGGGTCAAACTTGGGGGCCTCATGGGATTGCCTTACATGGCAGCTGAGACTGGTCCTCAGGAAGCTCGACTGAGCTGGATGTTCAGTGACCAGTCATCTGACCCCAGCTATCAGCTGGATATGCCACGTGGATATGCCACGACCATCAGCCAGAGTTCCTTTGTAGGTCGTATGCCTGGCTAGGACTTCATCCCAGCATGGCAGCTGGGTCCTGCTAATGAGCATTGCTGGGCCAGGTTTTTGTTTTTGACATGTAACAGGACCCTGGAAGGGGAGCTGTTGGGGTTAGTTTTGTGACTCTGCGATCAACGAAAGGGTCTCCAGTTGTCTTGACCGCTTCCTCATAGGCACAGGATAGTTTTAATAGCTCCAGGTACCCTGTCAACTGGAATGAAGGAAGAGGCATGGGCTGTGCAGGTCCCTCTCTTCAGGAAACCAGGAACAGTCCTGCACCCCGGCCAAGCCTCCCTTTCATCACCTAAGTGCTGGGGACGCTACAGGGAGTGGGCACTCCTGGGTGCACAGGGCCTAGGCATGCTGTTGCCCTGCAACACTGGGCTATGGGCAAGGGAGACAGGCATGTGGGTGCTGGGTAGGAAACTAGCAGATCTGCCTTAGACTCTGAAACCGAGACTCAAAAAATACTCGTGACTGAGGTCAGCTCCTCCCTGGAGCATCTTGTGAATACTGTGTTTCATGGCAGTAGCACTTCCTGGGCTGAACCTCGGGCAAGGTGCTCCATGTGTCTCAGGTACTTCAGTCACAGCCACCTTGTGTACCACTTCCCTGCTCCACACCCCAGATACTGAGGCAGCGGTGTGTAGCCACCCACTGTGAGTCTGTTGGGTCCTTCAAGACTTGACCTTGCCTGTGTCTTCCAGTCCCTCACCTAAGCTGTGCCTCCTCCCAGAGGCCCTTTGAGGTGGAGGCCGTGGGTCAAGTGACAGCTGAAGAGCTGAGTCCTGCCCCGCATCTGGCCCTTTAGGCATGTAGCTCTGGACTGAGCCCCATCTCTGCAGCAACCTTTATTGTGGAGATTTTGTCACTCCTTGCCCTCGGGGCTTCTAGAATGGGGAGGGACTTCTTGTAACCTCCCTGGGACAGGAGTGATTCTGAAGAGCCTCTGTCCGCAGGCCGGTTGCGTGCACTTCCCCCACACGGCCCCCTGCGAGGTGCGCGTGCTCATGCTCCTGTACTCGTCCAAGAAGAAGATCTTCATGGGCCTCATCCCCTATGACCAGAGCGGCTTCGTCAACGGCATCCGGCAGGTCATCACCAACCACAAGCAGGTCCAGCAGCAGAAGCTGGAGCAGCAGCGAGGGGTGAGGGACGCCACCACCCCACTGCAGTGCCCTGTCCCTTTCCTGCCTGGGTACCAGGAGACATGCCGCAGAGTCAAGATGGCCTGTACCCTGTGGCCCTCTTGGCCTCCATTGCCAGATGTTTAATTTCCCAAGACACAGCCTCTTGATTCCACCATGTGTTTTCTACCAGCCCTCTCACTGTCCCCATCAGGGCACATGCCCCTTCTTAGGGACCTGGGAGTGTATGACTTCCTTCCCAGGCTGCTCACCCCCAAAGAAAACATTCTCAACTCTTTGGGTGCTCAGATCCTTCTGACTTCAGTTTGGTGTGCCCTTCTCTCCCTGTCACTGACCTTCCCCTGCTCCCCATGCAGATGGGGGCACAGCAGGCACCCCCAGGCCTGGGGCCCATTCTGGAGGACCAAGCAAGACCCCCTCAGAATCTGGTGAGGACACTGCTGGCGGGGTCAGAGATGGGAGAGGGGAGGCAGTGGGGAGTCTCAAAGGACATCCATCGTTCCTGCCCTTTTCCCTCACTGCCATCTCTCTCTGCCAGCTCCAGCTCCGTGCACCGCAGCCCCAGCCTCAGGGCACTGTGGGGGCCTCTGGGTCTGCAGGGCAGCCCCAGCCCCAAGGTACCACCCAGGCCCCTCCTGGTGCCCCCCAAGGCCCTCCTGGAGCAGCCCCTGGCCCACCCCCTCCTGGACCCATCCTTCGGCCCCAGAACCCGGGGGCCAACCCCCAGCTGCGGAGCCTCCTCCTCAATCCCCCACCGGTGAGATTTGGGGGTAGGGGCAGCAGGGAACTATGGGTCTTGGCCTCAGTGGTCTTGGTCCTTTGATCTGGGAGGAGGGAGGCTGGCTGTGGTGAGTGGGTGTGAGTGGAGACCACTGAGGCTCGGAGCAGACCCTTCCTCTCTGTCCTACATGGATTCATGCTAAGCTTTCTTTGAAGGAAGCTTCCCTGGCCCACAGGCTGAGTGAGGCCTTTCTGAGCAGCCTCTGTGCTAGAGGCAGGATGGCGGGGGGCTCACCACCAGGGGCCTCTGAGCTGCCCTCTGTGTTCCCCCAGCCCCAGACTGGGGTGCCCCCACCCCAGGCCTCCCTGCACCACCTGCAACCACCAGGGGCTCCTGCATTGCTGCCCCCACCACACCAGAGCCTGGGGCAGCCCCAGTTGGGCCCCCCGCTCCTGCACCCACCGCCCGCCCAGTCCTGGCCTACACAGCTCCCCCCACGGGCTCCACTGCCAGGTAAGGGGCTCCGGGGGAGGGGTCTGAACTGAGTGTCCCAATAGACTGGGCAAGGGCACCGAGACCAGTGGCTCTCCCCATAGCCCTGGGGGGATCTCTGAGGACTCCTGGGAAATTCAACCCTTGGGAACAATGTCCTAGTGGGGCAAGAAACCTTCCCACAATCCTCCCATGTGTCCTGGGGGTGCTGGAAAACGTCTTCGGGTCAGAGAAGTAGTGTGGGGGAAGGGCTCTCCATGGCTCATGGGAAACTATTTACAAGTAGATGGGGTCAGAAAGTGCCTCTGATGGGGCCCCAGGGCTTTTTAGGAAACTGAGTGCCTTGGGTTCCCATAGGAGGAGGGAGGAAGCAGGCCCAGGGCCCTCCATGGCCCCAGGGACTACTGGGAGATGCAGTCCCTTCCCCACTGCCCCCCAGGTCAGATGCTGCTGAGCGGGGGTCCCCGGGGCCCGGTCCCCCAGCCGGGCCTGCAGCCCAGCGTCATGGAGGACGACATCCTCATGGATCTCATCTGAACCCCCAACACCCAATAAAGTTCCTTTTAACACCCACCCCGGCTCCCGTCACTGACGTCCCCCAGGACTGGGCAGGAGGAGACCCGGGGAGACGTCTTTGTCCTTGCTCTCACTTCAGTAGACGTCCCGAGGCCTCAGCTGGGTGAAGGCTCGCTGGGCCTTGGTGGCAAGTCTGAGGCAGTCTGGGGAGACATGGAGGCAGGTGGGGAGTGCTCAGGACCCATCCTTCTGCTTGCAGAGAGCAGGGAGCCCAAAAGAGCATGTGACCCAGCTGGGGATCTGTGGAGTTGGAAAGAAGCCACAGTCAGGAGGCCAGGAGGAACCGAGGAACAGAGAATAGCAAAAGGGGCATGTCATAGCAGGAGAAAGAAAGGGACGCTCAGAGGAGACAGGTGGCGGATGCTTCTGGAGCATGAGCTTTAGTGGGGAGGAGCTAGAGAGCTGGGCAGTGCCAGATTGTGAGGGGCTCAGAAGCCAAATTGGGCAGCTGCAGGTTTGTCCTGGGGACACAGGACCATGGGAGGCCACAAGCTTGGGGTCAGGTCTGGGCTGACTGATGTCAGGATGACTCTTCTGGGCTGTGCCATGTGATGGCCAAGACGAGGCCAGGAGGGGTGAGACGTGAGGGTGGGGTCAAGGCCAGCTGTCAGGTCCAGGTCTGGGCCACGGCAAGTGGTGAGTGCCAGAAGCCTCAGGGGATCCAGGCGACATAGAAGCCACGTTGGTTATTCAGGACATGTCCTTAGGGAACAGTGTGTGTTTGGTGGTTGAAGCCACAGGAGTGGACCAGGTTACATGTGAAGAGGAGGCATGCCTTCCAGGGGTGTGGCCAAGGTGGATGGACGGTGGGGTCGTTGCAGAGTTGGAAGACCTAGCAAAGACCAGTGTGAGATGTGGTGAGGCGAGGCTCTCCCATCTTCAGAGAGGCCCAGGGGAAGCTGAGAGGGGCTGGGGCGCGCAGGCAGTGATCCTGGAAGCAGAGGGAGCTGTCTTGTCAGATTGTATGTGAGTGTCGCGCAAGCGTGGTCTGTGCCTGGACCAGGTTTGGCACGCTGGTTAACATTTAGGTTCACAGGCCCATCCCAGAAAGAGGTTGCAATCTGGTGGCCTGGGGCCACTCTACAGATGAGTTTTGTTTGGCCTTCCCTGTGTTAGCATGTGTGGCAATTTTCCGAGTTAGTTGTAAAAACCGGGGTAATTCACATGTACACACAATCTGCAGTCCTGGCTGCGCTTGACAAGTCGGAAGATCTGGCACCCCTGGGCCCACCCTTCTGCCTGGCAACAGTGGGCGAGAGCTGCCCCTTTCGGTGGGGTGTGTGCTCTCTGGTTCGCCACGGTCCCCAGCACTCCCTCTTGCTCCCCCATGGTGAGGCAGCGGGGCACTGCCTTTGTCACTGGGCTGGCACTGTGGTGGTTCTGTGGTAGTGTTCAGAGAAAAGTGAAATCTTTCTTATACCCATGTCTCTGTCAAAAGTGGCCAAACGAAAGAGAGAAGGAGAGGGCCGCGTGTTTCGAGAAAAATGGGAGCGAGACTATTTCTTTGTGGAAGTGAAGAGCATGCCTACGTGTTTAATATGCAAAAAAATCGTGTCTGTGTTGAAAGAGTACAACTTGAAACGCCATTACGAGTCACAGCACAGTAAGAGCTACAACCAGTACACAGAGCAGACTCGAGACGCCATCCTCAACGAACTGAAGAAGGGACTGAAATGTCAGTAGCTTCGGAGAGCGAAGACTAGAAGTGGAAGGAACAATATAGAAAGAATCATCCGGGCATTAAAACCCACAACAGAGTGTGAGTTGACAAAGGAGAACATGTCCTGAAGACACACGACTGTCAAGACCATTATTCGAGTCTTCACAGGCATTTGCACCGCACTATGGACTCAAGATAAATCAGAGGCTTCACAAGTCGTCGTTCCTGAAAGAGTCGAGTCATTTGTGGCCTTTTCTATCGCTGCTCATAAACTGTGACCACCCAGTTAGCTTTATTTATTTGTGGTGTTGAGAATTTTGATGTGACCGAAGAGTCTGTGATGTGGTGTCAAGGCAGGCCCAGCGCTGGGAAATGGCTTACTTTTTGTGTATGGAGAGAAATGAGAAGTTTCATGTGTGCCAGTCAGAATTCTTAAGCACAACTAAGACACTTGTCATCTAATAATCTGTCAAATTAGATTATTAGATGGAGATTTGTCCAGACACCTCCATCCAAAGTGGCAGCTTCTGGTGAGGACACAGAGGTTAGATCCCTCGCCTTGGTCACCATAAATTGAGTAGTTCTGAGAAACTCAGTGGAGTTTCGTCTTTGACACAAGCCACGAGCAAGGTCAGGTGGCTTGACCCGATGTATTTCCAGTTGTGGGAGAAATCCCAGCAGTTGAACTCGGTTCACTTCAAGGCACGAAGGCCCCACCTCAGTTCCCTGAGAAGGTCAGTCAGAGACTTCTGGTCGAGATCACGACCCTTCTGAACCCTGAACACATCTCCACAGGGACAGTCACGAACAGCTCCTTGAATGTATGACCACAGCTGCCCAGACCTGGCAAAAATGGAGAAGCCACTGGCAAGGAATAACCTGATGCTTTCCTTTGCTGTATTTGGCATCTGGAAATGAAAGAGATGGCCAGGACTGTCTTCGCCTAAGCTGCGGGGCCCAAGACCAAATCCCCAGAGGCTCCTGTCCCACACTTTCTGAATGAGTTCACACTGGCCAGTTAGCCCTTGGCAGTCAACGCCCATTGGGTGAACAGAGTAGTCACTGAACGTCATTGCACTAGAGACACTTAATTCCTAAATGCAGTTCTTTTGAAAGACCCGAGATCCTGCCACTCTGTCTATGTTTGGGGTACCCACACCTGTGAACGGCCAGCTGTGTTTCCTTATGAACCTGAGTAAAGTGAAATACTGCTCCCAGTTGAAGGACTGAAGGATGAATTCCCAGCCGTCCACCCGACACCATCCCAGGCCTGACCCTGACATCCTGGTGCGGAAGGGAAGACGTGAGCCTTCCCGCCCAACTCAAAAGAGCAAGAGAATTATGACAGAGAAGAAATTTTAATAATTAAAATATTTCTATTTTTCAATTTGTATTTTTTCAACTTTGAATTTAAGATATAAGACTCCAGTATGATACATGTTTGTATTATGTTCCGTGCATTCACCGTAGTTCAGTAAAGATCCAATTTCATTACATTTGTGGCCCTTGACTTTTCTTATACCTGACTAGTTCACTCATTTGTTTGACCCGCCTGGCCCTGGAGGCATTTGAGTGTCTGATCCCCGCCCTAGAATAGTTGGATCAAATCTGGGGCCAGGAAGGGGCTGGGAGTCCGAATTTTCAGCAAGCCCCCTGAGAAATGTTCAGGTGGATGAAAGATGGAACAGGACACTGGTGGCAGCTGAAGATGTGAGGGCGGCAAGATTTCCCAGGCAGCCTGTGGCAGGGGTTTCAAAACTCAGATGACTTCAGGGACCAGGCAGGTGATAGAAATGTGTGACTTGGACGGGTGTAAGACTTCAGGGAACGATGGGGACTGTGGCGAACTTGGAGAGTGCTTGCCCCGCCTAATGGCCTTCAAATTAAAAACCAAAATACGGTAAGGACCAAATAAAATCCACTTGTGGGTCTTGTGAGGCCACCGGGCTGCCATTTTGCGACCTCTGGAAGATGATTCCAGAACATGGAGAAAGCCCCCACATGTGAGGGGTAGTCAGGGAGCCGGAAGACAGGAGAAACAGGCAAGTGTGGTGCTGTGGAGGCAGAGAGGTTTTCTGATGGGGCAGCAGTGGATGTGTTAGAAGCTCCTGGAGGGGGAAGAGATGGGGCTGGAAGCAGCCTGGGTGGTCTCCGTGGGCTAGAAATACCACAGGGAAACCTGGGTTTGGATCCCAAACAAATCAGTCCAAGAGAAGAGAAATGTTTCCAGCCACCAGTTTGGCCATCTCTGGCCACTGAGGGTCACTTGACCTTCACACCCAATTAGGTGAGCCACTGGGACTGTTGTGACCTGATTAGGCTGCACACAGGCCAAAGACATCCAGAGAGGACAAGTAAAAGACACAATTCCCCAGTCACAGTGCAGATGACAGGAAGGTCTGGCAGCTGCCTGTGACCCTGGGAGCCAGTCAGTACTGACAGCACCAACCTTTGAGGGAGGTTTTCCTTTGAATACAAGGTCCCACTAAGGCTGTGTGAATAGAAGCAGACCCTTAGCTGGGCTCGAACTCCTGCACCATTAGTTTGAGACGTCAGGCAGGTGTCTATCCTTCTGAGCCTTGCTCTCCCTGTATGTCAAATAGTGACCACCTCCTAGGTTTGTTCTAAGGAATAAACATTCTGGCCCAATATAGTCCTCCACACAGGAGAGCTGGTGACAGCTACTGTGGTCACCGACAGAAACACACTCTCGGAAGCAAAATGTGGTAGACATCTGAAAAGCACCCCAGCCTGGTGTGATAGCTCACACCTGTAATCCCAGCTGCTTGGGATCACAATCCAAAAACAGCCTGGGTGTAAAAACAAGAGAACCTGAAAAACATGAAAAACCAAAGGGCTGGAGGTGAGGCTTAAGGGGTAGCGCTCTTATAAGCACAAGGCCCCAAGTTCAATCCTCAGTACTGCTGAAAAATAAAAAGTTTTTTCATGGGGCTGGGGGCATGACTGAAGTAGTAAAGTGCCTGCCTAGCAAATGCAAAGCCCTGAGTTCAAACACCAGTACTACAAAAATAAAATTAAATAGATAAATGCACCCCAACCTGTAAACATCAGAATGCCCTGAAGGGTAGGCCTTAGTGGGTGGCTGAAAACACTTCGTGACCGATTTGCTTTTGGATGGTGCACCTGTGGCTGGAGGTGAGCCAGCACTCACAAACCCTCTCAAAGAAGGAGGTCTGTTGAGAGCAGCAAGAAAACACCCAACACACTAATGGCTGCAAGCCTGTTTTGATTGACTGAAAATGCCCACTCAGCATGCCCAAAGAAAAGGTATGAAAAAAATGACAGCAAAAAAGGGATGTTGGGGACATATTTATTTGAAGGTACATGCAAGTCACTAATACATGTTTTCCCACCATCCTAGACTTTCAAAAATGGATGGCAGAGTGGCTCAAGTGGTAGAGTACCTGTCTAGCAAGCCTGAGGCCCTGAGTTCAAACCCCAGTGCTGCCCATCTCCAAAATAGAAGGTCCTCACACCTTCTCCCCTCCAGCCCCAAGCATACTGAAGTAAATCACTGTCCTGGGAGGGCTGGGGGGCTCAGTGACAGAGTGCTTACCTGGCATGCACAAGACCCTGCATTCCATGCCCAGCTCTGCAAAAATCACCTCTGCCCCAGAGGGAGATACTCCACTTTGAAGTGTGAGGTGACAGATTATAGACGTGTGGCAATCTTAATTTGTTTACATAAGTGGTCAGTCTCTGTGTCAGCTCACTTGTGTACTTGAGCATGACATGTGGCTCTGTCCTGTGCCCTCTACTTGAACACATGCCACATCCACTAATGGTGCACCCTGTGTAAGTTGTCTGCTGGTATGTGACAAAACCCACCGGTGGCTCAGCGGCTTAGGCTTAGCGGCAAGCGTTCTCAGGCTCACGGTCAGGAGGCCAGGCTTGGGTTACTTGTCTTGGGGCCTCAAGGCCTAAGGTCAATGTTGGACTCAGTCTGGTGACGGGGTCTGTGGTCTCATCTGTGGCTCAGTGGGGGCAGGCCCGTTTAAGGCTCACACAGGTGCTTGTTGGTGGGACTCAGTTCCTCGAAGGTGATGGGAGGAGAGCCCCAGTTCCTTGCTTGCTGTTGGCTGGGGGTCTGGTTTGTCATCTTTGTAAGCCTCTTCTGGAATAGCTCATGATGCAGTGGCCGGCTTCTCTGGAAGAAGAGAGGGTGCCAGTAATGGAAGCTGCAGCCTTTCTGTGTCCTAATCTTGGAATATTCTGTTGGTTAGACATAGGGGTCCAGCCCACACCCAACCTGAGAGGATGGTGCCAGAGCATGACAGCAGGGACAGGGGCTTGGGGGGGATCTTTCAGGTTGCCTGCCATACCTGTGGGTTGGTGGGTAGCTGTGCAGTTTCTCATTATCATAATAAATGCTCCAGAGAGCCAGGCGCTAGTGGCTCATGCCTAGCTACTTGGGAGGCTAAGATCAGGAGGATTAAGGATTGAGGCTAGCCCCAGCAAATAGTTCTCAAGACCCCATCTCCAAAATAACCAGAGCTAAATGGGCTTGGTGTGTGACTCAAGTGGTAGAGCTCCTGCTTTGTGAGTGTAAAGCCCTGAGTTCAAACCCCAGTCCCACCAAACCAAACCAAACAAAAACCAAAAACAAAGCAAGAGTATTACATTCTGAGCAGCAAAATTTCAGAATCGAATATACCAAGTCTATTTTCAATTTTATGACATTTCAGTGAACTTTTGGTATCTTTTCTTTTTGTTTTAGAGACACGATTTCTCTGTGTATCCCGGGCTGGCCTCCAACTCAAAATCCTCCTGCCTCTGCCCCGAGTGCTGGGATTATAGGCGTGCACCACTACACCCAGCTGAATTAGTTTGGTGCATAGATAAATCTTCATATGGTTCACACTTTGAGAGAGGTTCCAGAAACCAACCATTGCTGCTGGCCGGGGGTCTCTTGGGTTTCTCACCATCTCCCTGTGGAGATGAGCTACTGGTATCTTATATTTAGAAACAACTGAGGTGACTCAGGTCCAGTACCAGCTCTTACCTCTATTCAATCCACTTCTAGCATGAACTGGCAGAGGGCCAGCCAGGCTGTTATTGGGAACCCGGAGTGCCATGGAGGAGTGGGGACACGTCAAGAGAACGGCAGCTACAGTTCCTTGATCAGGAGATGTGCAGCCTGCTACGCCAGGAAGTAGCCGCAGGGGCCCGGGTGAAGGAGAGGTCATAGATTTGCAGCTCATTTGTTTGGCAAAGCAAAGCCCTATGGGGTTGGCCTTGAAGATGGGTGGGGTCCCTGCCCCCCCTGCAGTGACTGTGCTTTACCTCACTCCAAGGTCATCTATTAAGCTGAGCTTGAAAAACTCCGAGTCCTCAAATACTAAATGATAATCGGGTGCTGGTGGCTCACACCTATAATCCTAGCTACCTGGGAGTCTGAGCTTGTGAGGATCAAAGTTTGAGGCCAGCATGGGAAAATAGTTTGGGAATACTGCCCCACCCCAATCTTCAAAGTGAAAAGGAAAATGGACTGGAGTTCAAACACCAGTCCTACCAAAAAATAAAAATAAATAAAAATAAATGCTAACTGTCTGCCAGGTGTGGTTGATACACGTCTGTAGTCCCAGCACTTGGGAGGCTGGGGCAGGAGGATCAAGAATTCCAGGTCATCTGGGTACAGTGGGTCATGCCTGCAATCCTAGCTACTCAAGAGAATCACGGTTTGAAGCCATCCCTGGCAAATAGTTCAAGAGACCCTATCTACAAAAAAACTCATCAAAAAAAGGGCTGGTGGAGTGGCTCAAGGTGCAGGCCCTGAGTTCAAACTCCAGTACTGCAAAAGAAGAAATTTGAATCCTAGGCAGGGGTTGGTGGTTCACATCTATAATCCTAGCCACTCAGAAGGCACAGATCAGGAGGATCAGAGTTTGAGGCCAAAAGACTCCACAGACATGTGGCCCATGTCTGTCATCCCAGCTACTGTGGAAAGCTTAAATAGGAGGGTTGAGGCTTGCTGGGCAAAAGACATGACCCCACTGAAAAAAATAACTAAATGAAAAAGAGCCTTTTCTTTCCGTACTAGGGTTTGAACTCAGTGCCACATGCTTGCAAGGATGGCACTCTAGGGCTTGAGCCACACCCCATGCCCTTCTTGCTCTGGTTATTTTGGAGATTGGGTCTTGCTTTAATGCCTGGGCTGGGCTAGTGGCAATCCTGTTCCTGGGATGACAAGTGTGCACACCACGTGGGCTCAGGTTTTCTGTTGAGATAGGACCCTTCCAACATTTTTTTGTCCTGCCTGGCTTGGAACTGTGATCCTCCCTATCTCAGCCTCCAGTGTAACTGGGATTACAGGCACACACCACTATGTTCAGCATGTTTTTTTTTTCTTTTTTTGGTGGGACTGGGGCTTGAACTCAGGGCTTTGTACTTGCAAAGTAGATGCTCTGCTTGAACACCTCCAGTCCATTTTGCTCTGCTTATTTTGGAGATGGATCTCTAGAACTATTTGCCTGAGTTGACCTCAAACTTTGATCCTCCTGATCTCAGTCTCCCAAGTAGTTAGTACCACAGGCCTGAGCCACTGATGCCTGGCCATGTCCAATTATTGGTTGAGATGGGATTTCACTAACTTTTTGCCCAGGCTGGCCTTGAGCTATGATCCTCCCAATCTCAGCTTCCTAAGTAGCTGGGATTACAGGTGTGAGCCACCAGCACCCAGCTCTTCTTTGTCTCTACTGTGGTTTTGAACTCAGGGCTTCATGTTTGCTAGGCAGGTGCTCTACCACTTGAGCGACTCCCCCAGCTTTTCTATTCAGTCATTTATGGCTGCTTGCACTTAATCTGGCAGCACACTTCTCCTTAACGCCTCCATTCTTCCCATTGCAAGCAGACTGGTTTGCATATAAACACCTCTACTGCATTAATATCTCATTAGTTTGATTGTAGATTAAATTATTAGCTTAAAAACAACTGGCATAAACAAGTTTGGGAACAGCTATCTCTCAGGAAGTTCCCAGCTGACAGATGGGTGCAGAATTGCCCAGTCATAATAGAAGCCAGCCAGCCAGCCCAGCAGCAGGCTTTACAGATGAAAGGAGAGTGTCTTTCAAATGACACACTGGATAGGTTTCAAAGAGCTTTATTGTAGTATTAACTGATAGAGTTTCAGGCTGCATTCCATTTTGCCTTCTAACATAAGTCTTCATTGTGCTCGCTTTGGAGTGTGTCCTGGTATACTTCTCTCCAAAACTATACGACCCCGGGCGTTCATCCCCACATCTGTGGTCTGCTCAGAGCAGGCATTAACTAGGTAGGAAACAGGAAGGGTGAAAAAAGGATCAAGAGACCATTTGGAGCCAGGTGCTGGTGGCTCACACCTGTAATCCTAGCAATTTGAGAGGCTGAGATTGGGAGGATCATGGTTTGAGACCAGCAGGGGGAAATAGTTCTTAAGACCCCATCTCCAAAATAACCAGAGCAAAATGGACTGGAGGTGAGGTTCAAACGGTAGAGCACCTGCTTTGCAATTGCAAAGCCATGAGTTCAAACCCCGCTCCCACCAAAAAAAGAAAAAGTCATTTGGACAGGGTAGCAGGGGCTGCAATGAGGTGTTTAAATTAATTAATTCTAAGGACACTGGGAAACCAGTGAGGGCTTTGATTGGTGGTGAGAGAGACAGGATACAAGAGATAGGAGTAGTTATCCAGGCAGAAGGTCCTGATGGCTTGGACCAAGGAAAATGGAGAGAAGTGAGGATCTGGAGAGATTAAGTAGTCCATCTGAGTTTCTCCTCACTGTTGCCAGCGCTGGGATGCTCCACATGGACGAGTGACAGGGCTGCAGAGGGACTTGTCCATGTTCATCTTGCAGTCTGTCAGTGAGCACTGAGTCACCATTTGGCCATAACTCAGGTCTTATTCTGGGCTCAAGGCTGGGCTCCAGTCATCCCTGGGAAGCCCCTGTGCCTCAGGGTTAGTGGCACAGGGAAATTGACCTACCCAGGTATTTTCCACCCACAGCACTGGCCTTTGTCTCCTCTGCTGGTTGCTCCTCACAGCCATGACTGCTACAGGGATGGAGTGACCCAGTCCCTCTCCACACACAACCGAGTTCTTCCCAGTATTGTTCAGTGTCATTCATTTAAACACTGACTGGCCACACCCCTCTTAGCTACATTGCTTAACATCTCAGCCAAGAAGCAATTACCAGCCAGACTGGTGGTGAACATCCGCAATCTGGAGAGGCTGAGGCACAAGGATCTCGAGGTCAAGGGCATCTTGGGCTGACACCCTTGTAGAGGCAAAAACCTTGACTTTGTCCTTCACTCCTCTCTTTCATTCTCTCTGCACACATCTTTTGGGGTCAGCTTGAAAATGAGTTGTGAAACTGATGCCTTCCCTTATGACTACTGCACCCATCCAGCCCCTCCACCCACCCCATCAGGGCCTGTGGTTTGGATTACTGCCACAGTTTTTTCTTAGGTACTTGTCTCCCCTCTTCCTCCCCATCTTACTTTCAAGCAGCAGCCAGTTTTTATTTATTTATTTATTTATTTTTAGTGGTACTGGGGTTTGAACTCAGGACCTCCAGCTTGCTAGGCAGGTGCTCTGCTACGTCCCCAGCATCCTTTTTATAAAGGTTAAAACTTCCAAAAGTTCCTCTTCAATAGGCAACTCGTGCATACGGTAAGAATTCCAAATAGTCTAAACTGTGACCCCCACTTCCTCACCCTATGCCGGGATCTCAGCCCTTCTGGAATCTTGCAGAGATACATTCAATGTGATTCTATGCATTCTAGGAAAGAATTGCTTACAGTGTAAATGAAATTGTAGATCCCATGGTGGTCCCCAAGCTAAGTGACAGTAAACCCCACATTCCTTTCCGGCCTACACGACCCTCTCCTCCTTGCTCCAGCTGTACGTTAATGATTTGTGACCTTGTTCCCTCGTTTTAGCACTCTTCTATCCTGCCTGGAATCGCTGGCCGTTCATCAGCCACTTTCCTTAAATTTTCCTCGCGGTCCCTGCACCCAGTGCATAGTTAACACGTATCACATGATTGTTTTCCCCCAATGGACCGTAGGCTCTTTGAGTGACCGAGTGTAACTCGATCGTCGCAGTACACTCATCGTCCAGCACAGAACCGGTCAGAGTATTAATAATTTTTTTTAAGCTCACATTTGAATAGTTACTGTGCCAAGCACTGAGCCTCTATTAAGTTCACTGGTTCCTCATAAGCACTCTAAGGTTGTATATGATCACATCCTACAAAAGGAGACTGAAGCAGGACACCTTACACAACTAGTGGCAACGCAGTCATTTTAGTTACGCGAAAGAGTTAATCAACTAATACGGATCGGAGTCACAAGCTTGGAGGTGCGGTGGGCGGAGCCTAGGCGTGGAGACCAATGGAATCTCCAGGGGCTGCCCGCCCTGCCCAGGCAGCGCGGGGACCTCTGGGAGTTGTGGTCCCTTACCCACCTAGCCACGTCACGGCCTACAAACCTGAAGGCCTCCCCTCCTGCGTGGTGCGACTCGAACCCCCGGGCCTCTTGGTGGGTTCGGTCACCTCAGGCCCACTATTCCATGCTCAGCTCTTTCCCAGGTGGTCTTTGGTCTCCGAGTTCTCGACGAGATACGAGATCTCCCAGTGGTTCCCCCCAAACCGCGGAGCCGACTTGGTATCGTCCCATCTCGTCAAACCCTCCAGCTTTTGGTTGGCTTGCGCCACGCCCCCCCACCCCTCCACCCCTCCACCCCAGTTGTTTCTCGCGGCTCCTCCCTTTGCTGGAGCGGCCCATAGTATCTTCCATTCCTCTCAAAGGCTCTCCGGCCCTTTATGGTACGCTCCGGCCACACCCCCTCGAGGACGCCGTTGGTACGCGCCGGGATCCCCCCGTGCTCGCCGCAGTGGTTTGGCCGCGGCGACCCCTCCGGCGGCGCGTCCCCCGCGCTTGGTACGGCTCAGCCCGTCTCCCCGAAGCCGCGAGCCCGCGCCCCTCAGTCGGTGCAGCCTGCAATCCCCCGTGTGGCCAGTGGCTGCCACCCAGCCCCCTCGGCCCACGAACGCTATGGTCCGTCCGCGCCGTGCCCCGCATCGCTCCGGCGCTGCGGGTCCTTTCGGGGGTCGCGGCCGTCCCCCACGGCCCCTCGTCGTGCGTGCGGTCCGCTCCCGTTCCTGGCCAGCCAGCCCTCGAGGCCCGCAGCCGCCGCGGATCCGGGCCCGCTCGGCCCCTCCCATGGTGAGCCCCCCGCCCTTTTTCTAGAGTCTTCCACGGCCCCGCCCCCGCGGCCCCTCCCCCGGGCTCACGCCTTTGTCCACTGCCCCCGAGGTTCTGGGGTCTTCTCGGTGGTTCCCCCGTGGATCCCCCGGTGGTACGCGCCGGGCTCTCCCCTTTGTTGCGCGTTCGGGTCGAGGTGGGGGTGGGGTGGGTTACGGGGGCGGGGCGGGCTCAAATTACTGCTGACTCCGCGGCCCGATTTAAATGCGGGGTGGGGGGCGGGCGGTCGGTCGCCCGGTTTTCTAATTGGAAAGTTGGTCTCTCCGGCAGGAAATCTGGAAATGGGGGAGGGGGCTGGGGAAAGGCGGAGACGGTGGGTGGCCCGCGTTTTGCACACGCGCGCCTAGGTGTTGCACGGGGTGGGGGGGCGCCGTCTCTCCTGGACCCGAACTGTGCTGTGGCTTGCGTACGTAGAATTTTGCACCCCCGCCCTGATATGGGATGCCTTTATCGTTTGCAAGCAGCTCAGACCTTAAAGGTAAACATTCGACTTGTAGGCCTTGCACCCTTCCCCAGTCCTGAAACGTGAAAACTTTTTTTTTTTTTTTTTTTGGTGGGACTGGGGATTGAACTCAGGCCTTTGAACTTGAAAAACAGTCGCTCTATCGCTTGAGCCACACCTCTGGTCCATTTTGTTCTGGTTATCTTGGATCTGGGGGTGGGGTCTCATGAAGTTTTTGCTTGGACTGGCTTGAACCTCGTTCCTCCCGATCTGAGCTATTCAGCCTCCCAAGTAGCTGGGATTACAGGCGTGAGCCACCAAAGCCTGGCGCTTTCCAGACATCTCAAAAAGTATTACTTGGGGCATCAGAAGTTCACATTGCATTGCTTCCAGCAGCCAAGCCTCGTGCAGGCTTGCTTCAGTACCCTGCCCTGACTGGGGCCCTCGCTGAAATCCCAAAAGTTAGACACATCTCTTGCTCCTCTGCCTTTCCCCGCCTGAAGCCTTCTCATTAGTTGTTCAGCATCCTTAAACAAACGTCCAAGACTTGAAACTTCCCTTCAAGTGGTAACTGGTCTTCACTATGCAATCAACAGTAAGTCAGCACGATCTTGTACGTAGCCTAGATGAAGATTTCAGGGTTGCTCTCAGCCTAGTCCTTCACTGTGCTCTTCTGCTGCAGGGAGCAGGTGTACAGGTGGCACAGGTGTACAGGTGGCACAGGTGTACAGGTGTTCGTGGAGCACAGGCTGTTTGCACTGTTTCTGGTTCCAACTCCTAAGTGGTCAGCTTACCCTCCCACATAAGCAGATGTAACATGTGTCACTGAAAGACTTGGGCATGCTGGTGCCTACCTTTAATGCCAGCACTCTGGAATCTAAGGCAGGAGGATCTCAAGTTCAAAGCCAACCTGGGCTACGTAGGGAGACCATGTTTCAAAACAAGTGTCACTAGAATTACATTGGGGTTCTTAAGTGAATACGTACATATGTGGTCATGTGTACTGTCACAAAGCACTTAGGGAGTTCACACAGCTCCAGTTCCAGAACGCCGGAAGTCCACGGTCTTGAATGCCGCAAGTTTGCCCTTAGGTTTTCACTACTTCCACACAGCTGCTGAACATAGCAGGCATGGAGCTACGGATTTAGGACTTCAAATCACTCCCTCTTCAGACCTACCCCAGCCTTAAGCACCCCAACACTTTCTCCCACCAACCAGCGTGCTCTCAGGTTTTCTTCCTGATCGTCCAAATCTCAGAATCACTTGTACAGGTGGAAAGTACGCTCAAATAAGCTCCCACAAAAAATAAAAGGCCAGTGTGGTGATCCACGCTTATAATCCTCCATACTCAGGAGAGGTGAAGGAGAACCTTACTTTGAGGCTGGCCTGAGCAAAGTTAGTGAGATCCAATCTGAAAACAAACTAAAAAAGCCAAAGGGCTAGAGGCGTGGCTGAAGTGGCAGAGGTCCTGGGCTCAATCCCCAAAACCACCAGATAAACATTTTCCTGCTTGTCATTATTCTGGGGAAATACACCTCATGTGCTTGTAAGAAATTCAGAGGGAGCCTGGCGCCATTGGCTCACGTCTGTAATCCTAGCTACTCAGAAGACAGAGATCAGGAGTATCAGAGTTTGAAGCCAACCCCAGGCAAATAGTTCATGAGATGCTATCTCGAAAAATCCTTCACAAACAGGGATGGTGGAGAGGCTCAAGGTGAAGGTCCTGAGTTTGAGCCCCAGTACTACAAAAAGAAAAAATAGTTCTCTAGACCCTATGTCAAAAAACCCAACACAAAACAGAGTTGGTGGAGTGGCTCAAGGTGTAAACTCTGAGTTCAACCCCAATACCGCAAAAAAAAAAAAAAAAAAATTTGGAGGCCAGCTGTTTGTACTGAGATTTCGAGCACACTTGGAGTTTGCCCCACCTGGAGTGACCCACTGCTGAGGTGGCCGTGGGTTTCCCACGCTGCTGTTTCGAGAGCTTGATTTGGAGAAGATTCAGAGGGAGCCCTGCCCTGTGCCACAGGACAGCGCATCATTTTGCTTGGCTCTGTTGCTCGAATCTTTTGGAGATGTGCAAGTGTCCACCGCACGAGACCCCTGTCACGGGGTCTCTCCCCCACGACCCTGTTCTCTGCGTGCTTCTTGTCACTGCCTCCCTGGGCTCAGCAGTGAGGGCGCCCTTTGCCTGGAAACGCCGGCGCGAGGCGGAGTTTGAACCTCCCTTTGAGGGCAATGGGCACTTTAGGAGGGTTCTGAGCACTGAGGGACAGGGCCAGCCAGGGCGCCAGTGCACCAGCCCTGTGCGTGTGGTGGCTACGGGGAGGCCCTGCTGGCGATGCTGGCTTCCGAATTGGATCTGACCACTTGTTAGGCCGCAGAGGAGAGTGGCGGGCACCTTGAGAAGAGGCTGACAGCTTTCGGGACCCTGCTGAGCTACTGTCCTAGCTGGCCCTGGGAGGGAGGGTTCTGGGCAGCTGGCGGAGGACACTGCGTCAGCTTTGAGAGGTGGTGACTCCTGGGGCAAGAGGTTTGGACAGGGTCTGGGAGTTTCTAGCCAGCCAGGGATTTTGGGTGTGAACCTGGGGATGTCCCCGTCTGGAGAGATGGGGACAGCCTGTCCTCGCAGGGCTCCAGCCTGTTTCCCCCCCGCCACAGGAAGGCGCTCGTGTCTTCGGGGCCCTGGGTCCCATCGGGCCGTCGTCACCCGGGCTGGCCCTCGGGGGTCTTGCTGTGAACGAGCACCGGCTCAGCAACAAGCTGCTGGCCTGGAGCGGTGTCCTGGAGTGGCAAGAGGTGAGCCGGTGGCTGCTGGAGTTGCTGGGGTGGGGGCGGCTGGCACCTGGGCCGAGGCTGTGACCACCCTCCCGCCCCACAGAAGCGCAGGCCGTACTCTGACTCGACCGCGAAGCTGAAGCGGGCTCTGCCGTGCCAGGCCTACGTGAACCAGGGCGAGAACCTGTGAGTGACCTGATGGGCGCGCGGGGGTGGGGCGGGGGCGGGGCGCTGGCTGACGGCTGCTTCCTGCAGGGAGACGGACCAGTGGCCGCAGAAACTGATCATGCAGCTCATCCCGCAGCAACTGCTGGTGAGAGCCGTCCTGCCTCGCACCACCCGGCCCCCATGCGCCCCCCCAGAGCCCCTGCCGACCCGTCTGTCCCTTTGTCACCCCCAGACCACGCTGGGCCCCCTGTTCCGCAACTCCCAGCTGGCACAGTTCCACTTCACCAACAGAGACTGCGACTCGCTCAAGGGCCTCTGCCGCATCATGGGCAACGGCTTCGTGAGTCGGTGGGGTGGGGAGGGGACCTGGGGCCAGTCCACAGTGTCACTGTGAACATACAGTGTCACAGGCTGTATGTTCAGACCTGAGGAGCTCTCAGCTGGGGCCAGAGTAAAGAAATTTGGCCTGTGTCTGTGCCCTGCTGACCTGGCTGTGGTGTGGGAGTGCGGGGAAGGACCTGTGTGGCCCTGAGCCTGTTGGCAGAGAGCAGGGTGGGCACCTGGGCACTGGGCGCGGCCAAGATGGAACAAGCCACCTCCTTGTCTTAGAGTGGCATCCCAGCCGGTCTTGCTTCCTAGGCCCAGAGGTCACAGTAGGCACAGTAGTAAGTGGGTGCTGGGTAAGGGCAGGACACAGCGTGGGGTTCCGGTGCTGGTTTGAGCAGCAGCCCCTGGCTTTGAGGGGTTTGGCTGGGGAAGGTTGCAGGTGTGTGACAGGAAGGGGTGACTCATCCATCCGCCGTGCCCCAAGGACCTGACTCCTGACCCATCATCTCTGTGCCCACTCCCAGCCACCTCCAAGGACACCATGTACTGAACCTGTGTCCAGATGGCTCTTTCCTTGGCCCAACACTCTAGGGTGTATGAGGTGACCCTTCACTGAGCAGCATTTGCTGAGCAGCAGAACCAGGAATGGAGTCCCTGGGTGCTGGCCTGAGGGTCAGAAGTGAGGCTGGCATCCTGGAGAGTGTTTGGGAGGTGGCCAGGGGTTCCATGGACACTTGTGCAGATACCATGTGTGGGGGTCTTACAGGCTTTTGTTCTCCCATCCAAGAAGCTGTACCACTTCACTTAAGAGCATTTATGTAGCACTTACTGTGTACATTGATCCTACACTTTACAGATGGGGAAACTGAGTCCCCAATTAGGAAGTGGCTTGCATTGGGTCCCATGCCTCAGAGGTACTGTGCTGGAGTTGTGCCCAGCGGCCTGGCCCAGGCCCTTCTGGGTAGCTGCTCAGGAGCTGGCTGCCCCAGTTCAGAGGAGCAGGGCTGGCATCTTGGGGAGAGATGGGCAGGAGATGCAGTCCCAGCCCTCATCCCAAGTGTGGGGATGCCAGCTGACCCACAGCTCTCTGGGGGGGTCTAGGATGCTGAGGTGACCTCACACGCCCCTGGGAAGGCCCTGCCGTTCAGGACTTGTGTTGTGGGTGACTGCTGGTCCTCTCTAGGCAGGACAGCCTCGGGTTGGTGTGGAGGGATGAGGTGCCCCTCAGCAGTGCCCTTGGGGTTCCTGACCTGCCCTCCTCTCCCCCCAGGCGGGCTGCATGCTCTTCCCCCACATCTCCCCCTGCGAGGTGCGCGTGCTCATGCTCCTGTACTCGTCCAAGAAAAAGATCTTCATGGGTCTCATCCCCTATGACCAGAGTGGCTTCGTCAATGCCATACGGCAGGTCATCACCACCCGCAAACAGGTGTGCCAGTGCAGCTTGCCCCCAATGGGCCAGAGCGAGGAACCAGCCCAGGCCAGTGCCTGTTCCCCCAGTCAGCTGCACTCCGAGGGTGGAGCATGATGTGATGGCAGGAGAAAGGAGCATCAGAGGAGCTGTGAGGAGGCAGTGGATCATTCCCACCAGGGCTGGGTGGCAGAAGTCACTTCTCAGTGAGGCTTTGAAGGGCTGGAGAGACACTGGGGAGTGGGCCCTGGCATCAGGGAAGCCTCTGTGGAGTGGGGAGGTGGGTGGTAGGTCTGTGGTTGTGGGGAGGCCTGGTGAGGGGCTCTGGAAGGTGACTGTGTCCTGGCTCACACCTTTTTTCAGAAGGGTTCCAGCTCGTACTGTCACTCGGTTACCAGAGACAGGCTCGGTGGGGTTTGTAAAGCAGGCAGTGGGCTGGGCTGCCAGGGCCGGAGGCTCAAGCACAATGACAGGGTTTCCTGGGAGCCTCACCCAGGGCACAACCCACCCTTCTCTTCCCTGCCAGGCAGTGGGACCCGGTGGTGTCCACTCGGGCCCTGTCCAGATTGTCAACAATAAGTTCCTGGCATGGAGCGGGGTGATGGAGTGGCAGGAGGTGAGCCTGGGTGGCAGCTCTGGGAGCTGGGCTGTGTGGGCAACGGTGCCCGGTGTCCCCATCCCTCATGTGTCCTCTCACTCTGCCCCAAAGCCCAGGCCTGAGCCCAACAGCCGGTCCAAGAGGTGGCTCCCATCCCACGTCTACGTGAACCAGGGGGAGATCCTGTGAGTGTCGGGGCTGGGGGCAGAGGCTGCGTCAGGGAAGGCGCATCCTGACCCTGCCCGTCCCCTGGTGCCCGCAGGAGAACCGAGCAGTGGCCGAGAAGGCTGGTCATGCAGCTCATGCCGCAGCAGCTGCTGGTGAGCGGGTGGCAGGACGTCACTTGGGTCCCTCGAATCGAGACAGGCTTGGGTGGGCTGGGTCCAGTGGGCCGGGACTGGCAGAGGGACTGGGGCAGGGCTGGCGGCCTGGCGGAGGACGCCCACAGTGGCCGGCTGCTCCCGCAGACCACGCTGGTGCCGCTGTTCCGGAACTCGCGCCTGGTGCAGTTCCACTTCACCAAGGACCTGGAGACGCTCAAGAGTCTCTGCCGGATCATGGACAACGGCTTTGTGAGTGCGCGGCGGCAGCCGGGGCAGGGGTGGGTGCTGGACACCCGTGTGAATGAGTGGCCTTCTCAGTGCCACACCATGTGCCCAGAGAGCCCTGGGTATCTGACCCTGCTGCGTGAGCGGGACCTGAGTGGGAGTGGCCCCCAGTCTGTTATATTAGCGCCCCTAGGAGACCCACCACGCTTCCCTGCTGTGGCCGGTCTTCTAGGTCACTGGATGGTCTCTGCTCAGTACCATCTCTGCCAGGTGTCACCTATTAGAGGCACCTTGCTGGCCGAGGCCTGCTTGGTGGTTATGTTGTCTGTGGTTCTCAGCCCAGCCGTGGCCTCTCTCTGGACCTCAGTTTCCTCACGTGTAAGGTCAGGAGGGTGCTGCCGAGCCCTCTGCTCATGTCCATCTTCTGGATGTTTGACAGGCTGGATGTCACCTCTTACCCCCTTCAGTTAGCCTATGTGATGCGGCTTGTGCTGTGTGTACGTTAGCATTTCAGCAGTTTCAAAACAAGGCTGGGAGTGTGGCTCAAGCGGTAGAGTACCTGCCCACAAGCGCAAGGCCCAAGTTCAAACCCAAGAAAGACAAAACCAAAATGAGAGTTTCAAAACAGATCCCAAGTGGTCTGAAGAGCCCCAGCTCAGCCCCGCCTGCCCTGAGCTTCCTCTGGGCACCTGAGCCCTGGGGCCTGTGAGTCCATCCCACTGTCTCCTCAGTTCCTCTGTAGGGGCTGGTTCCTAGGGAGGATCTGGTGAGGTGTAGTCCCCGCCTGCTGTGCCCAGCGGAGTCCCTGTTCCTGCACAGCCAGGTCCCAGGCCTATGCTCTTGGTGGCGAGCCTGGCTGCACTTTGCCCTGGAGGAAAGGAAGGAGGAAAAGGGCTTGGGGGGCATCAGGTGCTCCCCAGTCAGAGATCCCTGGGTCTGGGTCCACCTGTGGCTTTTGGGCCATATCTTGGTCCCCTCATGGTGTCCCTGCGGCCTGGCGTTGGGCAGCCAATGACCCGGTGGCGCTGCTCCCGCCCTCCAGGCCGGCTGCGTGCACTTCTCCTACAAGGCCTCGTGCGAGGTGCGCGTGCTCATGCTGCTCTACTCATCGGAGAAGAAGATCTTCATCGGTCTCATCCCGCACGACCAGAGCAACTTCGTCAACGGCGTCCGGCGGGTCATCGCCAACCAGCAGCAGGTCCTGCAGCGGAACCTGGAGCAGGAGCAGCAGCAGCGAGGGGTGAGCCTCGCTCCGGCCCAGCCCCCCCGCGCTGGCGCTGGTGCCCGCCATGACGCCGCCCTCCCCTGGCTTCCTCCGCAGATGGGGGGGTAGTGGCCCCCGGCTGGGTCCCACAGGAGTCCCAGGCGAGGCCCGGCAGAGACTGGTGAGTGGCGATCCTGCTGAGTGCCGGACACCAGAGGGAGAGGCCCAGGGCCCGCAGCTCCCAGCTCTGGCGAGGAGTTGGGCTCCTGGGCAGGGGTTGCTGAGCCTGGGCGTGGCGAAGGCTGTCACTATGTCCCTGGGTTCTGGAGGCCTGCTAGGTGCGGTAGGGTGGGGACTGCTGGGGAGCCATGGTCCAGCCCCTCCCACTGTGTCCCCTGCCCCCCAGGTCACATGCTTCTGAGCAGGGGCCCCTGGGGACTGCAACTGCCCAGCAACATGGAGGACAGCGTCCTGAGGTTTCCAAGGACAGTCCCCACCCTGTATGTTTCCCCAATAAAGTCTTTTAACCCATGTGACACTGCCGTTCACTGCCTCTGCACCAGCTGTTGCCTGGCAGCAGATGGCACCCCTCTTGGGCAGAGATTTGCAGACTTGAGCGCCACCGCATCCCCGAGCTTGTGGGGGAACTGGAGTTCTAGGAGAGCTTGGGGCTACCGGACGGGGCAGCTGGTGAGCTGTCATCAGGCTGGCCGTGCAAGCCACCTAGTTAGCGTTTCCACCTGTGACGGGTGGGGCTGTGGTGGCCTTGTCCTTTGGGCCTAGGCCACGCAGGAAGTCCAATGCTGCGTCCCTCAGGCCGGGCGTCCTCGTGGGACCCAGGCCTGGGCCAGCGGTCACCGTGAAGTATACTGGGGGGCTGGGGGTTCGGGTACAACCCCCTTCCCACCTGTGACCCGCCCACTGCCCCAGCCTGCGTGCAGCAGAGGCGGCCTTGTGCTAAAACAGGCCAGTCCTGGTCCTGAGCCAGACGGGACAGATCACAGACGCCCGCCTCCCAGCAAAATGCAGGCCAAGCGAGGAGAAAAGCACATTTATTGCGGGGTGGGGCGGTGCGGGCTCAGCCCTCCGAGAACTGGCGGTACAGCCGCTCGAGCTGCGGCTCCAGAAGCAGCCGGAACGGGATCTCCAGGATGGCGACGAAGCCTTCGGCCAGCGTCGGCGCCTCATATTGCTTCCTGTGGGCAGCGGGGGCTGAGGGCGGCCCCGCCTGCCCCGGCTCCACCCACTGGAGGCGGGACCACTGCCGAGCCCCCGCCCGTAGGGCGGCACCACTGCTAGCCCCACCCATGAGGGCGGTACCTGTAGCTGTACAGGACCATGTCAGACACCGGTGCGTGCGAGGAGTCCGTCATCTCACGGAACTGCAAGGAGACCCGGATGCAGCATTAGAGGGGGAGGGGGGCTGCCCCACGGGGGAAGGGGTGAAAGGGCGGGGCGGAGCTGACCCGGTTGTTGTGTCGCGCCTGCTCCAGGGTGGCTGTGAAGAGGAAACAGCGGCAGGGGACACCGGTGTCTCTGGCGCACTGGATGTACCTGTCAGGGCCCGCAGGCTGCTGTCACCAGGCCCCTGGCGGCCCTACCGGAGCCCTCCCACGGGGCCCTAGTACCTGGCCCGGCTCAGGACGTCTGGGTTTGTGTTGTCGATCACGACCCGTTTCTTTTGCTTTAGCGCGGTCTCACACGTGCTCACACAGCGCTGCCAAGAGCCCAGCGTGTCCTGGGGGACAGGGGAGAGCAGGTCACAAGTGGAACCTGGGGATCCAGGAGAGCAGATCCAGAAAGGAGGAGGCTGAGTCCGGGAGACACATCTTGAGGAACAGAGGGCCAGAGCTGCACGGGGAGCTAGTGACCGGGCTGGGGACAAGGCAGGGACCAAACAACTGTCGCACCCTGTTCACGTGGACATAGCCGGCCGAAACAAGGTGCTCCTTGAGGAAGGTGGACTTGCCGGCTGCGAGGGGAGCAGCATCGGTATCAGTGGGTGCCTGGTCTGGTCCCAGAGGGGCGATCGGGTCACCCGGAAGTCAGGGTCAGGGTATCTCACCCCCAGGGAATCCCACGGCGACAACCACCTCTGGGCTGGAGCTCAAGAGACTGCTGGACTCCGGGAGGCAGAGCGGCCCAGCGCTGGAGACGGCCCTCTGGGAGGGGGTAGACAGGTGTGAGCCCCTCGCCCCCATCCCGGCCCCTCCCCCTTTGGCCCCTTCCTTTCCCTGGGGTCTCACCGGGTCAAAGGCCGGGAGCTCAAAGCTGGCTGCTGGCCATTTAAGGAAGAACTCCTCCGGTGTGGCGAAGGGCAGGCCAAGGTTGAGGGCAAACTGGGGGGAAGACAGAGGTCAGGCAGAGGCCAGATGGCCTGGTGGGGGGCAACAGGAGGGCAGGCTCACCAGGCGGTCTGCGCAAGAAAAGTCTTTCTTCTTCCGCCCCGGGGCCCAGTTGGCAGGGCGGCCCGCTGCGTCTGGAACAGAGGGGACACTCCTTTTTGCCATCAGGCTCAGAGAGTGCGTCCCAGCCCACCCACGGGGCTCCCAGGCCCTTACCTCCCACGAAGATGCTGTCCTTCAGGGAGATGGGCACGCCCTCGTTGGCCTGGGAGAGACGGGCAGTGAGCAGCCCCTTACCCCACCCACCGACTCCACTGGCCAGGCGGTCCAGTGTCTCCAGGCTGGCTTCCTGGCTCCCGCCCCCACTTGTTCCCCAGGCGGCCGCTAGGTGGCGCCGGAGCCGGCGGTCAGCACAAGGATCGCCAGTAAACGTGCGGGACTTGGTCCAGGCCTCTTGCACCTGTTGCTTCTCCCACCTGGGCCACTTTCCCAGATACCACGTGGTTCCTCCCTCCTTTAGACCTTTACTCAAATGTCACCTCAGAGGGGCCGTCCCTGACCACTGCAGTCACTTCCTCCTGGTATTTTATAACCGCCTAGACATTTGCAGTGTCGTCCGTGCAGGTCCCAGAGCATGGTGGGCCCCGTCACCTGTATTTCCGCCCAAGACATTAGTGGCCTTCGGTAGTGAGGCACATAAGTGAATGAACAGTCACTTCTCAGCCACTCTGATTTTCAGAGCTTAAGAGCCCTGAACTCATGTCACCCCCTAGGATGTGACAGCTGAAAACAGACCATGAGGACCAGGGAGGAGCAAGTCCAGGGACAGAAAGCTGGGTGGGGAAAGGAGGAGCTGCTCACCTGTTCTTGCAGGTGATCCCACATGCCAGTCACCGGCTTCCGGTAGAGCCCTGCATGCGTGGCGACCAGCACCTGCAAGATGCAGTGGCAGTCACATCACTGAGCTCTGCCAAGCCACCCCCTCCCCTGCCCTGGTATACCCTGACCACCACTGCACCAGTAAGGCCCAAACAGAAATGTCACCCACACCCCCGGTTCTCTCTGGGTCTCTGTCCCCCTTCCTGGGTCCATCCCCATCTAGGTTTCTCAACTAGAGTCTCTGCCCCCCACCCCCAGAACTGTCCCTCTCTCTCTCTGGGTCTCTGCCCCCACCCCTAGAGAGAGCTCCTGAGCCTTCCTTTAGCCATACCTGGATGGGAACCCCTAGCTTTTCCAACACAGCCTCCACCTTGGCCTTGAACTCTTCTGCTGGCACCTTCCCTCGCCCAATGCCCATCTGGTTGGTGAGGATCACCAGCTGCAGAGTAGATGGTGTCAATGGGAGCCTCCTCACCAGGGCCCTGTCTGACCTGCATCCAGATTCCAGGTGTGTGCACACACACACGCATACACACACACACCTTGTAGCCTTCCACACACAGCTCCTGGAGTTTTCGAGGAATCTCTGTGTACAAGATCCTAGGGCAGGTGGGAAGTAGCTGATGACTTGGGGCCAAGAGGGGACTCCAGGTTTCACCCAGTTCCTTTGCTTGCCCTTCCTCACCTCCAGTCATTGGGGCCAGTGGGAAAGACCTTCCCAGAGCGGGTGGTGATGAGGGTCCCGTCCATATCAAAGGCAGCCACCTGGTATCACCAAGAACAGAGCAGCTTCAGGGTGATAAGTGACCCCCACTTACAGGCTGAATGACACCATCCTCATCAGGTAGGGAAACAGAAAGAGAGCCTGCATGTCTTCTGTAAGGGCGGGACACAGCAGGAACGCAGCCCTGACTCTCATCTGAGCACAGACTCTCGAATGCTTATTGTCTCTTGTCACTCCTGTGTCCCCCACCCTCACTTTCCTTTTTTTTTTTTTTGCAGACTGAGGTTTGAACTCAGGGCCTACAAACTTGAAGCCACTCCACGAGTCCTTTTTGTGATGGATGTTTTCGAGATAGGGTCACTATTTGCCCAGGCTGGCTTCAAACCAAGATCCTCCTGATCTCCTGAGTAGCTAAGATTACAGGTGTGAGCCACCAGCGGCTGGCTCACTTTTCCAGACCAGGTGCTGGTGGCTCAAGCCTGTAATCCTAGCTATTCAGGAGGCAGAGATCAGGAGGATCACAGGTTCAAAGTCAACCCAGGCAAACAGTTCATGAGACCCTATCTCAAAAAATCCTTCACTGGTGGACTGTATCAAGGTGTAGGCCCTGAGTTCAAGCCCCAGTACTGCAAAAATAGAAACAAAAACAACAAAAAATAAATGGGGACCAGCACCTTACTCACCCTCCTTCCTAGGGCTTCTCCACCTCAGTAACCGTGGAAATAAAAACCAGAGTGTGGTCTTTTGGGGGTTTGACAGTCCATTTGGGCCTAGGCCACGTGCTTCCCACTGGCTCACCATTGCAGTGGGACTGGGAATAAGACCACGGCTGCATCTCAGACATGCTGAGCCAGGTGGCCTGTCACATACAGCGCATTCCCCAATGCTTCTGGCCACCCCTGGTTTGTCGTCAGCTTCTGTGTCAGTATGTGGAGGGCTAAAAAAGGCTCGCCCAGGGTCGGATTCCCAGTGCGTGGCAGTGCCCCATATGCAGCCCTCACCTTGCCCTGGGGCTTCACCCCAGGTGCGGTGAACACCAGCAGCTTCTCCAAATTCTCCCAGCCCAGGGACGACTTCCGCATCCGCTTTTTCTGTGGTTCAGAATCCTCCTTCTTCTGTTCCTCATCTGGGGCCACAGGAGGGGTCCTGGGTGGAGTATCTGGCTCGGATCCTGGTGTGCAGGTCTCTTCCCAGCGCAAGGTGAGTGCGTGGAGGCCATTGACCAAATAGAGGGTGTCCCCGACTCTCAGAGAACCCTTCAACCCTGGCTTCAACTCCTGAGTTCCAGCGGTTGAAGGGTTAATGCCCAGCTGCAGAGAAAGAGGGAGGGGCTGCGATTGGGGACCTCTTCTAACCAAATAACCCAATGAAGACTTGCCTTTCTCCACTTGCCAATCAGACCCTTGAGCCCACCTCTTCACTATGTATCACCAATTAGGGCTTTGGAAAGGTTACAGGTTTGTGATCTTGCCCAGTTGAAAGGGGATGGATGAAAGCCTGCTGAAGCAAACAACACTCCCTTGTATGGGGGCAATCACAATTTTTTTTGTGGTGGTGCTGGAGCGCTAACCCAGGGTCTCACACATGCTAGGGAAGCCTTCTGCCACTGTGCCAAATTCCCAGCCTCTTGTTTTTTTCAGACAGGCTCTCCCTACATAGTCCAGGCTGGTCTTGAATACTCTCTGTCAACCAGTCTGATCACAGGCACGAGCTGTTGCCAAGCCTGGCTCCACTCGGATCTTTCTAAAGGGCTGTTTCCTGCTGAGCTGCGACTCCTCTGTCGACCTGGACCCCAGGCTTTGCTAATGAAGCACTGGCACGGTACCTGTTTCACGGCCACTGTCCGGGTCTCGGGGTCTGCAACCAGCTCCACTGAGGGTTGAGGAGGCGGAATCAGGGTTTGCAAATTGTGCCATTGGCTCCCTTCTTACTGGGGAACAGTCCAGCTTCGAGCCATAGGCTGGGGACTACAGCATCCATTCCAGGGGGAACAGGAGGCAGTGTATTTCTAACAGGGACTGGCTCCTTGATTTCCAGTAGCCAGACAGAATCCCTAGGACTGCCTGTGACAATTGTGATTGCCCCAGGACTTCAGGTCCTGGGCATCCCCTAGCGACATTTACTTTTCTCTATGGAGTCACCTGTCTTCACAAGGGCAGTGGCCTGTCTCAAGCCTTCAGCTGGTCTGTGAGCATCCTCTGCGCAGTGACAATTCTCCCGAGATGGCCTCCATCTCCTCTCCCCCAAGGGGCCGGGCTAAATCCTGGTCAGATACCACCTTTCTCTTTCTATGCTCCCCAGGGCCACTTCTCAACTTCAGGACTGACTGCACCGCGCGATTCTGCCCAGTAGCCAAGCATCTCCCTTACTGGGCTAACGATCCCCCTTTCCCAGGGGCTGAACTCCCGCTTCTGCAGAGGGCACACCCCTCCAGTTCAGGTCCCGCCCCGACACACCTTGGTTTCGGGAGCACTTCCGGTCCGTGACCCGGGTTAGGGGGCCCCGGCCCAGGACCAGGGTTTGTCCGTCCGAGGGCAGGAAGATGGGAGGCGCTCCTCCGGGGGGGCTCTCCAGCCACAAGCGACCGTGGGCTTCCACCTTGGCCATGCTGAGTGTTGGCCTCCGAGAAGCTGGTACCAGGGACTAAGCGACAAGTCGTCGGATTTTGCAACAGGAAGCTCCGCCCACTTCCGGCCAGTGATTCCCTCCTTCCGCTAACCCCTCCGGAAATCCCCCCACGCCAGCCCCGGGCGCGTTCCAGTCGTTTCCCAGGCGACGACGCCGCTGCTACCCTGGGCGAGTGAGAATCCTTTCCTTCTCCGACCAAGCGGACGCGCGCCCCCACAGGTCCCCACACTCACCTGTGCTTGTCGCTCTGGCCACAGAGGCCCCGAGTGAGGCACTCTGTCCGCAACTTGGCGGGCAGAAATGACTGGTTACACGGAGGGGCGGGGCCTGGGCTCCTCCCGCACAAGCTCCGCCCTGTCTCAATTCTGGATCCCTGCGTCCCTGCCCCTGCACCGTGAGTCTCCGGCCGGCAGAGGGCGGTGCGGACCCTTCACCGGCAGATTCTCCTCTTTCAGGGGGTCTGATGCTCATCCACCTCCATTGGTGGAGTTACGTTGGGAGGAAGCTGCTTTCCTATGGGATGAGTGGAAATACCTGCTTCCACCCCGCGGGGTTAGGAGGACCAGGAGCTAACACTTATGGAAGTGTGGCAAGGCCTCTTTAATTAAGCCTCCTCCATTGTTAACGTCCCTCAGGTGCTGGTCTGATGGGAAGTCGAAATTCCGTTTTCCTAGCCCTAATTTCGAACCAGGGTCCACCTGCGCTCGAACCTCCAGCTGGCTTTAGGATTCCCCCCCCCCCCCGGAACTAGAGTTAACTCAAGACCTTTGCCAAGGAGGCAGGCGCCCTGCTGTGTCAGCCACACCTTCAGCGCTTTAGCTGCTTTATGGTGGGAAAGTGCTCAGTCGACGAACAAGAAGGCTCCAGAGACTGATTCCTTAAGGGGACCACTCAGTCCCTGAAGCTGGGAGTTCCACGGTAACACTGGACTGGCATGTTCCCCCGACCTCGCGTTATCTCCCATTTTCTTACGTAAAACTGGTTTTGCACTGACAATCAATGAAATGGCGTTCTTCGCCCTTAGGAAATGTAACACACATAATACACTTCGCACTCTCTGGTCAGAGATAAAACTCTTTAATCTCAGAGCGCCCCTCCCAACTCCCGGTTCCCATCCCCCACTCTCTCCCCCACACCAGGGCCGGAGAGTGAGGCCCCCTGCCCCCAACCTTGGGTGGACAAGGGCCCTTTAAGGCACCTGTGGGGGTGGGAGATGAGGGGCGGGAGCTGGTACCGTCCTGGGTGCAAGGACGGAGCTTCGATTGGCAGGCTGTTGTAGGATGGGACCAGTAAGATGCAGGGATTGGACTGGGCCATCCCTGAGGGGACCACGGGTACAACTGTCAGGACTTGGTCAAAAATGACTCCAACCCCAGTAGTGTAAAAAGGCAAATTGAAGGCCGCAGGCCAATTCTAGAACAGGAAGAGGGCTTGGCCATGCCCCCAGGAGGCTGGAGCCAATTAGGCGGCAGGACTCAGGAAGGGCGGATGGGACATTGATCAAGCCCTTGACGGCATCCAGGCCAACAAAATGAAAGAGCTGCCCAGTCACTAGGCTACTACCCAATCCTCGGGCTTGGCTGTGCTCTTTCCGGGATGGAGCCAATGCCGCGCGACCAGAGGCTTTGGCGCTAGGCAAGAGTTGACCCATTAAGTTTAGGACAAGCCACGCTCCCAACTGGGAGCAAGCCAATCCTTTTAAAGAACAACTCTGTCGCTGGGCGGACAAAGGGGCGACAGATCCAATTGGGGAAAAGTACACATTCCATTCCTCCGCCAGGGCGGACGCAGGCTGGAAGGTCGGCAGCGATTGGCTGGGCCCGGCCAATCCGGCCCAGGACACGTGGGGAGGACGGTCCTGGACCTGATTCCGATTGGCGGGCTCCGGGGGCGGGGCGGGGGTGTAGTGTAGGCGGGGCGGATCCGGGCCCGGGAAGCTCTCTCCCAGCCCTTTAGTATTTCCGCTTCAACTTCTGGAAGTCGCTGGTGTTGAGCCGTGGCCGAGGCAGGTCCCCAAAAACCTGGGTGTCTTCGGCCTCCCTCAGCACCAGCGCGCGCATGCTTGCCGCGATGCGGTCCAGGTCCGGCGAGGAGGGCTGTGGAGACCATGATCGCGGGGTCAGCGCCTGCCCGCCCAGCACGTCCCCACCCTCCCGCTTGAGTCCCATATGCCCTTCTCTCTGTCCTGCTCCTTGCAGGCATCCATCTATATCCAACTCAGGCACCACCTCTTCCAGGAAGCCTTCCAGACCCTTTTTCTGCTAGACCTAAGCATCACCACCGCTGCCTGTCCCACCAGAAGCAGTGCTGCTCCCCTGCTGTCCACCAGGCTGCTGCGCCTGAGGATGGGGGCTGGAGGCTAAGTTCCAACCAGACCTCTGCCACCTACTAGCAGTGAAGGAGACTGCACCTTGCTAGGTCTCAGCTAACAAGGCCTGGGAGGGCTCAGCAGATGACAGCTCAGGGACAGGGCAAGAAAGCTGCCACTGCACGGGAAGGGCCCCTCCCACATCAGCTAGTATTACATCCACCTTGACCCCTCCTCCCCTAGGTGAGGCCACTGCAGCAGCAGGTCCTGGGCCTCTTGCTACCTACCGAGAAGCCCTGGAGGCTGGTTACCCTTGGAGGCTGTTAGTAACCATGTCACATGAGCCAAAGGAAGGAGAACAGCCACCAGCGCTTGCTGCTTCCCCAGTCCTACTACCTACCCCACAGGTGACTAGCTTGTGGGGCAGTCAACTTTTAGACTGATTTCCAAATAAGGACAATGAAAGCTGAGGGGGGACAAAGGGGACCAAGGTCCTCACAGCCCACAGCTCTTTCCCTGAGGGAACCCAGACTGCAATCCTAGCTCTGCCCCTTGCAGTCCCAGACCTCCCAGAAGCCTTGAATCCTCTCAGAGCCTCCATTTCCCTCTGTGTCAAGGACTCACTCAGTATGGGTGACAATAACAGCCCAGGAGAACAGAGGACACAGGCACAGGACAAATTCTATGAGGGACCAGCAATGTATGAGGTGAGCTGACTGCTGAGCCTCAGTTTCCCCATCTGGAGGGGAAGCAAAAATACCCATGCCTTGCTCAGGGCAGGTGTTCGATAAATGGAACTTGTCTGGACAGGAGAGGCCTTCCCTCCAAAGTACTAGGACACACAAAGCAAAAGCCCACCTCCCCAGGGACTGGAAGGCTAAGGACAGAAAGTGCATCTGTACTATGCAGAGGGCTTCTAGGAGGAGGTGGCTCTGAGCCCTTCCACAGCCCTCCTCCACTGACACTTCACCCTCACCGGCCCATTCTCCTCATCTGACGACCGTGCCTCTGTCCTCTTCTCTTTGAAGGCCCAGACGGGCACAGACACGGGCAGAGACTTGGCATACTGCTGTGTGGGCAACGCAGAGGCTGGGGGAACTGAGTAGGCTGGAGGGCCAGCTGGAGTCTCCTCACTCAAGCTACCATCTGTAAGACAGGAACAACTGCAGTCTTGGTCCCTGCCCTCCTCCCAGCCCCTAGAGGTAACGAAAGCTGGGGACACTTACCATCTGTGCTTTCAGGGTCCGACTCACAGAAGGGGGGCAGGTCCTGGAGGGTGGTGTCCTCATCCATCACGAACAGCCCTGTACATGGCGTAGTCCAGCCTGTCAGGTCCCTCGCACTCCACCTGCCCTGCCTTCAGCCACTCTCTGCGGGCTGCTGCTACTACCTCCTGTGCCTGTAATGCCTTCCCCAGTATCTGCCTGGTCACAGGCGGGATCCAGGTTCTGTCATCCTGTTACCCCTCAGATGCAAACACTGCACATTAACATGACACCTCTCGAATCTGTTTGGGATGGTGTGATTGAAACACAGGCTGAGAGTAAGATGGGGTGATTGTGATCTCTGCTTGACAAAAGAGAGACTGGGTGGCTCTGATGGATCACATCACTCACTTCAGGTCCCATGGCTAGTAAGTGGCCTCAACAGGATTTGAACCCAGCGTACTGGCCTCCAGTCTGTACCCTTCCCACACCATGGGCTTGCTTAGCAATGGTGAGGAAGCCAGCATGGATAAGAAATGAGCAACTCCTACTCACTCCTCAAAGCTCTCAAATTACAGTCCAACCACTGAGACGCTGGACTTCCAATTTCCTCCCCCAAATCACTGGCTGCTCCCTGGCCAGCTGCCCACAGCTGGCTCTCCTGGGAGGTAGGATATCTGGGCTTTGAATTCTGATATTCCACGCAAGAGGCTGTAATCCCAAGAGCCTCAAAAGCTCCCATAGCATCAGTAAATGGCTGCAAGGCTCAGAGAGGGCAAGTGACTGGCTGCAGGACACACAGCACTCTCTGGGCCAGTCTCTCTGGCTGGAGACTCTTGGGACTGCAACATCCATGGAAGCAACAGTGGCCCCCAGCCAGGACAGGGCCACTGGAGACCCCCACCCAGCAGTGCTCACCTCCATTATCACTGCCACCCAGCCGCTCTCCAGAAGTCTCTGTTTCCGTTGGCTCGTCCTCATCCTCATCATCCTCCCGGGCCAGGGCCGGCCGGGGTGGGCTGGGAGCAGGGCTGGGCGGCTGTGGGGCTGGTGGAGGCCCAGGGGGGCGGGCAGCAGCAGCTGCCCTGTGAGCTTGGGCAATGTCATGGAGGCAGCGGCGGGCAGCCTCAGCCAGGGCTCCCCGGCCATGGGCAGCATAGGCACAGGGCCCTGGACGGGGTGGCGGTGGTGGTGCAGCAGTCAGCAGCACCAGCTCCGTGCCGGTCCGGGCCCTGAAGCGCTCTGCAGCCCCCACCACGGCCTCCCACAGCTCCTCAGGCCGCCCTGACGCCATCCACGTCCTGTGTGTCAGAGCACAACAGCAGGTTTGAGTCCTAGTGGCCCACAGTGTCCCTACCCAGCCCATTTCCACTGGTCCTCTGGTGCCACTCACACCCCTCACATCCAGCTGGTGGCCCCTTCTCCAAACCAGCTACCCACCCCTCCTCCCTTGCCACCCAACCCTCGTCACCATCCCTCCTGCCTTGCGTGTCTGCAACGTTCCTTCCCTCTTGGCCCTGCCCTGTCCCACGTGGGAGCCACCAGCCAACTGCGACTCGGAGTCCTGAGAACGTGGCAGCTTCAAGTGTCAAAGCCACACCGGGTTTTGAAGACTTAGTGCAAATTAAGTGAAAGGTAAACTTGCTCGGCAGCAATGTCAACACTGACTCCATGTCGAAGGGGTGACATTTTAGACACCCTGGCTGAAGAAACAGATGGCTACAATGAATTGTCTGGTTTTTCTAATGTAGCCTGTAGGAATCACTAAATGACACATTTGGCTGGCATGTTTCTGTAGGTCGTCACTGTCCAGCCTCCAGCCCAACAGTGCCAGGCCCACCTGTGGCTGACTCTGGCCCTCCCATCACTACCAGTCCACGTTTTTTGTGGTACTAAGTGTTGATCCTTGCTAGGCAGATGCTCCAGCACTTGAACAACACCCCTTTTGACTCTATTTTTCAGGTAGGTTCTCATGTTTTTGCCTGAGGCCAGCTTGAACAGATTCTCCTACCTACAGCTTCAGGAGTAGCTAAGATGGTAGATGTTTGCCACCACACCCAGTTTTATTTGTTGAGATGGAGTCTTGCTAACTTTTTGCCCAGGATAGCCTTGAAACTCAATTCTCCCAATTTCTGTTTCCTGGTAAACTGGGATTACAGATGTGAGCCACTGCACCTGGCTCCATCAATACTAATCTTTCACTAACCTCCCTGTGGGTGAGACTCCCCGTCTCTCCAGGCGGTGCCTTCCCCCTGCTGGGTTCCCACAATGCCTAATCGACCCCAGTACATTTGCCTATCTGTTTCCATGACTGGGTGGCCTGAGCACAGGCGCTAAATGAAGCTAAAACTGGTGTGCGAGCTGCTCTGCACCTGAAGGCCTACACAGCAAGGCTCCCGTACTTCTCTGTAGCTGCCCAGGCACTTCAAGACATCTTCCTGAACCCCAGGGAGGATCATCTTCCTTAGCCCCAGCGATGTCCACGCTCCCTCCATTCTAGCTCCTGTCACCTGAGCTTGTGACCACTGCCCCCCTCTTCCATCTGTGTTTCCAGAAAAGATCTGCCCAGGCAGAAGACGGTGAGAAGAGCAAGAGACAAGGGGCTAGGTTCCCGCTCCGACTGAGTCAAAGCAGCTGTGGAACGTCAGTCACTCACTGGCTATCTCTGTGCCTCTCCCGTCCCCATTAGCCAGCATTGACAGGCAGCAGAGAACCTCCTTGAAGAAGTAGTGAGCAGCTGTCACTGCAGGATTCAAGCCCACCAAGGCCACAGAAGGGACGCAGGGAGTCTGGAGCTTGGAGCTTGGATTCAGTCTACAAGAGCTTTGCATTTACGCTGTGCGGTGCTGGGACTCTATACCTGCCACCTCCTATGTGACTCACCAAGGTGGGAGCTGTTAACTCACAACAGGCCCCAGGTGTGCACAACCCCAGTGAAAGGCAGGCTTCTGCAGAGCACAGCCAGGCAGGGCTGGAAGGTGTGATCAACCTACTTATCTCACCCTCCCACCTCCCCTGTGAGGGAGCCTTGGATGTCCACCCCCCCCTCCCCTTTACAATTGCAGACTCAGGCCTAGAGAGATTTGGCATGTCGCCCAGGGTCACATAGCTGGAAAGAGGCAGAGCTAAGGCTGGGACTTCGACAGTAAGGATCCAGATACTGTTTTCTTCTTTTCGATTTTTTTTTGTGATACTGGAGTTTGAACTCAGAGCCTGGCACTTGCTCTACCACTTGGGCCATGCCCCAGCCCTTTTCTGCCATAGTTATCTTCCTGGGACCCCGATTCTCATACTGAGATGCTGGGATGAAAGGTGCACACAACCACACACTGCCTCACAGCTCATTCTTAATCCTGCTTGCCATCCTGCCTGATTTAGAAGTCAAGATTTAGGATTACCCCATCCAGGAGGCGAAAGTGAGGCTCAGAAAGCTTGAGAAACTGGCCAGAAGGTGCAGGTAGACAAGGAAGAAGTGGGGCTGAAGTGATGTCTACTAACCTCACTTTAACCTCACTTCACAGCCCTGGGATGTGCCCAGCACTACACACACACACAGACACACACACACACACACAGACACACACACACACAGACACACAGACACACAGACACACACACACACACACACACACACATCCCTGAGGTCCCTCTCATCTAGTGTAGGAAAAAAGAGGATCAGAGCAGGAAAATGAATGGCCCAGGGGCCCACAGCCTGACAGTGCCAGCCTGGGCTCTGTCTTCCCTGGGCTCCATTCCCTAAGTACAAAAAGGCTTCTGGGAAGAGGGCAGCAGGAGATCTTGGGATAGCCCAGGGTTGACCAGTGTGAAAATGGGTCAGTAGCTTGTGAAGGTTCCTCCCTGCTCTGAGAGGAGCCAGAGAAAAAAAGAAGAGCAACTTACACAGACCTCTCTGCCAAGGCCTGGAGGCTCTCTGGACTGTCACCCAACAGGACAGTGACCAGGAGGTGGCCCGAGAGACGAGAGATGGGCACAAGGAGGTCGGCCCCTCCCGGAGGGGGAGCAGCAGGTGACGGGCATCTTAGGGAGAGGTGAAAGCAAGAAGGATAAGGCGAGGTGGAGTGAGGAAACTGACCCCAGGAGGAGGCGCGGACAGAGGGGAGTCCCCCACGGACAGAAGGAAGCTAGTGGAGCACCCCAACCTGTAAGACTGAAGAAGGGGCACGCACGTCGCAGACGGGCGGGCGAGAGTCTGGGGCCCAGCTCCCCACCACGCCCGGGATCCAGGGAAGACCCACTTCTCTAGGAAGAAAACAGGAAATCCCGCCCAGGTAGGGGCCGGGACCGGAAGTCCCGCCTTTGGACGCGTGAGAGGCGCCCCCCAGTCGTCCCAAGCGATCCCCCAAACCCATGGACATGATCCACAGCCAAGGTTAAGTATCCCAGTAAGTCTGTACCCCAAGCGATCAGGCTGTCTAGGATTTGCGTCGGGTCAGACGCGACGGTTCCCGTGGGAGACACTTTTTCCAGCGCTCATGAGGGTCGCTGGACAATCGCTGCTCCCCGGTCTATTCAGGCCGTACCCCTCCCGTGCGCCGCTCGCCCTCCAGCTCCCTTGTGCTTCAGGACCGCCAAATCCTCCCCACTCCCGGGTTCACAACGCCGCCTCCACTCACGTGCCCGTAGCCAGCATGGCCGGCTCGGCGCCGTCGCCGCCCTCAAATGGCATGGCGGCGCCTTGCGTCACTTCCGTGTAATGGCCCCTTCTCCACCGTGCACAATCCACCTCCCTTATCTGGGCCGCCCGAGACCAAAATGGGGGCCACGGCGACTTCATCTGGATCGGTGAACAATAGCAACAGCCCAGTGCCCAAAAAAGACATGGCGAAAGAAAGGTTTCAGCTTGCGCAGAAACCAGCCTAGACCATTTCAATTAGCCCCCAAGAAATATGGCTGTCCGCACATGCTCACACAAGACAATAAACTAAGGCGAGCGACCGGACATCCCTCTCCATAAATCAACTTCTTCCACAAAAATAGAGGGAAACGGTGCCCGTCAACGACATGGCAGCAAGTCTGGCTTCACCTGCCCATAAGGTACATGGGCACCCCCTCCCTCCAACCTATCCCCCTTCCGCACCAAGCTGGCAAAGATCCAATATGGCAGCATTTCTTGCTTCGGTTTGCCCAGCTTCAAAATGGCGGCTCAGCCCATTTTTCTCTCCACGGTGACTCAGGAATTCGTCTAGGACAGCTTCGTTTTCGGGGGCACTGACGGCTTCATCCCGTTATCCCGAGTCCCTCAGCGCCTCTTGTGATGCACAGCTCCTCTCACCTTCTTTTCCTTTATCTGTTCCTCTTTTCCAACACCTCGCTGTAACGCCCCGCAGAGAGTTGGGACTGCCCCGCATTAACATGGCCTTGGCCAACCTGGTATGGCCTTGCCCTCGAGCAAAATGGCACCTCCTAAGCGTCGATGCCAGTATACAACATGGAGAAGGGAGTGGGCGTGGCGGGGCGAGCGTGTGGTGTGGGGCTCTTGGACCCGCCCACTTGTTTACTTCGTGGCGAGAAGGGTAGCACTGCGTCTGCGCTTTCTCGCTGACCGGCTCCAACTTCATTGTCTGGGCCATGTGATTTGGACACTTGTAGTTCTAGTTCAACTACCCTGTTCCGAAAGATGGTTTCACCCACTTTTGCTATACAGCGGTAGACAGAGGCGCTACTAGTCTGGATTTGAAGGGGGGTGGGGAAATGCCATTTCCGGATGTGACACCACGTTGACCCGGAAAAGGAGGGGGCCGGGGCAGTGTGGCCTTGGCGACGGTAATGGAGGCATCTGGCTACAGAGTAAGTACTCGGGGCCCCTTCCCTCACTTCTGTCCATACGAGACACCCCTCTCTGGTGGCATTCTTCTCTTTTGTGACCTGCGGGGGCTTTGAGGACTGGGCAGAACCTTAGCCAACACCGTACCTTATAAACGCTCTGTCACCTCCTTGGTCCAGAGGGAAATATATTTTAGCCCCGCCCCCTTGGGAATGCTCGCCTACACCCGAGCGCTGGGCGGGTCTTTGGGCTTGGCCCCGCCCCCGGCTCTCCGCCGTGGCTCCTGAGCCCTGCCTCCCGAGCGTGGCTCCTCCCCTCTTCTCTCTCATTGGCTCCTACCGGTTCCGCCTCCTGACGGGCCCCCGCCCTCACTGAGACCCGCCCTCAGGTGGTGTTTCAGAAGGGAGGCGTGTATCTGCACACCAGCGCCAAGAAGCACCAGGACCCGGACTCCCTCATCGCGGGCGTCATCCGTGTCGTGGAGAAGGTAGGCCGGAGGGAGCAGGACTCTGGTGGGTGTCCAGCGGGATGGAGGCGGTGTCTGTAGGAGTACGATCTGGAGGTCAGCCTAGGCATTTTTGAAAGATTGGGATGGGAACAAGGATGAGGGGCAAAGCTTTGAAAGGTTTTAGAAGGCGGGAGACTATGGAAATTTGCATTGGAAAGCTTTGGCGTGGGTGGGCGAGCCCACTAAGCCCTCCCCACTTCTCTCAGGACAATGACGTCTTTCTGCACTGGGCTCCTGTAGAAGAGGCTGGAGATCCCACCCAGATCCTGTTCTCCAAGAAGGTAGGACCCCCTGCCTCCCACTCTCCTGTGTTTTCTAGGCCTGAGCAGTGAAAGGCATTGAGAGACCTGGGAACCATACCTTCTAGGTGCTAGAAACTAGGTGCTCTCTGCCCCTCTATTCGCTCATCTGTGAAATGGGCTGAAGATGCCCCATTACCCTTTATTCCCTGGGAAGCCCTGGCAGGGTGGGAGGGGACAGCTCAGCCTGTGGATTCCAATTGTTTGAAGGGTAGTGGCATTTTTCTAGTGCAGTCCACCATCACGTTTGGAGGCTAGGCCTGATGGAGGCTCTCACCCACTTGATTCTCCTCCATACTCACATACTTTGTTTCTTTTCTGTCTTTCATGGGTTGTCCCCAACACTGCACTCAGCCCTCAGCAGGACATTGATCTGCAGCATTTCCCAGGGTCTGCCCAGTTGTCTCCCAAGCTATGGACAGTAAGAGCAGCTACTACTGTAGGCATGGCTCAAGTTGCAGAGCACTTGCCAAGCAAGTTTGAGATCCTAAGTTCTAAACCCCATAATTAGGAGAGAAAACCAAAGCAAAACAACAAAAAGAGCAGTAACTTACTGTAAAATTAAATTTTAGAGTAAAGTTTTAAAAGATTTTAAGGTTGGGGGGGGTGGCTCAAGTTGTAGAGTGCTTGCTTAGTATGCTGGAGGCCCTGAGTTCAAACCTTGGCACCACCAAAAAATAATAATTAAAAGTGCAAGTTCAGCGTGTTCACAAGTCATGCCACCATTGTTCAATTCCAGAACATTTCATCGTCCCCCAAAAGCTCTTGGCAGTCCCTCCCCATTCTTCCCTCCTTGGAGCTCCTGGCAGCCTTCAGTCTACTTTGTGTCTGGATTTGCTTACCTGTGGTTCATATAAATGAGTTGAATGGTACATGAGCCTGTGTTTTAGTTTGTAGGATATTTTCAATATCTATCTCCAACATAGTGTGTATGATTACTTCATTCTTTTTTAAGATGGAACAGTATTGAGCGTTCATGTTTTAAATGTGACATTTTACCTACTAAATTAGTGGACATTTACTTATGAGTGCTTGTTATTAATTTTGTGATGCTGGAGATCAAACTAGGTCCTTGCACATGCTAGGCAAGATCCCTATCACCTAGCTCTGTCCCCAGTCTGTGAGTTTTTCTGCAGGCACGCTTTCATTTCATACAGCTACGAGTGGAATTGCTGGCTGGTTATGCTAGCTCTGTGTTTAACCATCTGTATTGCTGCCAGAGTGTTTTCCAGAGCAGCTGCACCATTTTATGCCATGCCAACTTGTGTGTGCAAACGTCCCAGGTTCCCTGCATCTTCACCAACATTCATTGTCTTTTTTTGTGGTACTGGGGCTTGAACTCAGGGCCTTCATCTTGAGCCACTCCACCAGTCCTAGTTCTGTGAAGGGTTTTTTCAAGATAGGGTCTCACGAACTATTTGCCCAGGCTGGCTTCGAACCAAGATCCTCCTGATCTCTGCTTCCTGAGTAGTGAAGATTACAGGCCTGAGCCACCGGTGCCAGCACACTCTATCTATTGATCCATGGTTTTCCTTTTGCTTTTGAGACAGTCTTACTAACTTTTTGCCCAGGCTGGCCTGGAACTTGCAATCTTCCTGCTTCAGCCTCCCAGGTAGCTGGGATTACAGGCACGTACCACCACTCCCGCTGGTCTTTTTGTTTTACCTGTTTTGATGGCCAGTTAGTGGTACTTTACGGAAGTTTTTCCTTGTACTTCCTAAGTACTTGCAGTTTATTTTAAGCACCAAGCACCATGATCCTGGGTAGTCTGTGAAGAACTGCCTGCTGTGTAGCATTTGCTCCCTGTGTACCAGGACACTTAGGTTCAAGTTCTGACTCATCCTGGACTGCCCTGCTGTCCCTTCTTTGTGCCTCCGTTTTCCTCTTTGTTTTAGCAAGGTCTTGACACACCCATCTGGAAACAGTCCATAGTTCCTCTTTTTCTTTTCCTTCTCCCACAGGACTCCAGTGGGGCTGAGTCCGGCACCTCTGAGGAAGAACCCACCTTTGACCCAGGCTATGAACCTGACTGGGCTGTCATCAGCACTGTGTGGCCACGGCCCCACCAGCCAGAGCCCAGGAGAGGTAGGATATGCTGATATCCCTGGAAGATGGAGCACAGGTTGCCCTCATAGTCATGACTCCAGAGGCTTTGCTGCCCACAGTCAAGATGGATGCTTGGTCTTACCTTTCTATCGTAGGAGAGTGGAGAATTGGAATAGGCCCCAGGCACTCTCATGACTCTTGTCCCTGAAGGTTTCCAGGCTGGTGGGGCAACAAATGCATCCAGTCACAGGGCAGTTCGCACCATCCTGGAGTCAGGACAGTATAGGGCATGAAGATGAGGCATGCGATCCTCCTCTTCTTGAGGAGGGGGAGCGACCTTTCAGGAAGGAGCAATTCTAGAGCTTGGCTCTGAGGGGCACGCAGGACTTTTTTCTCCCAGCAGAGAGAGGTGCCTTTGCGAGGCCAGGGGAAGTGGCACTAGGGGTGTTTAGGGACCCCTAGGCTTTTTGCTGTAGCTTGAGTGTGGGGTCTGGAGTAGGGGTAGAAGGTGAGACAGACGGGGCCATGCACAGACCTGAGGGAGTTTGAGTGCCAGGTTGAGGAATATGGTCTTCAGCCTGAAGGTTGTAGGGAGTCCAAGAAGGTTCTAGAACAGGTGTATGTTCCCCAGGCTTCCCGTTTTACTCAGTTATTTGTGAGGAAATGTGAGGCAGCACAGACTTCCCAGAGGCCAGGAGGAGGGGAGGCTTCTGGGGGGAGGGTCTCAGGAGACATGGGTGCTGATGAGACATCTGGGATTGCTCTGGCCTCCCATTACTGCCCTCAGCATGGTGCTGTCCCCCCAGGTGAAGAGCCCACCTCCCCCCGTGGCCCCTGGGCCTTCTCAGTGAGTCTAGGGGAGCTCAAGTCCATCCGCCGGTCGAAGCCAGGCCTCAGCTGGGCCTACCTGGTCCTGGTGACCCAGGCAGGAGGCTCCCTGCCTGCCCTGCATTTCCACCGTGGGGGCACCCGTGCCCTGCTCCGTGTCCTGAGCCGCTACCTGCTGTTGGCCAGGTAAGCGTAGCACTGGGCCTCTGATTGCACCTGTCCCTCTGCAGCTGCAGCCAGATCCCTTGGGACTGTGAAAGCTAATTTAAAGGAAGAGAAAACAAAATGACTTGCGTTATAACGGAGAAGCTAGAGAATAAGATTGTCTCAGGCAGTATTGGGCCCCAAGGTAGTAGGAACAGCTGCTCTTTCTCGCTGAGTTCCTGTCATTTTCTGGCCCCCAGCAATCCCATTGGACAGAAAACATCTTTTTTCCCCAACGCCACAGAATTCTAGGGCTGTCTCATTGGCTTCTCCCTGAGTCATTCATACTGGCCAGGGAAGTGAGAGGTCCCACCCCCAAGGTCCAACTCTAGTCTTTGACCTCTCCCAGCAATACCCCAAGGGCAGCTGGAACAATGGAACAAGTGCAGGTGTGGACAGCCCAGAATACTGGGTCTTCCACCTGTGTATTGCCTGTGTCCCCTCCCGCCTCCCAGCTCCCCACAGGACTCCCGCCTCTACCTTGTCTTCCCCCACGACTCCTCTGCCCTGTCCAACTCCTTCCACCATCTGCAGCTCTTTGACCAGGACAGCTCCAATGTGGTGTCTGTGAGTGTCCTTGGCACTGGGCCAAGTGGAGTGGGGGTAGGGTGAGACTCAAAGGGGCAGCTGTGACGGGATTCTTCATCTCTGTCTCCAGCGCTTCCTCCAGGACCCCTACTCTACCACTTTCAGCAGTTTCTCCCGGGTGACCAACTTTTTTCGGGGAGCCCTGCAGCCACACCCTGAGGGAGGCGCCTCACCTGACCTCCTCCTGCCTCCCGATGATGAGCCTGAGCCTGGGTTTGAGGTCATCTCCTGTGTGAGTATCCAGGGGAGTCTCCCTGCTGCCGGGCCTGTGCCTTCCGGTCCTGAGGCCTCACTTCTTCCTGAGGTTGCGTAAGGAGTGAGTTCTTGGCAAGCTTGGAGGGTACCAGGGGACTGTTTTTATTGGGGCTCTTCCTGCCCCGTCACTAATGGTTCATGGAATCAAGAAAGGCTCAGTGCTCACTTGGACATGGACAGAGACAGGGTGGGGCAAGCAGCGGTCTCACCTACTCCCTGTCCCATAGGTGGAGCTGGGGCCACGGCCAACCGTGGAGCGGGCTCCTCCTGTCACAGAGGAGGAGTGGGCTCGACACCTGGGCCCCGAGGGCCGCCTGCAGCAGATCCCCGAGTTGAAAAACCGGATCTTCTCAGGGGTGAGCACCAGTAGATGGAGAGTTAGGACCAGGTTGTGGGTGGCCTGGAGGCACCACCCTGAGATGCCTGTCCATCTCCACTCCCAGGGTCTGAGTCCTGGCCTGCGGCGCGAGGCCTGGAAGTTCCTCCTAGGCTACCTCGCCTGGGAGGGCTCAGCCGAGGAACACAAGGCCCATGTGCGCAAGAAAACGTGAGTAAGAGAATGCAGCTCCCACATCCTAGGGACACCCTAGGTGGAGCCATGAGGCTCCAGACTTGACCTCCCCAGTCCCCAAGAGCGTTGTTTTGTTTTGTGGTGCTGGGGATGGAACCCAGAGCCTTGCAAATGCTGGGCAGGTGCTCTGCCTCTGAGCTTCGCCTCCAGTCCTCATCAGAGGGTTTTGATCACAGTCAGTCCCGGCGGACCAGCACAGCATCTGGTGCTTTGTAGGGATACCATGGCAGTAGGTGGACTTGTTCCACAAACACTGGTTTCTAGCCTGCTGGGCAATGGTGGTGAACAGGCTGGACGCATCCCGCCCCATACACTCTATCTCCTGTCTCTGTTTCACTTTCGTTTTTGTGCTGGACTGTTTGAGTCAGCACAGCTTTGCAGGGTGTTTGGTAACCGCATAAGGCCCATCTTGCCTCTTCCGTGTGTGTGTCACTCACCTTGTGTGTCCAGGCCCTTGCTGTCCCTGAGGGTGTAACAGTGCCTGACTCTTCCATGTCCTAGGCATGCTTTCCAGCAGGGGTTGAGACTTCCACAAATCTCACAGGGTGTTCCGCAGTGAGATCTCAGGAGCAGGAGAGGAAGGGGTGGTAGAAGATGTGGCCAGCTTGGATGTACACGGGCAGGGCAGGATTGTGGGTGACTGGGATGGGGGACCTGGTGAGGGGCTGTTTCTCCAAGAGCGTCTGACCTCAGGGACGAGTACTTCCGCATGAAGCTGCAGTGGAAGTCGGTGAGCCCTGAGCAGGAGCGGAGGAACTCCCTGTTGCACGGATACCGAAGTCTCATTGGTGGGTATCAGGGAGGTGGTACGCTGAGGGAGTGGGATGAGAGACAGGAAACAGTGGGGCGGGCAGGGCTGGAACTGGTCATCTTGGGGCTGGTGAGCAGGCGTGGGAATGTCAGTGAGGAGTCAGGCCAGGGACAGGATGGGAAGGGAAGAGGCCTTTGGATCAATGTCAGCTCTTACTGGGAGATCTTGCCCAGTGACTGTGGCTTCCTGCCTGGGTTTCCCCACATGCTGAAGGATATAGAGAGTTGTGGAGGGGGCAGTGCAGGGCCTTGAGGCCGGGGTGCTAGTGATGATTTCTGCAACAGGCCCCAGACCTGTATGAGCCCCAAAGCTGGGGCTGCCAGTGAGCACGGGAGTCAGGGCTGGTGCTGGGGTCCAGCAGGGACAGGCTTACTAATCCTTCTCATCTTCGTATCCTGTGTCAAATACCTGCAGAGAGAGACGTAAGCCGCACGGACAGGACCAACAAATTCTACGAGGGCCCTGAGAACCCTGGGCTGGGCCTGCTTAACGACATCCTGCTCACCTACTGCATGTACCACTTTGACCTTGGTGAGACACTGGGTGGACACAGGTGGGCCCCACTAGGGCACTGAGGGGCTGGTCTTGTCCCTGACCTTGTGTCCCCCTAGGCTATGTGCAGGGCATGAGCGACCTTCTCTCGCCGATTCTCTACGTCATTCAGAATGAGGTGGATGCTTTCTGGTGTTTCTGTGGCTTCATGGAGCTTGTGGTGAGGCTCGGGCTGGGGTAGGATACAGACACTGGAGAGTGGGGGCTCCTGGCCCTCACAGCCCCTTTCCCCCCCCCCCCACAGCACGGGAACTTTGAGGAGAGTCAGGAGACCATGAAGCGGCAGCTTGGACAACTCTTGCTGCTCCTGAGGGTTCTGGACCAACCACTCTGTGACTTCCTGGGTATGTCCTCAGGGCAGGAGGGACCTTGGGCCTGGCTAATATCTGGAACATTTGGTTCTGATGTGAAAATCCCTGTGTAACCCAGAACCTAAGGCTCATGAGTAAGGGCTGAGCACAGCATGGAGCCCAGTCACAGTGAGTGCAGATGGCAGGCGCTCCAGCTCACCCCAGCACCTGGTCAGCCACCTCCTGCCCACCTCCACCCTGAGGTGACTTTAATTCCAGCTTAACTTGCCCCGAACTTTACAGAAATAAGGGCTGGGGTGGGGTCCAGCCCCTTTGTACCCAGATCCTACTTACCTTGGACCAGGATCCTGAGCTGATTCTCTGGCCCCTGGGGCTATGGCTGCTGCATCCCAGCAGTAAAGTTTTCGTTCTTCATCTCCTGTTCCATATTAAAAATGCCACGAAATTCAGTTAATGGACAAAAAAAGTAAGATGATAACAAGCGAACTTGCATATGAACATTTCCTCAAGGAAGCTTTAGGACCAGCCGCGGAGGGAGAGAATACTTCCCTTCACTAAAGCGGAAAGAAACTGAGTCTTAGAAAACCACGTACCAGGGTTGGTGGGGTGGCTCACAAGGTAGAGTGCCTACCTAGCAAGCTCGAGGCTCTGAGTTCAAGCCCTAGTACCACCAAAAATGAAAAAAAAAAAAAAAATGTGATTCCAGCACTGGGGAGGCTGAGGCAGGAGGACTGAGAGTTACAGGCCAGCATGGGCTACGTGGTCAGACCCTGTCTCCAAAAAAAAAAAGTCACTTCCTGGGGCAGAGGTACACAAACTGCCTCACAGTACCATTAAAGCTGAAATAAGACTGCAAGTGAACGAAATTCTGTCCTCCTGAAGGACTACTAGGATTGATTTAACCCAACCTACTGGGCACTCGGTCAGTAGAGTTTCTCCTCACGATGTCTGAGTAATTTTTTTTTTCCGCTTTTGAGACAGAGTTTTGCTATGTAGTCCAGTCTGGACCTGAACTACACCCTGTCTCAGCTCTGCACCCCAGTGCTGGGATTACAGGTGTGGACCACCATGCCCAGTGGGACTAGGGTTTGAATTCAGAGCTTCACACTTTCAAGGCAGGTGCTCTACCACTTGAGCCACACCTCTAGTCCTAGCTAATGTCTTAAGGTTACATTCCAAGCAGGGGGCTGTGCCCAGGGCAGCAGTTACTTTCATAGCTTTTGAACTCTTCGTTCGCACCACCACTTTTCTGCAAAGTTGTCACACCAACTGGTATTTTGGCCTGCAGTATGTCTGGGGTGGCATTGTCTCCAATCCTTACCATCACTGGGGGCTGAGGTGGCTTTCGTGGATTTTGGTCTTGCTGCAATCATGCTGATCTGAGGTGGAGAGGTGGAGGTTGGGCCCTCCCTCGGCAGTGTACCAGGCAGGGTGGGATCCCTGGGTGGAGCTGGGCATGTTACTTGTCTGTACTGGAGGAGACCAGACACCCAGGCCCCTTCAAGGCTCCTCATGATGAGAAATGGGCAGAATCGATATTGAGCTCCCTCTCTGGAGCACTGTCTGTGGATGTGGCTGTCACCCACCATCCTCCTTCCAGACTCCCAGGACTCCGGCTCTCTCTGCTTCTGCTTTCGGTGGCTGCTCATCTGGTTCAAGAGGGAATTTCCCTTCCAGGATGTCCTTCGGCTGTGGGAGGTGAGCAAGGCAGCATGGGGGACTGGAGGGAAATGGGCACACCTGGGCAGGACACCAGATGGAGGTTTCCTTCTGCCCTTCCCCCAGGTGCTGTGGACGGGGCTCCCTGGTCCCAGTCTGCACCTGTTGGTAGCCTGTGCCATCCTGGACATGGAGCGGGACACCCTCATGCTGTCCGGCTTTGGCTCCAATGAGATCCTGAAGGTGAGGGCCCCCTCAGCACCTCTGATCTAGGTGTGGAGTCGGGGTGGCACCACCCACATGTGCCCAGTACCTGTGGTGGTAGGTGCTAGAAATGGGACTGAGGTGTAGCAGTGAGCACCGCGGGGCGGGATGGGACAGTCCGTATTCCTCTCTGTCCCCTGTAGAGCCGGTAAGTGGGGAGTTCAGGCCCTCCCCTTCTAGTGTCCCAGCAAGCAGTGAGGGCTCCGAATGAGAACCCGACCCCCAGCTCGGCTCGGAGCCCCCAGGGGGCCAGCCCTGTCTGTCTTCCCTCCATTGCATCCCCAGCACGAGGCAGGCGCAGAGTAGGCGCTGGTGAGCGAGGGCACAGGCCTGACCCACCCCCTCCCGCAGCACATCAATGAGCTGACCATGAAGCTGAGCGTGGAGGACGTGCTGACGCGGGCCGAGGCCCTCTATCGGCAGCTGACCGCCTGCCCGGTGAGTGCCCCGCAGTCCCCGCCTGTCCTTCACAGTCCCCACCCGCCGCCTCTCCCCGCCTTCTCTAACTCCCTCCTCACCCCTCCAGGAGCTGCCCCACAACGTGCAGGAGGTCCTGGGTCTCGTGCCGCCCTCAGAGCCCCGCAGCCCCTCGCCCCCCGCCTCCCCGCTGCCGCTGTCGCCCACGCGGGTCCCGCCGATCCTGGCGGATACAGCGCCGCAGCCCGACAGTAGCCTGGAGATCCTGCCGGAGGACGACTGCGCTGACCCCTAGGGCCTCGGGGGCGGGGCCTTCTTGAGGGGCCCGGCGGGCGGCGCTCCTGATAGGCTGCGCTCTCTAAACTGACACTCCGTTGGTCCGCCTTGTGTTGGGAAAGGCGGCTGCCGGTTCATCGTGACCTGGGTGGGCGGGGGACGGCTCCTTGCCCCCCAGTGCCCTCTGTGGAGCCCAAGCGCGACCACATGACCCTGACTTGGCCAGTGGGGCGGGAGAGGAGGTCCCGTGAGGGTACCTTGGGGAGGGGTGCGCAGGCCTGCAGCTGCCACTAGGAATTGTGCGGGCACCGGGTCCCCGGGGGCCACATAGATGCTCCAGAGCCCTACCCAGCAGCCGCTGCTTCTGTAAAAAATAAACGTGAAATCCTCTGGCAGCCGGAGTTTCGTTGTTTTGAGGCAGGGTCTCACTGTGTAGCCCGCGCTGGCCTCGGGAGGCAGTCGGGTTTTCTGTTACTTGTGGCAAGACAGCCTGGGTGGCCTCTGTCATGCCCACGGGGCAGCAGTGCCGCGGCGTCCTCCCCGCCCCCGGCGCCCTGTCCGGGAAGCAGCAGGACCAGCCTCTGCCGGGGCTGCGGGACTCCAGGCAAACGGGAAGCGGGCGAGCCAGGGAGGGACGGGACCAGATGGCTTGCTCAGAAAATACTTTAATGTGGGCGCTTCTTGTGGGTGGTGAGTGGGAGAGCTAGGTTTTGGGGTGAAGACTGGAGCTCTTCCTCCTTAGGCCCTTTACACAAGGAGCGGCTGGCCTCCGGGCGCGCAGTCCCCTGCCCCAGGTGACTGGCTTCGGCTCGTACGAGCCCCTCCCCTTCCCTGTTGGCCAAAGCCTGCACGAGCCCCTGCCCCTCCTGCAGGGCCACCGTGTGCCCGTGCCACTCCCGGTTGTTGATCCTCATGGCTGCCCGCAGCGCCGACTTGACAGCCGTCTCCACCCAGCCGTGCGGGAAGGCCGTGTGCTCGCCGGCGAAATAGATGCGGCCGTAGGGCACGGCCCAGTCGTACGCCTGCCCCTCGTTCTGGTCCGTCTGCCAGAGGAAGGGCGGCTGCACCACGAAGCCGCCCTGGCTGTGCGGGTCTTCGGCCCAGCGCTTGACGACGCCGGTGCCGTCCCAGAGCCGGTACACCAGCGGCCCATGCAGGGCCGCCAGGTCCTTGAGGGCCAAGCGCAGCGCCTCGTTGGGGCTCAGGCCGGAGAACGGGGACGCGGCGTCCGCCCACGTGTACGAGGCCAGCAGCAGCGCGCCCTCGCCCGGTGGCGGGTAGAATATCAGGCGCGACGAGCGGTCGGTATTCGAGTGGCCGCCTTCGATGTGCTCGTTGTGCCAGAAGGGCCGGCGGAAGCTCAGGTACACCTTGGTGGCCGCCACGTAGTGCAGGCCGCGCAGCGCCTCCTGCCGCTTGCGCGTCAGCGGCGGCGAGAAGGAGATGCGCTGCAGCGCCGGCCCGCTGGCCGTGAGCAGCGCCACGTCGGCGGTCAGACTCCGCAACTGGCGCGAGGTCGCGATGTGCACATGCACATCGTGCATGCCCTGAGTGATCGCCATGACAGGGGCGTTCAGTAGCACCGGCCCGGACAGGGAGCTCAGCAGCGCGCGCGGCAGCAAGTCCCAGCCGCCCGCGATGCGGTCGTACCTGTGGGCGGGGCGCGAGCGTGACCATGCCGCCTGCGGCCCCGCCCCTCCGAGGCCACGCCCACGCCTGTTACCCCTGCGGAGCAAGTGCCTGCCTGCTCCCCACGCCGCTGACCCCGCCCTTCCGTCTCCTGCCAGCTCCTGAAGTCTGCAGACGCCGGCAGAATAGAGGACCGTGCGCCCAGGAACCCCGCTTCCTCTCTAGGCCACGCCCCCCTCCAGGAGCCTGTCCTAGTCGGTCCTCAGGAGGACTAGCGTGGTCAGACCCGAGGGTTTCTCGTCCTCTTTGGCCCCTTCCCTCATCTCTGGCTCACCCCGCCTTGCCCTCGGCCCCGCCCCTCACCGGAGCCGGTCGCTGAGGCAGCTGTGGGCCCTCAAGGCCTCGGCGAAGCTGAGATGGAAGAAGCCGTCCTTGGACAACACGTCTCCCAGAAGCTGCGCGGCCTGCTGGCTCAGGTTGCCCTCCCCAAGGAGATAATCCTGTGGGGTAGGCGCAGGCCTAAGTCAACGCCCATCCCCACTCATGTGGGGACCCCTCCCCAGCAGGGGCACTGCCTTGGACCTTAGCAGTCCGGGCCCCTCTCTTGTAACTTTAGAAGAGAGCCGGATGCCTGTGGGCTCCTGCCTGTAATCCTAGCTACTTGGGAGGCTGAGATCCAGGGGAAATAGTTTGCAAGACCCCCATCTCCAAAATAATCAGAGCAAAGTGGACTGGAGGTGTGGCTCGAGCAGCAGAGTGCCTGCTTTGCAATTGTGAATCCTTGAGTTCAAACCCAGGTCCCATTAGGCCAAGTGGGAAGGGAGTTCCTGGCCTTCTGCCCAACTTAGACAGCAAAGCCAAGGCCCCACTCACCAGGAGTGTGTGCTTTTCAAACTTCTGCATCGCCTTTTTGCAACCCAGGCTCCTGAGATCCTTGACAGCCTGTCATGAAACAAGCAGACAGTGCTGGGCTGCCTGTGACCAGCATTCACCACTCCTTCAAGACCCCAGGCCTTTGCCCATGCTGTGCTGTCAGCTTTGTCCTCCCCTGAAGCTCAGGTGTTACCACTGGAAGAAGTCCCAAATAGCTGCTTTCCCCATCATGCCCCTGCATCAACCCACCCAGTCATCATTCATGGCCAGTCCCTATTTCTGTGCTGGCCTAGGAGCTCCATATAGGCAGGGATGTGTCCTGGGGCTCTGTAATTATTTTTACCTGAACCATTGTGGGCATGAACAGGAGTGGAGTCCCCTTGGGCCCAGACTGCAGCAGTAGGACATGACTGCTGAGATCTGTTCAGCTGCCCTTCCCTCACCCATAGTCCTCCATGGCTCCCCTCCATGGCACCACAGAGTTCCACTCCCTCAGCTGTCACCTTTCTTTCTGCAGCTCTGGTTCAACAGAACCATGTCCAGTGGCCAGGCCACCTTGGTGCTCTCCCACCTCCACACCTGTGCCCATGGTTTCCTCCCTCCTCATTGCCTGGCACATGCATGATCAAGTCTCATCCCCTCCTGGGAGCCTCATTGCCCCATGGGATTTTAGCCTCTCCTTTGCCACCTGCTTCTCCCCCCTGGCTAGAACTCCCCACAGCTCTGTCTCTCTGGCTCCCTGCACTCAGTGTCAAGCACAGAACTGGCCTAGCCTGGGGGCCCACTTGATTGGAGAGGAAGAGGGACAAGTAACAGGCTCTCAGAGTTGGCTATGGTCAACTCCATAAGGATGTCAGGAAGGCCTGGAGGAGGGGACACTAGAGCTGGCTCTGGAGGGATGAGTATGTTGGGGGGGGGCGATGGATGAGCAGGGGTTCAGTTTGTGGGGAGCTGGGTGTGTCTGGATCACCAGGTGGACTTTGGGGGAAGGAAAATTTCTTGAAGAGCTGAGGATGGAGGGGTGGGGGAGCTAAGTGTATTCAGGGTTGTCACCTAAAGCCAGGACTATCCTGGAAGTACTGGGGCCACTTGGGGCTGTGAGCAGGATTTGCTGTGTGTGGAAAGACTCTTCAGGTGCCAGGCTGGGGAGATAGGAAGCTGGGCTAAGGATCAAGGAGCGGGGTGGTGCCTACTTTGCTGAGAGCCATCTTGAAGATCTCCTCAGGTGCGTGGCCCTTCTCCCCAGGACCCAGGTCATAGCCCAGCTTCTCGGGCATCTTCTCCACCACGTAGTTCCTCAGCTTCACCTCGTTCACTTCTGTCCATGTGTTCTCGTCATACTGGGTAAACTTGGTCAGGTTGAGGCCCAGGCTCTTACAGAGCTCGTGGAGGATCCTGTGGGGGCGGCAGAGGCTGTGCAAGGGTGGCCAGGGCAGGGGTAGGAATGGGTGAGCCTGTCCCTAGTGGGCTTGGAGACAGGAAGTGGGGATGAGCAGGAGGCTGGGGCTAGGTTTGGCATCATCATTGCTGGGGGCGGGGGGGACAGTAATGCATGGGGACAGGTTGGAAGGCTGGGCCCAGAGGCCCCTCAGTTAGTCCTGGGGTAGGTGCTAGGTTCGGCTTTATTGGAAGTAAGGTGGAGTCCAGATCTGATTTGGGAACGGGTACCGAGCTCTGGCTGGCTGGAGGTTGGGGCTGGGATAGTGAGATACCTTGGCCTGGCATTCTGGGAGTGTCAGGGGTAGAGCAGGAGGCCTGGAGGGGAGGAGCTGTCTTGGGCTAGGGCAGGGCTGGAAGGGGGTCTGGCAGGGGGCCTGAGCACCATGGCAGGGCTGGTGTCAGGGAGAACGTGAGGTTGGAATCAGTGAAGGATGGAACTGGAGATTGGGTCTAGACTTGCTTTGTGTCAGAGGTCAGACACCAGAGTCGGGGGCTGGGGACATGGCACAGTGGTAGAGCACTGGGAAGCATGTGCAGGGCTCTGGGCTCTAGCCCCAGCATCTCGCCAGGAGATGGGCTGGAGCTGGGGCTCTGGCTGAGACTGAGTAGAGGTGGAACTGCAGGTGGCTGGGTCAGGCCTCACCTGTGGGAGCTGGGCATACGCATGGCTCCTAGCTCCCCAGTCCAGCCCGTCTTTGGGTCCCGGAAGGTTAATATGCGGCCCCCGATCCTGTTATCCGCCTCCAGGATGGTGACCTGAGGACGGGAGATAAATAAGGATCCTCAGCTACTCTCACTACGCCCCATGCTGGCCTCTGCCTGCCTCCATCCCCGGAGTAGGGGGTGTCCTAGACTGTAAGGATCCCTTCCTTCAGGAGACTGGGAAGTGCTAGAACAGACCGCAGCAAGAAGGCCACTGGCTGGACTGTAGAGGAACTTCCCCAGTTCAGGGAAGGAGTGGAGAGATTCCCATACACATAGAAGCCCTTTGGCTGGCTCATTCTCATTCTTGGATTTCAGTGAGGGGGACTATGGTTAGACCTCAGGGGACATTTCCCCTTGAGGGAATTTCTAACTCCACCAACACAATCTCCTGGGACTTCCCTCCAGGATGGGCAAGGGGGACAGAGAGAAAGGCTAGCTTCTCTTCTCCAGCCCCCACCACCCCAGCCAGCCCCTCGCTGGGATGTGCTTCCTCCACCCAGGACTCCCAGTGTGGCCTGCAGCAGGAAGGATTCAAAGTAGACTTCAAGCAGCACTTCTCACCTTGTGTCCTGCATCGCTGAGCACTTTGGCAGCCACCAGCCCAGACACACCAGCGCCAACCACAATCACCTTCTGGGGTTTCAAGGTCCTATTGAGGCCCAAGGTCACCACCTTGAGCAGCTGCTCATAGTCAGGATCATGCAGGCACTTCTCGAAGGGATCCTGGCTGGAGGCCACCTTCCAGTTCAGGGAGGCAGTCAGGCTAAGGAGGATGGGGGCAAGGGCAAGGAGACGCAGGGCTGGGGAGAGGAAGACAGGGTCAGTGCACAGTGGGTAGAGGGCGTTCTGCCCCCTTGCCCCAGAGCTTCCTCCCACCTCCACCCACTTACCCAGCTGGACCATGACTCTTGGGTGGGAGACGGTGTATCTGGGGTGAGGGAGAAGTGGGGGCCATTGTGACCAGAGCCAGTGACCCGCCAGCCTGTCTCCTCATGGGCTGCCCTGTTGTGCCCTTGCCCTGTGTATCTCCCACCTGCATGCTCCAGGTCCTTGGATGTCCTGCCTACCCTCTGCCTGTCTCTGCCCTCATCTCCCTGCCTCCACCCTCTCCATCTGGTCTCTGTTCTCTGTGCCTTCCTTCTCTCCCTGCCTCCCCCCCACCCTTTCCCTCAGCCCTGCTGCTGAGGTCCCCATCTCCATCCCCTGCCATTGGCTTCCCAGTAGGTCTACCTCCAGCTCTCCTCCAACAAGGCAGGGTGCCCCAGGTGCCAGGTACTGTCCCATGAGGGCCCTTCTCTTCTTAAAGTGGCTGGCCCCGCCCTCCCCTCCCCCTGGAAGCCAGGCTGGGGGAAACGAAACTGCCCTCCAGGAGTCTGGGTGGGAGGCTAGAGGGGGTGGCCAGTGTAGAAAAGGGTCAAGAGGAAGTAAACCAGTCTATGTTCTTCTTCTTTCCCCAAATAGTTCTGGGGGAGTTCAAAAATAAATTTTTAGTTCTGTGCTCAGGGTGGGGACTGCCCGTCCTTGATCAAGGGGTCCCTGTGCCCTCTCAGCCTCCTGAACTCCTGGACAGGGAGACTGCATATCCCTAGGCCAGGCCTCCTTTCTCCTGCCACTAAGCCTCAGTCTCATCTGTGAAATGGGTACAGTGGTGGAGCTCACAGGCAGCTACATGGTGGTCAAGGTCTAGGGCTTGGGCCCGGCACCTGCCAGCTGGGGACTCTGGGCAAGGCCTCCCCTCTGTGGCTCTTGTCCACTGTGGTCAAATGGGAGCCATCACAATGTGGCAGGATGGAGTGAAGCCACCTAGGTATCTGCAAACAGCACTTGGAGCAGGATCTGGAACCTGCTCCTCTGGCCAGCTGCTGTGGCTGCAGGAGCATGGGGAAGGGATCTGGAGGGACCACCCCCCACCCTGTGTTCCCAGCCCTGCCTTGAGGACCACTGTGGTGCTCATGGCAGGCGGGCCTTTGGGGTGGGGCCTCAGAGAAACAGCCTCCAGGCTCCTCCAGGAGCATCTGCCTTTTCCACCCAGTCCAGGCAAGCAGTGAGAACCAGATGACCTGACCAGGGCAGTCCCCTGAGGCCAGCGGGGTTGGAGCAGTGTGGGGACTTTTTTGGGGGTTGATGAGGAGGAAAGGCAGAGGTGGGGAGGGAGGGGATGGTTCTGGGAAAGAACTGGAAACCCCACAACACACGAGAGGGTTGTGGCTTGGAGAGAGGGAAGGTAGGGCTGGGAGGAGCCTCCAGACCAACAAGGAGAAAGCATCCTGGCCTCTGCCCTCCCCACTCCCAGCAAGGCATGACACCCACAAAGTGTCTCCAGACCTACAAAGTGTCCCCAGAGAATGGGGGAGATAAGAGTAGCCCCTTCTGAGCACCACTGGGCCAGGGCTGATGTCAGGGTGTAGCTCCAAAGAGCAGCTGGTGTGGCACAGGACAGAGAACTGGGACCCCAGCAGGGAAAGAAAGCTGGAAGCCACATCCAGAGTCCCCAGTGGAGTGTGTGGGGGTCAGCAGACCATGAGTACTTTGGGGATCTCTTCTTTATTTCATGTTGTCTATATGTAGTAGCTATTTCTTTTGTAGGTAAAAAAGACAAAAATCCCAGTCAGGTGCAGTGGCTCACGTCTGTAATCCTAGTTACTCAGGAAGCAGAGATCAGGAGGATCAGAGTTTGAAGCCAGCCTGGGCAAATAGTTTGCAAGACCCTATCTTGAAAATCCTGGCACAAAAAAGGCTGGTGGAGAGGCTCAAAGGTGTAGGCCCTGAGTTCAAACCCCAGTACTGCAAAAAGAAAAGAAAAGAAAAAGAAAGGAAAGGAAGGAAGGAAGGAAGGAAAGAAACAATCCCAATCAAAGTGGGAAGCAGAACATCAGGTACCCAAAGTTAAGAAATGGCAGGGGCCGGGCCAGGCTGGGCTAACGTAACTTAGTCATATTGGGGATGGTGAGGGTTAGGTAGGGGTGCAGTCAGGGAGGTGTGGGCCAGGCAGACCAGCAAAGAGGGTTAGGCTCATATCCTAAGGTGCAAGCAGGAGTTGGCCAAGGTCACTGGACAGGGCCAGAGGCCAGGGCAAGAGTGAGGAAGGACCACCTACCGTCTGTTTGCTTCACTTGGTTTTGGGAAATTCTGGTTCTATGATGTAGTTTCTAGAAAACAAGCTTCATCTTTCTACATAGAAAAGGTCTTCAGGGAGAAAAACCCTAACCAATTTGGTTGATTTCCAGAACCACAATGGCGCTTCTAAGGTTTATCATGTCCACAGCAGCCAGATCTGGGGAACACTGCCAGGGACTGCACAGACATCCCAGGGATGGGCTACTGCCTAACATCGTGTGTCCTTTGCTGTGCCTGTCTTAAGCCCCTGGGTGGTTAGCCCTAAAACCCCACAAGTCAAGGGGCGGTGCTGCCCAGGACCTAGACAGAAGTCAGGGGGTTCAGGCCTGGATGGGGAGCACAGAGAGCAGAGGATGGACTTACCTGAGGCTCCCAGCTTTTGGCCTGATACCCAGACAGTGGTCCCTTTCCCACAGAGCCCTCCTGCCCATCCTTCCCAAGTTTTCAGGACAACCCTGGGCCCCAGCTGGGTGGCACTCACTGCATGGCTGGCTTTGGGATGCTCGCTCAGTGCCCATGGCCTTTCTGGTTAGCCAGGGACAGAAGTCATCATTGGGTGTGAACAGAACTGGGCAAATGATGGTGGCTTTGTCCTGCTGCCCTGTTAGGCCAGAGATGCCAGGTCCTGAGAAGGGGTCACAACAGTGGAGGGGCTGTAGCAGGCAAGCCCTCCTTTCTCGAGAGCATTATGCAACTTCTCAACATATAAAACACTAGGACGGATCCAAGTGTGTTCTTCACCCTTGTCCTCTTGACATTCCCCTCCTGCCACCCGATTATTTTGAAGCAAATAGGTAAAGTAGGTAAATACTTTGGGACATTTTTCTGAAACAGGGATGGGCAAACTTTTCTAGTAAATATTTGAGGCTTTATAGGTCACATGGTCTGTCTCCAGGCAGCCATACGTATTATCTAAATGAGGGAGTGGCTGTGTTCCAATAAAGCTTTATGTACAGCTGACGGTAGGGCCAGAGTTTGCCAATCTCTGCTCTAAAGAGTAGGAACTTGGGCCTGCAGGAGGGGGGAATAAAAAAAAAAAAAAAGAATAGGAACTTGGACTGGTAGATGGCTCAAGTGGAAGAGTATCTGCCTAGCAAGTCTGAGGTCCTCAGTTCAAACCCTAGTACTACCACAAATAAAAAGATAGGAATGAGTGGGGAACATGGCTCAAGTGATACAGTGTATACCCTGAGTTCAAATCCCAGTACCTCTCCCCCACCAAAAAAATGTTACTTTGGGATCTAGTTTCTTAGGTTTTAAGTGGTCTGATTGAACCCTGAGCACCAGGCGAGGCCCAGTCCAGGTCACCCAACAATCTGGTTCCTGCCACAGGATAACCTTTGGTGTTCCTAGAGATTGAACTGGTGTCTGGAGGCAAAATGGGATACAGGTACCTGACTAGGTCATGCATGGGAAGTGCCGATGCCTACCCTGGTTTGTGGTGCTACTTGCCAGGCCTAGGGACAGTTGGAGTCACTTAAGCCTGGCTCAGGAGATGGCTGGTGTCCAAGCAACAGGCCTGGCTCCCATGACTTCACTATGGGAAGATCCACAGAGCCACTTCCCTGAGAATCTGATGGCAGACTTAAAGCACCCAATTTGGGGGTTCACTGAAAACTTGGGAGTAATAGCAAGCTTAATAGAGCTGGCTTAGACTGGTTCATAAGATCTGACTTAGCCAGGCGCTGGTGGCTCACGTCTGTAATCATAGCTACCCAGGAGGCAGAGATCAGGAGGACCGAGGTTTGAAGCCAGCCCAGGGAAATAGTTTGCTAGGCCCTATCTCAAAAAATACCCAACAAAAAAAAGGACTGGACTTTTTTTGTTTTGGAGGGCTGGATTCTTCTTTCACTGCCTCCCAAGTAGCTGGGTTTACAGGTATGCTCCACCACACCCAGCAAGCCTTTTTTTTTTTTTTTGGGTCAGTACAGGGGCTTGAACTCAGGGCCTTGCACTTGGTAGGCAAGCACGCTACCATGTGAGCCAAGTCTCCAGCCCAGGCCATTTTTTTTGTTTTTTGTCAGTACTGGGGTTTGAACTCAGAGCCTTCACCTTGAGCCACTTAACCAGCCCTTTTGTGTGAGGGGTTTTTTCCAGATAGGGTCTCGTGAACTATTTGCCCAGGCTGGCTTCGAACTGTGATCCTCCTGAGTAACTAGGATTACAGGCGTGAGTCACTGGTGCCCAGCTCATTCATTCTTAATGAATTACACTTACAATTAAGATTTTTTTCTTTTCCTGCATGGACACCTGGAAGGCAGCACCTCCACTAGGGAGGCTGGCACCGGCTATCATCAGGGCTTCCCCACACTCTGCCAGCACACCAGTGCTTGGGAACCACTGGCTCCAATCTTTCAGGGAACCAAGGGAGCCCTCCAGCTGTTTAAAAAATCTGATCCTTCAGATCCAAGCGGAGCCTAATGGGGTTCATCCTAGTGAAGGGCTGGGCTGAGAGTTTCTCTGAGATTAAAATAAAGCTTTAATCATAAATAAAATTCACATTACTGTTTTTTGTTTTGAGACAAGGTCTCACTGTGTAGCCCAGGCTGGCTTTGAAGTTGCAGTCCTTCTGCCTCAGCCTCCCAGGTGCTGAGATTACAGGTGTATGCCACCCTACCCAGCCTTAATTGCTTCTCCTCTCCCTAATGTGGAAAAAAAATACTGTAAAAGAGCTTACTAAGGTAGAGTCACCTTTAACAGCCTTTGATATGTTGTCTTCACGCTAATTAATGAAGAGGACCTTAAGTGGCAGCGCGGCCAACTATCTGGACTGGCACAGAAGAAGTTCAGCCTGTTTTCTTCCTGGAAAGGGAAACTACAATTATCATGAAGCCATCATCCACAGGGGGCACCCAGTAGCCTGCCCATCCTGTGGCGTCTTGGGGACTCCTCCCTGAGGGGTCCACAGCACCACACATGGTGTCCTTCTGCTTTACTCTAATCACTTGTTCTTCAAAGTGGGGTCCCAACATCCTTGAGATACGAAGGTTAGAATTTTAACTTAAATACAAGACATCTGGGGGTGCAGCTTGGTGGTGGAGCACACGCTTAGCACACACCAAGCCTTGGGTTCAATACCCAGTAATCCCCACCAAAAAAACCCCTCAATGCTAAGAAAGAAATTAAGCCTTATGTCTAATATGCAAATAGAGATATACACACCCACATTAGTAATGCGTGCTGCAAAATCTTTCATCATGCTGAGCCCTGCCAGTGACAACCTTGTGGGCACAGAGTGGAGTCTGGGGTGAAAGGAGCCCCAGGGACAGGGAGGAATAAGTGCTTCCCTCAGTGGTTAGACACAGTCAAGGCCTAAGGACTTCAAAAAAAAGGCTACTGTCAGGGGGCAGAGCTTCCAGGGACAAGTCACTGGGGTTCTTAAGTCTTCCCTTGTAGTTCACTCTGCCCCTCTTCTCCTATGGCTTCTTCAGGAACAAAACTCATGTCCCTCAAAGCCCAAGATGATCCAATGAAATAATGACTCACTTCTGCAAACTGGGTCACAAATTTCCAAAATGTGTGGCCCAGCTTAGTGTGGAACAGGCCAAGGGAGAGCTGAAAAGGCCAGATCTCCCACCACCTGGAGGAGTGAAAGTCAAGTGCTTAGCACCACACGTGAGCCCATGGGCCAAGAGGACTGAGGCACAACATGGGGCCAGTCTATGGAACCCTCCCCTGCAAACTGCTCCCCACACACAACCAGAGCCCTCTAGCCCCAGGTGACAGAACACCTGCACCCACTGGGGTGATGCCTTAGAGATGGTGGCAGAAGACAGGATTCTATAGTGAACCCTGGGCTTACAGAGTCCCCATCTGGCCTAAGGCTGACTGGACCTTGTATGCTGCTCCCTCTCACCAACAATGGCTGCATCACATACTGGTGCATGATTAAACAGAAGTCCTGGTGCTTGCTTCTGCCCTTTAGACCAATGGTATCCCATGGAGTATTCTGAAACCCACTCTTCTCATCAACCTTTTCTTCCTAACATTCATGAAGATTGACGGCAGTTTTGTTTCACAATACTTATTTATTTAGGTAAGCAACATACAACCATAGGTGCTTCAGAGGATGCTGCAGAGTGTAAAGGAAATACGAAAGACACCTGGGATATATCCGGTTGGCTTCTTACTGTGACTAAGTGAACTCTGGTACTGGGAAGCTCAGGACCAAGTCTCTCTGGCCACCAAGGCCACATCAGCAGGCATTTTTGTGAGCTAGTGATATACCAGGTTTCATCTTCATGGTTCACTGAGCAAATGTGACAGGATTGTGCTGGGGACACAGAGTGTAACAATAGCCAGTCCCTGCCCACAAGAGCTCACAATCTAGGGGCGAGATGGAGCACAGTTGGCACAATAGTGTGGCAAGTAGCGGAGGTGCCATGCAGTGCGCTACAGGGACCTACAGCTGGCCACCCCACCAGTGCTGTGCGGCTAAGGCTTCCTGGAGACAAGGCTAAGGTAGAGCCTCGAGGACGAGCAGACGGCAGGCTGCTCACAACCAGGCAAAGGAGGCCCCTTCTTCCTACCCTCGTACACACCCCTCAGCTGGCCCATATCCACCTCTATCCTGCTGTCTGTTCTGTTCTCAATTCCCATCTTGGTGGTTAGCTCTCATAGGTACACATCTTGTACCTCAAGTCCAGGCTGCTTTCTCCTCTGAGGACAGATTCTCTGAACCTTGTCTTTTTCACTACACCTATGACTGAGTGTGAGTGTTGGACAGAGTGACTGCCTGACTGACCCTGGCTGGCGTGTACATTTTTCTAATGTCAATCAGCGTTTCTCCATTCTTTGGCTGGAGGGAGGATGAGGTGGGTGGTGCAACAGGTGAGAAAGGACCGAGGATGCATAGATGAAAAAAGCACTCTCTAGGCTCCTGCCTGGACCAGAGGACTCCAAATGCTTTGTATTTCCTAATGGAAGTCAAACTCCAGAACAATTCTCTCAACAGCACAATTACGTGAAAGCAAGCAATAAAGAACGAGTATCTTGCAACCCCGAACTACACAACACAGCGCTACCCCCCCAAGAACTCAGTCGAACGTGATCCGGAAGCTGCGCTCCTGCTCCTTGCGACGTCCCTCGCACACCTTGGTCACCTCCTCTACCTTCCTCTGCAGCAGGGCCGAGTTCTGGTCGATCCACTGTAGGGAGTCCATGTGCGCATTGAGGATCTTGCAGATCTGCTGCAGGGGGTCGCTGGTGTCTGCGGGGCCTCCCGACGTGTTCAGGTGCTCGATGATATCCTTGAGGTCCTGGGCCATGCGCTTGAGCTGCGCGTCAATGTTCTCAGCCAGTTTGTAGGTCTTCTCGCGCTCCTCGTCGGCGTGCTGCAGGTAGATGGTGCCACTCTGCTCCTTGACTGACTCCTCCAGTGGGCTCAGCAGGTCTTCTAGCTCTTTCTGCTGGGACAGGATAAAATCGAGCTCCTGGTCCAGTCTCTTCTGGTCCAGTTTCACCTTCTCCACTTCTCGATGCAGGCTGGTGATCTTCTCCCCATTCTCAATCAGTGTGCGGTCCCAGGCATTGACCTGGGTGGCCTGCTGGAGGAAATGTCGCTCCTGGTCTTCCAGCTCCAAGCTCCACTTGTTGATCAGGCTCTCCAGCTGTGCATAGGTCATCACGGGGCAGGTGGCTACCCCAGTAGCTGCACTGGTGCCAGGCGGAGCAGTCACAGCCGTTGTTGCATTGCTGGGGATTCCAGCTGGCACCAGTGGTTTTAAATTCAAGGCAAAGCCGGTGGTGGTGGTGGTAGCAGTGGTAGATGTTACTGTAGAGGTACTAGAAGCTGCTGCAGGGGCCTTTAGGCTGAAGGCCAGTGTTCCCGCCCCGGATGCCCCAGTGGTGGTTGCTGGGGCAGGTAGGGAGAGCCCCGTGGCAGTGGATGAGGTGGGAGCAGCTGCTATTGATGCAAAGAGGTTGGGCCCTGCACTGGTAGTGGAGGCGGGTGTGGGAGCGGCTGGCTGTATGGCCCCTGCTCCCGTGGTTGCTAGTGCAGTGGGAGTAAAGGGTAATCCAGAAAGTGCCGTAGGCTGGGCCGAACTGCCCACAGAGCCAATGTTGAAAGTGGACGTCCCAGGCTGGGCTGTGCTTCCACTGGTGAACGAGAACCCTCCAGATGTGCTGGCTGGAACTGTGGAGGTGGTGGAGGAGCCAAACACAAAGCCAGTGGGCGTAGCCCCCTGGCTCGATATGGCATTGCTGAGGGTGCTGCTGCTGAGCCCAAAGCCACTGGTGCTTGCTGGGGCCAGGGTGGTGGCTGGGTTGCTCAAGTTTAGCTTTGGAGCACTGATCCCCAAGGAAAAGCCAGTTCCTCCAGAAGCAGGAGTTGTCGTTCCAAAACTGAATGCTGGGGTCTGTGTAGCTGGAGCCTGGGTAGTGAGGGAGAACAGGCTGGTGGAAGGAGTAGTTGCAGCTGGTTGGGAGGGAGTCCCAAAATTAAACCCTCCAGTGCCAGAAGTAGAAAAAGAAAACCCTGTGGAGGGTGTGGTTGTTGCTGTCTTTGCAGTGCCAAAAGTGAACCCGCCTGTAGGAGCCCCAGTGCTTCCAAAGTTAAACGCGCTCATGGCTCCAGATGTGAGGCAGCTTCTATTCCAGCTCCCAAAGGCAATCCGTCAGCACCTGCAACTTTGGGAAGATTTTTAAAGCAGAGGAAGTGACATGATCAGATGGCAGTTTTGGAAAGGCAACCTGAGTGGCATGACCCAGCACAATCTCCTTGGTGGGTGGCAGGGCTGGTTGTTATGAGGCAGCAGCCCTTCCTCTTCCTTCTGTATAACCTCAACTAGGCTTTGTGAACTAGCAGAGAAGGACTGAGAAGCCCAAGCCCATGCCCTGGGGTCAGCACAGGGGCAGAGGGGAGCCTCCAATCACCAGGGAGAAGGCAGGAGTCAGAGCCTGAACCAAGCTCAGCCTGAGGGGGTCCAGATGGAGGCGCTTCCAATGAGTGGGACTAGAAGAACACAAAGTCACACCCATGGGTGTTGCTCTGAGGCCTGTGGGAGCTGGACCTTGATAGCAAGATGGGTTGTGGTAAACAACCTGGGTTGTAGTACAGGGCCTTGTCCCTGAAGGTGCATCGAGGCACACACACTCACCACTGAGGACTGAGGGCATGCTGAAGCCAGGAAGGCGTGAGAGCCAAGTGCTCAGTCAGGGCACTAATGCCCCTGGCTATGGTGACAGGCTCAAGAATAAACTGAGACCTTAGGGTTTTTCCTCAGGCCACATCCAGATGACGTGTATGCTCCTGGGCCTTTCCCTGGGGATCTCCTTGGCCATGACTAGAGACAGTGATGGGTACAGGGAAAGAAGGGGAACAGGGACAAAGGGCACCCCAGAAGCTCCAAGAGCCACTCTCTCCCCACTTAGCTTAAACCAACTCTGTTTCTGTAACTTCTGACAAAGCTCCAGCAAGTGTCATCACTCACCAGGTAATTAAAGGCTACCTGGGGAGGAAAGGGGGAGAGGAGGCACTGGGGAGGGACAGTGATTATGAGGCAGGCCTGGGAGAAGACCTCAGCAGGACACTGAATCCCACAAGTGCCCAGAGGGCTGCGGTGGTTTACCCAGGACCACTAGTTAGCAAGTGGTAAGCCAGGAGCTGAGCCTAGGCTGCAGGCCTGGCTGGACTCACTGACTGCCACTGGCCTGATTCACAAGCCTCCTCATCCAGCATGGGACCAATGATGGGAACTTCCCACACCCAAATTATCAGTTAGATGTCAGGGCAGACTGCGCACTGACACATATGCAATGTGGGAAAAGTAACAGAGACCATCCCAGAGGCAAACATAGTGCAGTGCAATATCAGCTGGGTCACAGCCAACTCTGAAGAGCGAGGGCCGGGAAGTGATGCACCAGTTTTTTGTTTTCCTTGAGACAGGGTCTTTGCTACATAGCCCAGGTTGGTCTGGAGCTCTTGATCCTCCCTACTCTGCCTCCCCAGGACTGGGATCACCACAACCCCATGTCTAGCTACGCTGCCAGCTCTCAAGAGGGATGTGTTGAGTTAATGAATTCAACAAGCCCCCCTAGGCTGGCTCTCTCAGACTGTCTTGCCTCAAAGGTGACGGAATGGGGGATCCTCAACAAGGTGGCTGGGGACCACAGACTGGCTGAAGGCAGCTGAGTGAGACCAGAGTCTGAAGAGCCTTTTCTGCTAGGGGATGGGGGACCCTAACTGATTTCCAGCAGATTTGCACAGGAGGTAGTATAATGGCCCGCCAAAGATGTCCCCAGCCTACTCCCTGGACTCTGGTTTTCTGTCCCCCTATACGGTGAAGGGACTCTGTAGATGTACTTAAGAATCTAGAGAAGAGAAATTCTCCCAGATTATCTAGTGACACCGTAAGATGGAGGCAGAAGGATAAGTGACTTAAGAGGGGCAGGGGTTGGAGAGAGGCACCCTGAGTATGAAGACAGAGGAAAGGGCCACGAGCCAAGGAATATAGCAGCTAGAAGCTGGGAAAGAGAGGGAAATGATTCTCCTTGGAGCCTCCAGAAGAACTAGCCTGGCCACCACCTTGATTTGGCCCTGCTAAAACCCATTTCAGACTTTTGAATTATTTTAAGTCACTGAATTTGTGGTCACTTGTGAGAGCAGCCAGAGGAAATGAATACAGCCATGAAGTAGAAAGTGTCTGGCAGATCTGAGGTGTGACTCCAGTCATACTCTCACCCTTCAGTCTGTAATAAGGTACAGCAAACCTTAGTTCAGTTCTGGCCTCAGGAAGTAGAGGTGGCACTTAGGATGCTGACATACAGCTGACGTAGGAAGGACACAAGTTAGCGTACTCATCACAAAGCAGCCACAGAACTACATTTTCTTTTTTTTTTTTGCCCAGAGGGTAGTGGTGGTGGTGGTAGTGGTATTGGGGCTTGAATTCAGTGCCTCACACTTGAGCCACCACTCCACCAGCCCTTTTTTGTGTTGATTATTTTCAAGATAGGGTCTTAAGAACTATTTGCCTAGGCTGGCATCAAACAGTGATCCTCTTCATCTTTACCTCTTGAGTAGCTAGAATTATAGGTATGAGCCACTGGTGTCCAGCTCAGAGGCACACACCTATAATCCTAGCACTGAGGAGGCTGAGGCAGGAGGATGGAGAGTTCCAGGCCAGATTAGGCTACACAGTAAGATCTTATCTCAAAACAAGGGGGGAAGGGGCGGAGAAAGAAAAAGGGAGCTGAAGGGCCTGTGAACATTCATCTGTGAAGCACCCATTTAAGACCTCAGTTCTTAAGAACTCTGCTCCAGAGTTTTTGCTACTAAATTGCAGCTAAAACTTTCCAGAAGAGCACCTATATAAAGCTCTCTGCAAACTGATGAAGCACAGAGAAACAGCTTTCTGTGGGGCTGTGGTTGGGCTGATGGTCCCCTGCTGACCACGTGCCTTACCAGTCTGAGACCACAGGTGCCAGGAATCTATTCCTATAGGGCCACGTGTTCATCCAGCCCTGTTCTATGTACTTCTCACGTGTAACGATTCACTGTAGAAAATAAACTTTGGGGCAGGGCCAACTGCTGAACCATGACAGTGAGGGCCAGAGCAGTCAAGTTAAGTCACTGCCTTGCCTTAGAGGTAGATGGAGACATGTCAAACAAGGTTCAGGACCAGGACTGGGGCACATGTCACAAGAGCAAGAGGAGGCTCTTATCCAGACCTCACCATGGGATGAGGGAGAAGCATCCAGGTGGAGCGTGGTCCCAGGTGAAAGCAGAGGCTGAAATGGCAGGCGTGTCTAGGGTAGGAAAAGATTTGGAGTGGCTAGGGGATAGTGAATGTGCAGTAAAGGGTTCAGCTGGTAGGTCTGGGCTGTCCAGACCCTGCACATTCCAAAGACAGATCTTGCCCAGCTCCTGGATTTACCTGAGGCCTCAGGCTGCACCAAAGCCTGTGATTTATGGTGGGTGGTGGGGATTGAATATCTAAGTTTAACCACAAGAGTGCTTAAGCCTAGAGGACTGACTGCACAGAAACCCTGGGCAGCACAGCACAGGCCAGCTTCCCTGCACAGCACTACCAATGGTCCCTGGCTTACAATGGTGTGAAAGTGATTCCCATTCCACAAAAACTGCACTTTGAACTTTGTGCTTTCCCCAGCCTAGCAGCCTGTGGCGTGATCCTCTCGTGGTGGCAGCAAGGTGCAGGTCATAGTGAACCCCTGGGTCATGAGGGGAAACAGATAATACCAAGGTGTGCTGTGCTGCTTGGTAGCTTGGGTATATTCTGTGCTTTTCCACTTAGGATGGCTTTGTCAGGACAGAGCACCACAGTAAGGCGAGGAGCATCTGCCCCCACCCCATGTGTGTTATCACACATCATTGGTGGGAACATTAAGTGCTGTCCATAATACTCCAACGAGAGGACGACCTGGAGACTCGTGCCTCACCTCTCCTGGATCTCCACACTATTCCCTTGCTGACTTTAGGCTGCAGCCTTCATGCTGACATAAACTGTAACTGCTTTGCTGAGCTCCCTGAATCCCTGTGTATCACTGGCGAAGAGGGTGGTCTTGGGGCCACAGTGCCACAAGATGTGGTCAGACTTTTTGTTGAGGGAGCCACAGAGGGACTTTTAAGGGGTGGGAAGTACTACCATGGCCAGGCATGTGTGTGGGCTAGACTGGAGGGGAAGAAGCAGGAGGCTGGGGTCTAGGAGAAGGTGGAGCTTTGAGGCCTGAGCTGGGACTCTGGGGACAGAGATGTGAGAATCGCAATTTGAAATGTGGAATTTTGCACCAATATTGCAGGGTCTGTCCCAGTTAACAAAGCCATGAACAAGCAGGACTTGGGTTTCTCACAAGTACAGACTAGCATGAGTTCTGATACACACCTTTACCAAAGTGGAATTTTGCTAAAGACAAGCTGAAGATGCTAGAGGAAGCAGCGTGTTTCCTGGTGAAGGCATGGGGCACTCTTGGGCTGGGCACTCAGGATGGACGGCCACAGCTGTGTGGCCACCACACAGCTCACCACACAGTTCCTGGAAGAGCCACTGCACTATGGCCCACCCCACGCACCTGCCTTTGTGTTTCAGAATGCCCCGCCCCTCCTTAGTCCCTCTTAGGACCTACTGACTCACCAGTCCCTGGCTTAGGAAGCCGTGGTTCTAGCTGCCGCTGTCCACCTCTGCTCAGTTCCACTAATCTGATATCCACTCCAAGTGCTAACTTTATACAGATTAGCTACTCCAATCTTCACTCAGCACTACTCTGCATAAGGTGATGACAACACAGAGGGATAAAGGCCCGCCCTGGGCGTGGCAGAATGTCAAGAAGATTCTTTCCATTATAACATTCATGCATACAAGTGACACTGAGCAGCCGCTGTACTAGGCAAAAAAAGACAGGAAAGCAACACATATTATTGACCATACTGTGTTAGAAGGGACTCTACGTTATAGGGAAAGAAAACTAGGCATAGCCAAGGGGACCGCCCAGGCAAAGCTGTGGCATGAGGTGGCAGGGCAGACCCTCAAGTCTGGGCAGACTAAAGGCAGTGAGGGGACAGACCAAGGCCTCTCAGTAGGAAGAGCGGCCAGGCAGGTGTCACTAGTAAGGACCCTTTCCTTAGATTTCTGGAATAGGGGTGAGAATGAACCAGGGGCACTGCAACCTCGGCA